ATGAATCACCTGATGAAACTGTGAACATTCATCGTTTTAGGTCATTAGACTATGTGCTTCACATAACTGCGAATGCACCGATGATAAACAGGTTGGAAGGAAATTCAAAACTAACTACAAGTTGTATTTAAGATTAATAATAATAATAATAATAATAATAATAATAATAATAATAATAATAATAATAATAATAATAATAATAATAATAATAATAATAATAATAATAATATGACTATCGATGATAACTTGTCAAAATTGTCATTCTATGGTTTGAATATAAATGATTATTTTGGTGGGGGTTTTGTTCTCTAGTTTGGTTGACCAAATCATCCAGCTCAGAGAACAAAACTCCACCAAAATCATCCACCTGAGCTACAAATTTTCTCCACCATTTCAGAAATGATAATTTCTATGCATTTCAAAAAATACAACTCAATGTGTGATTGCTTAAAGAATTGTGTTCCAAATAGTTAATTACATTTTATATACTGTATCATCAGATAGAAAAGATTCAAGCACTACATAATTTTTAAGATATTGTCCACTAACCATTAAGTTACATTTTCGTCAAACTGTAGTGTTTGTGGTAGTAAATAATTATACTAACGCTAATTCACTTTTATCTGTCTACATTTTTTTTCACTTGTTCAAATTTCCCATAGAATCTGAATCAAAAACTTCTGGAAATACCGGAGATACCCGATCGGATGTAAATACGCGAACTCGTTGGAAAAGTGGTGGTTTAACATGTATTGACAATCCATTTGTTTCACGTTTAAATAGCATGTCTTTGGCATTAGCACCGGGTGTAGCAGCCTTAAATCAAGCTTCAACAACATTATCAATACGATGTGGTTTATGCACAAAACCATTGTGTGCCAGTGAAACAACTCAACAATTAACTGGACATTCTGGTTGGGCTTGTTCACGTCATGCAACATCATTTGATCCAGCTACCATAACTTGTGCATTATGTCATCTAGTTGTTCGTGGTTTATTTGTTTGTTGTAGAGGTTGTAGTCATGGTGGTCATTTGGATCATATGCAGGTAAGATGGATACTTCTATGTAGTGTAAATTTCCGTCTCTTGTAGTATAACTGAATGACTCATATACCAATAGTTTGTTTACTTGAAATACTTTAAAACAAGTGTTCATTTTAATCACATCTTAAAATCATTCTGTTGAATGGTCATATACACTACAAATTTTCAGATTATAGAGACTTGGTTACTGACTCTTTTGAAGCAATTTTAAGTAGCACAGTGTCTGTCAGCTCAATATCCAATATTTAAGCAACATAAATTATTTCTTAATTCATTTGTGCTGGTTGTTTCAATCTTTCGATTACTGTTTAGGACCGTAATTGGTCAGTCTCTTGTTGGAATATGTGCATCCTGTGTGGATTGCTTTATTACCTTAAATCACAAGCGTTATAAGCTGAGATGGATGGCGGCTCACAGTGAAACCCAAGACGCTTATTCCGTCTTATTCGGGCCTCCTCAACTGGATGTACATGTATCGCAGAGTTGATGACCACTCTTATAACACTTAGTATTAAGATTTTATTTAGAATGGTAATGATTTTTAGACATCCGCAAAATCACTACATCATTTTACTGTAATTGCATCTACTGTATACTATCACTTTTTACCTAATTCAATTCCAGTCATTTTAAGTAGATATAATCACCAAGACATTGTGTTGTTATTAAATGTAACATTTCTCAATGTATGATTCAACTTGTTCTGGAGTCTGACTTGAGTCGCATAAACTTTTCTAATTACTAGGATTGGGGACCTTGCAGGAATTGTTTACGCTACTGAGAGATATACTTTAGGTAAAAAAACTATTGGAAACTAGGTAGCACTAGACAGTTGTTTCAACAGTATAAACCCAAAAGTTGATCTTAAAACGTTCAAGTTTTGAAGCAACCACATTACCTTTAAACTGTTATATTAGAATCCAAATCTAGTCTGTCATATCAACTATCTTCAATTCATGTCACTTGATGAGTAAGATAGACAATGCAGCGAAGGGAAATTTTTTAGACGATTTCATTTACTTTGGCTGTACAATTACATTTAATAGCCAGTTTTATTTGCTAAAATAGTGTTCTATAGTACAATAGAAACGTGCTAACTAATTAAGAGTGGCATGTTGTGAATACTTGAAAGGAAGTTATTGAATATAATCGGCTAGTGAAACAGTGGTAAAGTGAGATATTTGTCCATTTGATAGCTCTTAAGAATAGAATTATTAGTAGTTCCTAATTAATATGGTGAAAGTAATTGAAAAGGAGTAGAAATGTTAAAATAAATAAAAACGATAGATTATGGAAGATAGAAAGGGAGGTTAGGGTAGTCATGGAAGAATGAGGGTCTAAACAAACTATCTTTTTTTACACAAAGGTTAGACTTATACTAGTGGATGGTAATAACCTCCGTTGTGTATAAGTTGTTCACTTTCATTTCGAATAAAACAAACCTTGACAATCATCAGTTGAATTACATACATCCATTCATCTTCTACACATTATTGTTATGCAATTTCATGAGAATTTTTAGTAAACATTCGAATCACTTTTCTTTTCTCTCTCTCCCTCTGTTCATCTATTAAATCATCTACAATTCTAGGCTTGGCTTATGAAAAGATCCGAATGTCCAACTGGTTGTGGTCATCGTTGTAAATATGATTAAAAGAAATAATTAGAATTTTCTATCTTTTTATCCCGCTTTATATACATATTGTATAAATCATCCCTATTATCAATGATAATGATTAAATACACCATTCTTTAACTAATTTTGTATGTTATTTCGAGATAATTTATTTCTCTGATGTTTATCTCCTTTGTTTGTTTTTTTTTTGTTAATACAAATACAGTAATTTTGATTAGGAAATAAAGGGTTTTTTTAGAGATTTTTCTAGAATTACAATAAACATACTAACAGAATTACATTTTACTGCTAATCTATTTAGGATTAAGTTACAATCTGTCATATAGTTTTTTGTACGAAATTCAAAAACGCTGACGTCTGCTCAAACGCTTGGGCTACTTATTCTCCAACTGTGTATCCTCATAAGAGATTATGAAAGGTTTACAACCTACCATAATGATAAATATCGAAAATATCTAACAAGGGGCAGTGCATTTGTTGAAATATTCTCTTTCTTATCGAACCCTTAAAGATAAACAGACGGGTATATTTGGAATTTACGTAGTCGATATCTGATGATTCAGAAAAATGGTTATGTCTCTCGAATTGATGGTAAACCTTCGTCATCGAAGATAAGCTACGTAATAAAGATTTGTGATAGTGTTGTACAAATGATGCTAAGAATTCCTTACTGTAACAAAGTGTATAGTAATGAATAAAGCTATTAATATCAATTCAAATTTTAAAAACCATAAAAATGAATACATTTGTGAAGCTCAGACGTTGTTATTTTTCGTAGTGAAGATTCATATTATTTTCTCATTAAGTTTTTTTGGCGAAAGACTCTTAGCTTATAAACCATATATCCATTTGTTGACAAAAAAACACCGAGATTCTAAACTCATTTTTAACTTTGCTTAAGGCTACAAGTATAAGTACCATATTACCGATATCCTTGATCTTTATGATCACATGAAGTTTCTATTCTTAAGCAATATTTGTGTATTTGTTTGTGAAGAAACAACTTTTATTATTGGCAAACAAAAGTTGTCCTAACGTAGGACAGTAAGTAGTATTTATCTTACTGAATAATATTAGTTTGAACAGGGTTGTTTAGTCCAAATTAAAAAAAAACTCCACCGATGAGTATGTTGTATTTACTATCGCTGAAAAAACAGGTGTATGATGTACGAATCTGAGCACATTGTGGTGTATGCTACTTATGTCGAACGAAGTAAGTAGTATGTAACATCAATTTGGAGTGGAATGCTTGTCAAAGGAACGTTGAGAAGATTGAAATAAAGAATCGAAAGTCATACAGGATGTAAAGGACAAGTGATGGAAGATTTACAAATAAAGTATTTAATGTACGGTTTTCATTTTTTACTAAAAGAACCCTGTTGTTTTAAATTAAACAATAAATTGGACTTTTTCCCACCAACTCTTTGATCTGTATAATACATTAGAAATTCGCATGTCACATTTAGCTACCTAAATATGATGACGTAGTTCACATTTGTTTCTTAGTGGTTTACTCTGGATGTGAATTTTTTAACACCGACTTTAAAGTTAACTTTTATTTTTTTCAATCAACTCTACTTCTAGTATTTATAGAATTTCTACCCATGTATTTATTATTATCATTGATGAGAAAAATGTGATTGTTGCTCTTTTTGACTGAGATCATGAACCGATTGATGTTAGGCCACAATAAAACCTGGAAGCATCGGACGGCCGTCTCGTTCTATTGTCAGATTCCTAGGCGATGCGCACCCACGACCCCGTCCGTGGAATTCGAACCCAAGGCCCCCAGTCTCGCGCGCGAACGTTTAACCTACTGGACCACTGAGCCGGCATCCAATGGTGTTAGTGTCTAACATCAACCAATCCACGAAATTGCGTGACCATCTTTCATTTTACTGAGGTAGATACCTGTCTCTACCCGACATGGATTAGCTCCACATTTGGACGAAACGGCCGTCCAGTGCTTCCAGGTTTCCAACGGTGGTCTAACATCAATCGGTTCATGATCTCAATCAAAAACTTAATAATCTCCACAACCCCTATACTGATGATTATTGCTCTGTTAAGTGGTTTGTGGTGATTACTTCGCTTAGAAAGATGACCAATCACAATCTTAAGTAATTTACAGTAGTAGCTAAAAAAAGCGCTGTTATGAAGGCAGCATCAAGGTGGTTGGTTGTATATATCCCGCCAATTCACAAACAGTCGATTTGAGAGAAGTGGAGAATGTGGGTTTTTTACTTGGATAAGTGGTAGGCAACGTGGTTTATAATCAGTCATCGGCTTACAACATTCATCGACTAGAAGACAGGTGCATTCTACTATTCTTGAAACATATATTTAAAGCATATTTTACATATTTCATAGCAAACGTATACGATAACGTGGGTATGAATCTGCTGTTTCACTAAATGTGTTAACCTGAAGATAGGGCAGAAGCCAAGACCAAATTAGAGCGAATAATGCTGAAAGCTATACGGATACTTTAAATATATATGCTAAGTGCAAACACAATAGTTTCCAATTTCTTCATTCTTTTCACTATCATCACGATGCAAGTTGACTTCTTAAACTTTTCAAGACTGCTTCAATCACTTTACTAGTTTTATAACTACCACCCAAATCAGCTGTACGTATTTTTTGTTCTCCAACAACATTCACAACTGAATCACGAATAAGTTTAGCTTCTTTGATATGACCTTGAAAAAGTAGAGAAAACCATCATAATAAATTTAACAGATTTATGATTGAAAATGATGATCTATAATATATACTGACAAGTCTTGCTTATTAAACACTAGATTTATTTCCTAAGCTCTTCTAGTAACCCTCCTCCCGTCAGGCTAGAACTACACAGTTGACTTGAACACGAGAGAAAAGTCCCGAAATACGTAGGAAACACTTCTCCAAATGTTCATTTATGTACAGAAAATATAGGGTTTTTATAGTATTTTAAATGTACCTGGGTTTCCCGAAAATACTGGAATGCTACTAAACCTAGTAGCACTATAGTAATCATACAATCAGAAACTCGGAATGTGACTTTTCAATTTCTAGATGTTTCTGGCAAAGCTTCTACTGAACGCTGATTGGATAAGATACTTCTCAGTGTTTTCAGAACCTTTCTTGGCTTATTTAATATATAAGTTTTTACAAGTCCAATTTTTCTTAAATGTCTTCAGCGAATTCAATACATTCACTTGGAGACTAGTATTGTAAGGTGAAAACAGTAATATGAAATAATCCCTAACTAATTACTTGTTAAATATGATTCAGTAATAGATTGTCAAAATTTAGAAGAAAATTAATAAACTTACCTAAATATTCCAACATATCTGCTGATGTCAATAACATACCACATGGATTAGCAATATTTTTCCCAGCTAAGGAACGTCCAGAATTCCGTGTGCCCATTTCAAACAAGGCATTTTGTGGGCCTAAATTTATACCTGTTGTTAGACCAGCTCCACCGACTAAACCAGCTGCCACATTACCGACTATATTTCCGTATAAATTTGGTAAAACAATCACATCGAATTGTTGCGGTTTACTAACTAACTGCATACATGTATTATCAATAATCATATGATTGAATTCAATCTATGCTTCCACAATAAGATTATAAAGAAAAGAAAAGAATTACTAAGATTGATATGACAATTAGGTGTTCATAATAAAACTTGTAAATCCTGAAAATTTAATGAAGTTTGATTTTCTAACCCAAATGGCTTGAGTACAGAGTTTTCATTGTTCTGAACAATACTGACACACCTCGACAAGTTAAACACCAATAATGATTAGCCAGGATTGAGGTATACAGGAAATGCTATTAGTCATATTTAGAGGAATTCGAGTATTTCACTTCTACTCCAAATTTCGGCTGATGATGTTGTTCAAGAGAACAATGAAGGCTCCACAATCTAACCATCCAGTTCATAAAACAAAACCGCTCACCTCCACCATTTCGTAATCGTAAAACTGTCTAGAATTAATGAATAAATTAAACAAATCATTTTCTGCACAAGAATATATATACGATAATCTCAGAATCGTTAATAGACCCAACAGTTATGGGATAATAATCATAAGGAGCATTTATTAACTTTCTCTGAACGATTACCGCTAATCATTAGTATGATAGGATTTGTGGAATTTGTAGAATTTTCAATAAATCAAGTTACAAACTGATCTTAGGTGGACCACTATGAAAATTCTAGGTTTCACAAATCCCCTGATACTAATAAGAATAATGTACAGACTGGTGACTAGCTTCAGAATGTAACTACTGAAGTTCTAACGAAAAGCCGTGATCAGTTAGTTTCAGCCATTTTGCGTGTGAAACAGTTATCCCCTACAGGCAATGTACGAGACTTTCACAGTATCACAAACTAATTGAAGTTAGACATTAACACTATTGAATGCCTGCTTATTAGTCTAAAGTTTGTACGTGAGATGAAAAGTTCTGGGTTCGATTGCTGGGATTCAGGTCGTTGGTGTGCACTGTTGAGGAGTTCCATACTAGGACGAAACAGCCGTCCATTACTTTCATGTTCTCAATGATAGTCTAACTAAGATCATTTCGTGATTCAAACAACGAAATTTACATAGTTTAATTTCGTTGTGTTTTCTCACATGTCAGAATGAAAGTAATTGCAAGTTTTTGTTCAATTCATTTTTGGCGTTATAACACTTGCCTTTTCCTAGTGTAACTTGATTACCAAATAGAGGTTTTTATGTGCTGCGCTATAACTAAGACTATTTTTGCAAGTGTTAGTGATCGGAGGGTACCACAAACAAATTAAGGTGGGATTTGCACCTGATTGTATCCGAACCATTGAGTCACAGCTTTTATCGTGACGTTATACGCTTGAAGTGGCCCGTGGATCTGACTCCTATTTTAGATTGTGCGAATGTTTGCTATCGCTGATTCTCGTTTATCATCGTCGACTTAAATCACGTTAGTTAATAACGGAATTAAATAAGTCAAATAACGAGAATACATATATTTTGTGTGTAAAGTGAATGCGATAGAACAAAACGAAATGACGCGCAGGGAGGATGGCTGGGAAGCCAACTCCAATTCAAGCCGAGCATTACTCAATATTTATAGGCAGACAAAATGAACTACAGACATGTGATGAGTCATCGGACATGAAGTGTACACACATGTACGCTCATGTGAAAACAGTCAAGGCTAATAAGCGAATAATTAACAACGTCAAAACATGACTCAAGTAGAATGAATAGAATGGGATGTCCGAAAACTAGAATAAAATATATTCTGAACTAAAACTAATGACTAACACTACATAGCCCCGTCGTAGAAAATAGCACATTTAAAAAATGTCTGTTTTCGAAAATAATACTCAAGTGATATGAAGCTAACGTTAACAATAAGTAGCCAAAAAATTGTACAACACTCGATAAAGTACAGTGTCACATGAGGGGTGAGCGTATTGTATGAAAATGTCATACTTATGCAAAAGAATACATGAATATAGAAAAGGCCTCGGACAAAAATGGAAACGTTAACGTGCGAATATAAGAAAATTAATGAGCGTACAAAAATTAACATGTACTAATGCTATGGCTGTCTGAACGATAAAATAACACGTTTGTATGAGTGATTCAAATTATCGTGAAAATAGTAATAAATTGTTTGTGGGCATGACAGCGAAATAAATCGTCAAAATGAGTACAGTAGAATATGACAGAAATTGGTCTGTGATGCTGAAAGAATAGTGAAATATGCGAAATATATATTCTGTTGAGCCGCAGCAGAATAAATAGCATCGACTAGCGACGAGTGAATTCGAATTTAAATGCGTAGTTACCGTTCGTAGGATGATAATAGGCAAGTCGTGAAATGATATCTGCATCGACGGGTGATATTCGTTGCTGTACTGCAATTGATAATAATCATAAAATCTGAAGTCAGTGAACGTTGTCATCTGCGTTATGACAGATGCATTGAGTTATCATTAAATATGTATTAGTAGAAGAATGACCAGAGGAACAGAACAGTGACTGAGTAGACGAGGTACGTAGAGTCGTATTCCTTTTTGGTCATGAAGCCTAGAGTGGTTTGTGTGGTTTGAGGGAGATGCGCTCGATCTCGTTTGTTACAAAACCGTACGAAGGCATGACAAAAATACCAATACATATGATTAGTGATGGCGACGTATGAGACTGACTTGGATGTGACGAACAAGAGTGTATCTTTGAGAGACTAGCTCTAAACTCTATGTTCTGATATACTATGCGATGGGTATAGAATAGTAGTTGCAGTACTCGAATAGCGTTTTTGAGTGATAAATGATGCAGCATGTAGTTATGCACGTGGAAGAATAGATAAAATGAACGTAATGGTTACTAGTCAGCTAGTTAGAGGCATCCACAGACATAATAGGAGGCGATTTCGAAATGAAAAATGTATGTTGTGATAATATAAATTGCTGACCTCGACTAAGTGAATGAATGCAATATTAGTTCAAAATGACATGAAAAATTGGAACGAACTCACTTAAAGCAGGAAAATTTCACGTTTTTGAATAGTAAAAATATCCCAATGAGTTCTCACAAAGTTAAGTGGAATTTTCATAAAATGATAATTTGTTCGGTCAGTGATATGATTGCGAAAATGTCATGATTTAATGACAGCACGAACAAGATTAATAATTCCACATTCGATCATGATATTAGCAATAATGTAATAATAAGCATACAATGATAATTTGAATTGTAATGGAACAATCCGACAAATGTATCAATGAAGATAATTGACATGAGGACAAAGTAACAATAAGATAATAAGATTTGTGCATGTCCATGTCGTGTTGCACAGGCTTTGCTGAGTGCGTCGGATTGGAGATTGCGCTGGCTTCGCTGAATATGTTCTTCGAACGTATAGAGTGCAGAAGTGCCTTCATCGACGTAGCTTGCTGCGTTGCGTTCGTCGTCGGCGGGCTTACCACTTTTGTGGCCCTTTTGATCTGACTCCTTTTGGAGTGTACGAGTGTTTGTTATCACCTATTCTCGTATATCATCGTCGACTTAAATCACGTTATCCAATAACGCAATTAAATAAGTCGAATAACGAGAATTGACTTGATAATACATATATTTCGTACATGAAATGAATGAAACATAGCAAAGCAAAACGACACGCAGGGAAGATGGCTGGGAAGCCAACTCCAATTCAAGCCGAACATTACTCAATATTTATAGGCAGACAAAATGAACTACAGACATGTGATGAGTCATCGGACATGAAGTGTACACACATGTACGCTCATGTGAAAACAGTCAAGGCTAATAAGCGAATAATTAACAACGTCAAAACATGACTCAAGTAGAATGAATAGAATGGGATGTCCGAAAACTAGAATAAAATATATTCTGAACTAAAACTAATGACTAACACTACACGCTCACTGAAAACAATACTTGATTTGTATAATAAGAAAAATTGCATATTAATGAAGTTATTGGAGGTTACCACTAACCTGTGGATAATTTTTGGCCATTGAAGAGCATACTTCTAAAAATAGACCGTCACCCAATTTCATGATATTGGCTTTGTGTACTGCTGTGACTTTTTTTCGGTTATGTCGAACGGCATAATCAAATGCGAATTGGGCAATTCTATTTTTTTTTAAATAACATAAAGGAGAACAATAAACTCGCATTATTTTATTTATGACAAAACAGAAGATCTTAAGGAAGTCTATGCGAGAAGAGAGGAGAAAATTATTGATTGTCAGTAATGAATATATGGTACAAACCTAAAGAACGATTCACAGCCAACACAAAGATAACACCATAACTGAACCGATGACTATAGAATAAATGAAAGAAAGCTTTGACTTTCTCACTAACAAGTAAGAATGTCATTCGACTTACTATGTATAGACACATTGATAATATGAAATACTATGTCTTATTAATGGACCCATTTGTCGGCAAGCAAAGAGCCTCAATAAGTAGTTGGTGACGTTATACTTAAAAACTTGAAGCATAAAAGCAACAGAAATGGAAAAGTCTAAAGTAGTGTAAATATCAGTATTTTACAAATTAGTGGTATGTAGTGTGTCCTTAGTAGCAGTCATAAACAAAGTACTCAAATTAAATAATACTGTTTACTCAGTAATATTGTAAATCCAAGTTTCTATGAAAGTTCTAATGAAGAATATGCATTTTGAAAGTCAGGATAATCATTCGTAAGACTAATATCTTATCATAGAAATCACGAACCGACTTAGTAAGATAATCACCGAAAACCTAGAAGTACTGGATAGCTGTTCTGTCCTAATACGAAACTACTCAGAAATGTGCATCCAAAGCCCCACTGGGGGACTGGACTTAGAACCTTTATTCTGTCTAGACATTATTTAACAGGTGGCCTGCGAGAATATCTGGGCTACCTGTTCTTGTCATCTAGATATTTCAACAAGCTGTTTTTTTAACACATCATAATATCTATTAAAAGAATAACCTATTCAGACGGGTTTATGAAAAGTATACAACCTTTCGCTGTAGAAGTTACAAAAAAGTATAATCAGAGACATCGTGGTGGCTGGTATTATGGATTGAAAAGAATGAACATCATCCAGATGTCGACTCGTGAACTGCTAACATCTAACTGGCGATCACTCAATTTTTATCGTCAGGATCGACCAAGAAATGAGAAACGGGAACTTTAACAAATACTTTGTGCTGAGAATTCTATACATTTTGCCGAAAATATAATACTGAATAAGGAAAATAATTATTGTCATTATTATCACACTAGCTCTATGTGAGACCAGATGTACCCAGCTTGATCTCCAGAAGGTTCAGAAATGAGCACTTTTAGAAAGTCCCAAAATACGATAAAATGGTTGTGCAGTTCTTTATGGTTCTCATTGTTTATCGTGCACTTAACAACATCCAATAATGTCCACTGTCAATATCATTAGTATTACATTCTCCTTGTTTTTTTTATAAATAAGCTCATCTTATAATTACCCTTACTCTTCACTTTCAGATATGTCAGCCGTTAAAACTCAGCAACTGAAATCAACGTAAATTCAAATCTGATATTAAAATGACACCAAATATTTTTAAGCATAAAGACACTAACCTAGTGGATTTTTCTCTAGTTATAATCTTCAAAGATTCTACCACTCCAGGAACATTTTCGTGCTCCAACTAATTTAAATGAAGGTGATATCAAAACAAGAAGTGTATATGAAGAATCAATTAAAGTCAGGAATATGTAGAGAATGGAACATTAGATGAAAGAATGTAAACTGTATGGAAATCCGAGTTTAACAAAGTTGGTTACTAAAGAAAGCAGAATTTTGGTCAAGGCACACAGCTATTTTGTGTGGTTCGTTTACTGTAATAACTTGATTTTTATAATTACCCAAAAGTAGTGTGATTGTAAATATATCTAAAGATACAAGAAGCAATTAGGGACTACCACTGTGACATACTTTAGTTGGAAAAAATGTTTTGACACCGTCTCATATTTTCTATTCCTGATAAAACCAAATGTAAAATGACACTGATACAAGAACAGCTAAGTTATAATCACTCGATTATATCTCACATACTTTAGTGATGGGTTGGGTGAAATCAGATATTCCACATGCATCTCAAAGTCAAGAGACGATTAAATAAAGCACACTACTGGATGAAGCTGATTATGTCCTTTGTCAAGGTCCTGGGGGTTCCAGGTCCTGAAGATGTACATTATTTTTGGTCATCGATTACAGTTTCCTATTTATTCTTGGAATTTTAAATCCCGTACCAGTTTGAGCTTGAGTATGGGAGGCATATATATCTGTAGCTGGTCAGACAGCTGCAGAAAATAACATAAACAAAGTCATTAAAAATAGTAGATTTATTTATTTACCCGACTATATTCACCCTCTGTATTCTCACGTATTATAACGATATCGACATTTTGATGACGTGTAACCACACCTGGAAAGTTTCGACATCGTTGGACAAAGGCATATAAATTCAAGTTTAAACGGAGAGCTACATTTCTTGACGATTGACCTGGAAAAGTTAAATTTTAAATAAAAGCTTAGTTATGTTGTCTATGGATTTGTAGGATGTAAAGGACTATACTTTCTAGTAATGTGGCTCCAAATCGTAGGGAGCAGTGTATTTATTTATTTATTTATTTGAACACATAAATATTGGTACAAGAGAGCGCCAATATATATGCGCCACACAAAACAACGAGAATTTGAAGAAAAAGAAAAAAAAGGTGAGGAGCGTAAAAAAAGAGAATAACGAAGAGGTTGGTGTAACGTAGTGTAGTAATAATAACGAGGGAAACGAAAAGGTACAATCAGAAGAAATCTTTTAGTTAAGGAAGAAGCAACCACTTTTTATGAAGAAAGTAAAAGAAGGTCACAACAGGATCGCCACTGGCTTCTATTCTGAGCAATATCTGATAACGTCTCTAGCCACTGTGTAGCACCATCTCTAGAACCCCAACCAGGGAGTCGTGAAGGACCAACACACGCCAGTCCTTTGCAGCTTTCTTTCATACCACGACACCATGTCATGCACTGACCACCTCTCCGCTTCTTCCAACCAGTCCCAGAGTCGGCAAATAATGCACGACGTGGAATTCTCTGGGACGACATTCGGAGAACATGTCCAAGCCACCGAAGTCGGTGTTTCAAGATGGTGACACCAATTGAGTTATCATCTCTGTGCCCGAACACACGATGCCGAACCTCTGCATTACTGACATGGTGTTGCCACTGAATGTCAGCAATCCTTCGGAGACAGCGATGATCGAACACAGAGAGTCGTCTAACGTCCTCAACTCGGAGAGGCCAGGTTTCACAAGCATACAGCAAAACTGCTCTCACCGACGCGTTGTAGATCCGACCTTTTACGGCCAGACTAACATCACGAAGGCGCCATAGATGGCCCAGATTGGCATAAGCCGCTCTGGCTTTCACTATTCGTGCATTGATCTCATCACTCACACCCCCACCAGCACTTATGCAGCTACCCAGATACACGAACTTCTCAACTACGTCTATCTGCTCACCGTCCAGGGTGAGTACAGGATTAGAATCCTGCCAGTCTTGTAGAAGTACTTTGCACTTCGAAGGTGCAAAGCACATACCATACCTACGGACATTGATTGCCAACTGATTAAGTGCGGATTGCATGCCTTGGGCATTATCGCACAGTAAGACAATATCGTCCGCATACTCAAGGTCGAGAAGTCTTTCTCCAGGCAACAGATCCACACCACCATTACTTACATTCATCAGAGCTGTTTCCAGAATGTCATCGATGGCAAAGTTGAAGAGGAATGGTGAGATTGGGCAACCCTGCCTAACCCCACTGCTCGAATGGAACAATGGAGAGAGGTGGTTGTATGCCCTCACTCTGCCTGAGGTGTTTTTATACAGGGCTTTTAGGATGTTAATAAACTTCTTAGGCACACCCTTCTTCAATAGACAATCCCAGAGAACAGTCCTATCCAACGAATCGAAGGCAGCCCTGATGTCAAGAAACACTACGATTGTTGGCCTTTGAAAAGTATGGCGGTGTTCTAACATTTGGCGGAGGGTGAAGATATGATCAATACATCCTCGACCAGAACGAAACCCAGCCTGCTCCTCGCGAGTCAATCTTTCTCGGGTTTTGAACAACCTACGAAGAATGACGGAAGCCAATAGCTTGGACGCAATCGGAAGTAAACTTATCCCCCGATAGTTGTTACAAGAACGACGTGAACCCTTTTTAAAGATAGGGACAACTATCGACTCATTCCATGACGTTGGTACACTCTCTAGTTCCCAAACCTTTGTAAACAACGTCGTCCATTCCCTAGTCAAAAAGTCACCACCATCTTTAAAAAGAGCCGGAGGTAAGTCATCTGGGCCAGGTGATTTGTAACGCTTCAAGAGTTGGAGTTCCTTGCGGACTTCCTCCTCATTTGGTGGATCAGTCGTCACCGGCCATGGAGGGCAGGACAGTCTGACCGATGTTGCCGGAGCAGCAGGCCAGTTGAACTGCCCTTCGAAAAATTCTGCCCATCGTCCAAGACGTCGATGGATGTTAGTGATTGGGATCCCATCATCCTCGCAGATTGTTTCACTCACACCAGACTTCTTGCTGCCAGTGGCTCGGATGAGTTGGAAGAGCTTCCGGTAGTTACCAGATGCAGCTGCTGCTTCCAGCTCATTAGCACGCATCGACCACCAGGCTTCTCGGTCCTTACGCAAGCTTTGCCCGATTTCCTTACATAGCATCCTTCGTTTATGGTCAAACTCACGGTCACCCGGAGTAGACCAACGGGCTTCAATGAGTTGTAAGGAACCTGCAGAAACCCAGTGCTTAAAAGCGGGACGTTTCGCAAACCCACAACTGACTGTTCCCGCCATTTTCATGGCGTCATGCAATTGCAGCCAATGCTCATCTATACTTTTCGGTGGAGTGGTAGCTAGCCTAGAGGCTAGCTCAGTTCGATACTTACTTGCAACAGAAGTTGCAACCAGCTTGCTAACATCAATCCGTTGATGGCGTTCACTTCGTTGTCCACTGAAAAGTAAGGCAAGATTGGCGCAGACCAAGGCATGGTCAGAGTCCAGATAGGTACTCCAAAAGGAGCGGCAGTCTTGTACACAACCACGCCAGCGGTAGCTGATCGCGATGTGATCAATCTGAGTCCAGGCTTGAGATGCAGAGGGAGGACGCCAGGTGGCACATCGGCGATGACTGTGCCGAAAGTTAGTGCTAGCCAGAAACAGGTTGTGGTCTGTGCAAAGTTGCAGTAGACGGTCCCCGTTATCTGACCTGCGACCAACGAGTCCCCATCAGCCACCTAAACGACTCTCTTCTGTGCCTAGACGCCCGACCTGAGCATTCAAGTCTCCGGCTAGTACTACAATATCTGTCGAGGGAACAAATGATGAACTCTTTATGTCTAGGGAGCAGTGTATATACATCTTATCTAAACTTTATCACTACTTTGAATATCACATAATTCCACACTAACATATCTCGTTTTAGATTATTTTTTGCACTAAAAAACAGTATATTCTTGTATTTTAATTTCTAGTCACAAGTAAGACCATGCTCCTAAGAACGACGGTATTATCTATACAAAATGTTTGTAAGAATAAAGTGAAGCACAATTTAATAACCACGTACAGACTTTATATTTTGAATGATTTCTTGTAATGATGAAATGATTGGGATGTCCCTAAACTTTTATTTCTAAATAACGGAGTTGATGGGATGTATTTTACCACTGGTAATCATATAAAACGTCAAAGGTTTATGTTACTGTTAATTTTGACAGTAGCACGTATGTTAAGAAACTGCTTATCTATATTAAAAAAGTATTACGTCGTTATAATTTCTCTTATTACGACCCAGCTACTCCTATTGCTTAGTAATCTTGGAAATTACTTCACTAGGCAAGTCACCAAATCATAACACGTTGAACAGGAACGAAATTATGTTCCAAATAACAAGGGTAGATGGGAGTAGCAATCGCAATAAGAAAAATGTTAGTATATTTATAGTCTTTATATGATATTCTAGAGTTTTCTGCAAGTATCCAGTAGCGCTGATTGGGTAAGAAATGGCCCCAACACAATACTGCATGGAACGTGCTTTAATCCAATATGTATCCCGCTAACATACACTCAAGAAAGAAAATAACCATACTCTTTCGGAACACTATACCTAATAGTTTGCAACTATGATATATGAATCTAGTTAGCCCAAATCAGTAACTATTGTAGAACAGAGGGAAAATGTAAACCAGCTTATCCTCCATGATTATCGGTAGGAAACGAAACAAAACTAAATAAATAGATAAGACTAGAACGATGAATTCCCTTAATTACAAAGTGAAGATGAAACTAATCCTCAGTGATCATGTTCTAGAGAAACATAGAAAGTTAGCTGTCCTACAAATGATACTATACTTTCGTCGGTTTTATTGCATCGTACCGATTGAGTCTTCCAATAAGTGTAACCATGTGAGAGATTCAGGACCACTAATCTACTTTTTATATTATAATATAAGAGAGTGGAATAAACTGTTGAGTTTTTGGACTCATAATAAGTTCACTTTAACATAAAACCTTGTTTTCTGGTCCTTAAGTATGTTGAAACGTTTACATCTATTGACATTCTTCAGTTGGAATCTTACCAAGTAAAAAAATTTAGTCCGATTTTTTTATTTTAAGTCATTAAGTGCTTATTTGGCTTTTCACAAATTACTTCTCTACAGAACAAAGATTACCTCTCAAAACCAACATTTCTTAGCATTATTTTATCCTTAGAATTAGCCTCCAGGTCTTAATCCGTTGATAAGCCCGTTTAGCGACCCATACAATGTACTCTGATTTTATCCGTGTAACTAAAGATGAACAGTAACTTGAAATGAAGTATTATCAAAGCAAAATCCACCAAAAAAACCACTTAGTGATCAACAGACTGATTAGTAAACGAATCTTTTTTAAAACAATATGGAAAGATCTACATACAAAACTTTGTAATACCTGGTTCTGTGGCAAAATTTCCTTTGATTCCAACACCATTGCGTTTCATAGCAAGTAGAGCATCAGTAAATGTAACATCTTCAGATTCTTGATTTACGGCAACTTCCTCAAAATCTATTGGAGCTCCAATAACTTGGAAAACTTCTTTGACGTATGATAGAAGTTCGGGTCCTACACCATCCCCGAGAAGCATTGCAACAGTATGGCGGCCGCCATAACAAGCCTTTGGGAGTTCTTTATGAAACCCTAGGCCTAAAAAGTGTTTTGATCCAGCGGGAGCATCCAAATTAGCGTTTGTAATCACATTAGTAGTACTAGACAAAGTTCTGATATTCCCATGTATTCCAAAAGACTGAAAATGGAAAGTTGAGGAGCGTATTACTTTAAATAAAACTACTGTTTACTTGAGGTTGTGGCAAATGCAATAAAAGAGTTTGATATCAACTCCATCCAGTAGCCGTAACTTGTTACATACAAACTGGTAAAACGACATCAATCACTAGTCTCCGTGTACTATTGTTTTATAAATTCTAACAGGTATGATATTCGCCACAAGACCCACATAACTAGGCAAAAACAGGTTAAATTTATTATTTTACATTTACACCCGTTGAATAAAAACCAATGATGAGTTTCTAACACCACGTACAAGTCCATGCTTCAAATACACAAATCAACTTTTCAACATCCTAGCATATAAGTATTCGAGGAAATTATAATATCTTACAAATATTCTGTGAAGACGAAAAGATGGCAGTTTTTATCATAGAACTCTATCACCTGTCTCCAAGTTTTGAGAGTATTTAAAACTATAAAAATTTATAGGAACAGTTCGTTAGTGATGGAATCTAACTCGCGACTTCAAGTTTGTTCAGCATGATTATAAAACACTGAACCCAAAAAAGAAATAGATGTGGTTTTTAATATGTTAAAGGAGTATATAGTGTGTTATTTACGATACCCTTGAAGACAGTGAGGTTAGTTGTGACTACATTTCTGTTTGACATAAAAGGCTTTAATTCATGAGATTAGTTCCTCATCAGTCAATTTAGCGCCTAAGCTTTGTTAGCTCGCAAACAATCAGAATTTTGCCGTGCTGAAGTATAAGGAAGAGTTCATACGACATTTTAAAAATAAAATAAGAGCTTAATAGGTGTCTTGAACTTAGAACTTCTATATAGACCGAAAAATATACATAAAACTATATGATAGGTTCAAAATATCTCCGTCAGTCGACAAACATTAAGACCATTTTAGGCCTCAAAGAAACACTTCTAGACGGCACTTGTGACTATCCAAACCAGTATAAAATATTTGTAACCCATACATACTAGTGGAAACTGAAACAGATGTATGCCTGTAATATTTCAAGCAAGAATTTATTGTTGGCCCAATCTCCCAATTTCGGGGAAAATTTGACCTTACTTAGGGAAGCCGCGATAGAAAAGTTGGTGGAAATAGCACCAAAAACCCAAAATCTCCCTAGATCTGGGAAAATATCCCAAAGTTTTGGAGAAATATCTGAAATGTTTGTAGACCCAGACAACCCAAAAAGGGGGAAAAAAGACGAACAAAGGGGAAACAAAGGGGTAAATGCTTTGGTAGCGAAAGGGGAAATTAAGGGAAAAACGCATCAGAATGTCGCCTTTTCCTCCTGTCCGGGGGGAAGCAATGCGGATTTCCTCCGAAATTTCGGGTTTAATCTAATACTTCACCAGAATCTTATAACACTGATTTTTTCCCCGAACTTTGGGAGAACATTTGGGAAAACTACTAAACTTTTCACAACTTTAAGGAAATTTTCTTGGGGCTTAAGCCCCAAAATTTAGCTAAAATTCCCCAAATTTTCCCTAAAATAGTAAGATTGAAGTATTAATTTATTCGCATTGGTATATATATGAAATCAAATCTAAAGTGTGTGTAGATAATTGCAAGGGGAAACTCACTGGCACTAAATAAACCCGACTGGGAAATAGTCTCCACAAGCTCAAGGTCAGCCTCATTTTTAAACCTTCTTCCAGTTTCAGTTTGAAAGGATAGCAGGCTAAATGGCTTTTGTTAGCCTAGGCAATGATGGTCTCTCAGTTGACCCAACTTTCTTTTGAAAGAGTCGACAGATGGAACTTCAGTCACATGTTGAGGTGATTAATTACGCCTGTTAATGAATCGATAGGAAAGTCGACAGTCAGCTGACATTTTGTTCTGTGGTTGTGAACTTTTTGGAGTGTCCTCGTAAATTCTCTGTTTCGGTAGACAGGAAAATTTGAGGCGTATCAGATGCAAACTTATCACTAAGTTGTTTGAAAACTGTAATTAAGTCACTTCTGGTTCTTCAATGTGACAATGGGAATTGTTTAGTTTAACCAGTCGACCATCATACGGGAGCTTCTCTATTCTATGGATCAGCTTAGTTATTGTTCTCTGAGCCTCCTCCAAAAGCTCACTGTCTTTTTTAAGCAAGAGCTAACTGATTGAATGCAGTACTCTAGTTTAGAGTGATTTAATACTGTACACAAAGCCACAAAAATTCTGCGTCGACATGGCTAAAGGCCCTACGCATTATTCATATAGTTCTAAAACCTTTGGCGGTTATTGCACGACGGTACGCAGTAGTTTGTGAGTCTTGACTAACGATGATTAGTAAGTCATTGTGTGTCTGAACAATAAGTAGCTCAATGTTATTAATCGTGTATGTATCTGCACCTTGATGACCAATATGCATCACAATGTACATGAAAGTATTTATCAGCAACTACCAAGTTTGAGACTAACCAAATAATTTCTGCAGGTCATTTTCAAGCTCCAAGATATCACCCTTACGTTTTGTCTTCCCCCATATCTTAACATCGTCAGCATATAGCAAAATCGATGATGATAGGAGATGAGGAAGGTCGTCTACATACAAGAGGAATAACACTGGCTCTAAAACTGGACGCCAGTCGCTACCACATCATGAGGCAGGATGTTGGTTGGTTGCAGTATGAAAAACGATATAGTGATGGTTCGAATCCTGAGAGAAGATTGTTTCTCGGATAAATAAGCCATTGACTCGATTAGTAATGCATAAGATGACGTATTGGAAGGACAACAACGGATCGGAGAGCATAGTAGAGAGAAGCGTGACCTAGTTATTGATTATGCATTAGTGACAGCTACTGTGACTTATGGGATATGAATCAGATACAGCTGGTTCAAGAGACGGAAGGTGGTTCTCAGTGAGTAAGTGTTTGTCAAATCTCTTAAAGCTATGCACTGGCAGGCCTGTGCTCACTTCGGCTGGGAGGCATTCTATATGGGGGCAACTCCTAGTAAGAAAAATCAATAGAGTAACTGGGTCTTTGCTCTTAAGTGTGCAATCATTCAGAAGTTGCGTTAATTACATGGTAATGGTGCTCTAGTAATATACTCAGGTTTTGGTGGTTTGGTGTACTGTGGTGTTTGAGTTAACCAATGATACTTCTGTACTTGCTGAATGCTCGATTTCGAATTCCATATACAGTATATTCGTTCGTGCTTGTGTCTTACTTCTTAATTCAATTGCGTTATTTCTGGGACTCTTGGTTCGTGCTATAATTCAAATAATTCAAAACATTATACTGGCGTCGCGATGGAGCCTGCGATGGAAAAGTAAGATATTCATTCAACTTCTGAAGCTTTTGAGGATTACCTTGAAAGGTTCGAAATCTGGGCTATGACCAAGGAAGATGATGAGGATGTTAATATTGTGGCACATTTTCTCACATTCATTGGAAAAGAAGCATACAGCTTATTAAGAAGTCTGGCTATGCCGGAAAAGCGTATCTCGCTTCCTTATACTGCTAGGCTCTGTTAATTATACAAATTTTCAATGCGGTAAAGGAGGGAGATTTCGTAAAATGATTCATGAGGATATAAAAAATTCCAATACATTACTACGTCATCCCAATCCAGCGCATACTCAAGGTTATGCAGATAATTCATTAAGTTTGGATGCAGTTCACGAGGACCGGGACACGTTTGGTCAGTGTTTGTCCTGTTGCAAGTTCCACTCTTTTAATTCATGTAAGTTTCGTAATTCTAAATGTTTTAAATGTGGTGAAATTGGACATGTCCAGTCAGTCTGTATTACTGATGTTCATCTTAATGCAACTAATATTAAGTCTTGCGATTCTGATTCTACTAAGTCGAGTATTTATAATGATGATTTATCTCTGCCAACGATTTTAAAAGACAGTGTAGAATCATATAGCAGTTCAGAGTTGAATGAAACTCAGAATTGTTGCGAGACAACAGCATCAGGATTCTTATACTATTGTACCAAGTATAGCTTTTCCTAATGATTCACATATTTCTGATGAAATTCCTTGCAAATCTGAAGAAAATATGTTGAGTGAACATAATTATGGTCGAAAACCTGATGTAGTTTTGATAGATGCTGATTTTTATAATGATGCATTACTCTGAAATGACATTCTTAATAAATTTCATGAGAATATTTCAGAAGAATCAAATCCTGATGTCATATCATATATTATTTATCCTCATAATGCATTTGATTTTTGTGAAAAACTTGTTCAATCCGAAGCACGAGTACAAAGTGATCTCCATTTTGGCTACAATTCGGATGATTTCATATCAACTGCTGTTCATCCTTATCAAAAATTTACTTCCATTGTTTACTTTAATCAATGTGAGAAATGTTTTAAATGAAGTCACATTATTCATAACTTGGGGATATAAAGTTTCAACATTATTTCGTGGGGGATAGTGTTCAAATTCTAGATATAAATGATTTCAGTACAAAACCGACATGCTGGTTGTATACAATTCCAGGTGAGTCTGTTCCGATTTCGCTTGTTAATTCCAATACCGATGAGCACATTCTAGATACTACAAAGCTGTTATCCAACACAGTGTCGGACAAACTCAGGATGAACTTAAAAAGAAGACGTACAACCTATTACAGACGTGGTGTTACGGACGTAGTGTTTGCATTAACCAATGATACCTCTGTACTTGTTGAATGCAATACAATGCAATACAATATATTCGTTCGTGCTTGTGTCTTACTTCTTAATTCAATTGCGTTATTTCTTGTATTCCTAGTTCATACTACAATTCAAATAATTCAAATATTATATGAACTTAATAAGCTGTACGACATCATCACGTCACACCTTATTCAACTGTAGCTTTACAGAAATAATTCCAGGTGCTAGAGCCTGTCCTCGTAAGATTTATGCTTTAGGCCCATCATCCACTCGATTTCCCGTCTCTGTATTCAGGCTAAGAGATTTATATCACTTTTGAAGATACAGGGTGCAACGACTATGTACTTCAAGTACTGACCGTACATGTGTAATAGACAGTGTAATGAGCAATATTAGGGTGGTTACGCCACGTTGTCCTCGCATAAAGTTGTTGTGTCATCTTATTAGGGTTCAGTACGGCCTCCGATAATACGGAATTGTGAACGAAAACGACTAAGCTTCTCTAACATTATTGGTTCTTTTCTTAACTGACAAGAGTCAAATGTGCTCAATATATCAAACCTCAACGACTAAGACAAGAAGACAGAATTGCAGGTAACTTGATGGAAAAGTAACTCAAACGACATTGGTACAAAAGTCGTTACTATAGTAGCAAAATACGACCGAGCATGTAGCGATTTAGTAAACTGAAAAAGCATGACAACCAATCAGAGGGCAAAGTTTGCTCGGAGAATCGAATTGGTAGAAAGTGTGTGAGCGGTTGTCGTTCCGGAAGAGATCTTATCCTCGCTAATAAATTCTGAATGTTCTTGGGACTGCCTTCGTTACGTTCACGTTGGCTGCATCCCTTGTATGATTTGAACTGATAACTAATCTCTCTGAGGTTACAAGCTTGAAGTCTTGTTTTAAAGGGACAATCGGGGGCGGATTTCTATGTAAGATGAAATTTCCACTCGGATAAAGGCCTACAAGCCGAAGATGGAAGGCTGATGGTTTGTGTCAATCATGTTGCAGTAAGTTTTCATAGGTGTTTTATCTGCTGCAAACTAAATTTGTTGACTTTATGAACAAATCGGTTCCAATAGTTGACTTCTATGTGAGAAGTCACAGAGGCTAGCACTTTGAGTCCCCTGAGTAATTCTAACATAGTTGGAAGAAAAATAGACGATACATTAGATTTTTTCAAACCGTTAAATGTTCATCTAAGCTCTTATTAACATTTTAAGTCATAAGCCACAAACAAACACAAGCGAGTCACGGTTTAAGGTCGTGTCTCACCAGTTTCAACAGATCCTCTATGAGTCAGGACTCAGATTACTTAAGCTTAACTTGTAGTGTGATTATCTACACTAGATTCTCTGAATTTTGACATTATCAGCTTAAAGTTCTAACGGTAGCTTAATTTTATGAGGAAATTTATTTACGTGAGATGTAAGGAGTAAGGAATGTGGAAGCAAGCCGTGATGTGCTTTCATTATTAGTAGCTTCCGAGATAAAACTTCTAAATCTAACAATTTTCTTCGATAGTATTTGGTACAATTTAATAGAGTTTCGTAAGGTTCTAAATTTTTCAGCTCCACTTTCTCTCTAATATTTGACCCCTTGACAAACGTCCTAATGAGTATCCCGTAGACAATATCTGCTGAGTTCGGTCGTCAAACGACATCCTTTATCTCATTTTCACCGTCAGAATCTCTATCAAACATGACAAACCTCTAAAAGCTGTGTTATGCATCATGTAACAAGTTGTTTAACTTTTGTCTCAAGGTTGAATCTCACGACTTATTTCAAGTTTTGTTTTCATTAGAATTCTTCGAAGTATGAACAACCGAGTTACATGGTTTCACAACTCCCTAACGAAACCTCATATCTATTGTGACTTTATGTCCAGCTTTTTATCACATGACTTATCCATCAATCAAAATACGACTTACACAATCTTTGCACTGTCAAACCAATGACGTTCGACCGGTATGAGCGATCTAGCGCCTTCATTGGTCCTATGTCCGCCTAGCCCGTCCACTTGAGTCCAGAACAACAATACTAGCTTCCAATATGCGAATCGAATTAATTCGAATCATTTATTTCAGACATACTGTGTTTATATATCAACCAAACAGACCTCAACGCATCATAAACTAGGAAATAACATTTGTGCACAATAAAGCCGTAAAGTGACTGTGAACGTGGGAGGCAGTAGTCAATAAACTGAACATAGCTTAAGAACACTAAATCATAAAATAATAAATTATAAGTCAAAATAAAGCTTATGGGGTTATCCGGCTTTGCATTTGTCTTCTATATATTGAAAAGAAACGTGACATCCTTGATAGACCGTAGCAATTAATCTGCGGTGTGTGCTACTTATATCGACATAAGCACTATATAACACTGGTCAGGAATAAAATGTCCGGCAGCAGAAGGTCGAGAAGATCGAAAGGGAAAGAACGAGAACAGAAAACAATTGGTATGGAAATACGAGAACGATTAAGTCTGAGACAACTAATGAACATTTTGCAAATGAAGTCTTTATTGAATGGTTCTCAGATTTTACTGAGATATTCTGTAATGTCGTATTAAAATACGTTCGATTGTCCCCACTTGTGTTCTTGTTCATTACAAGTCACCTGCGATTGCAACTAAACTAATCGTATAATTGTTGTGCCAGTTCGTGCCATATAATTTGCCGACTTTAATCCTAACTTAATGAGCTATATAAGAAGAAGCATGTGGGCCTTTATATCAGTGTCTAGTGGATTCGCCTTATATTATCTAAGTGGTTTGACTAGTCAAATTTATGATGAAAATAATCACTTGGTAGATGACACGGAAATCGGTCTTCCTGTTAGTGAAGACCGCGGCAGAAAATCTCTTGGTTTTCACTTTAATTCAAATATATTGGTTGTTTGGATGTTTCAATTGATTTTTACGACTCCAACTAATCAGTCTGTTTTTGACATATGTGCATTCTCTGTGGATCACCTCGATATTTACGGCAAGTCACGAGCATTTAAACCAGAGATGGCTATTAATGAAATCCAGGACGAACACTTCATCCTATTTGGGACTCGTCAATTGGATGAACCCCTCCTAGAATGAACATAAACTTTGGACGCATGTGCTTACAGATGGTGAGCTTCTGAAAAGACGAAAAGTGAGTCCTAGACTTCACTGCTTTAAACCTGAAAGCAGTATTAAGTGTATGCACCGCAGCTTATATGAACTGATTGACGTACACATTATTTCTCGTTTCTGAACCAGATAGTTGCGAACAGACTGGTCTCAATAGACGATATGTATTTTGTTTATAAGATGAATAAATGCGGTCATTTGAGGTGACGCTTGTATGTACAATATACTGAAATTGTCTCACTTGTAAACGACACGACCAAATTACTCATACAGGGGAATACGGAACTTGATGAACTGAATCGCTAAAAAGCTTGAAAAGTTGAGAGCAAGAATACTCCCAGGTACCACTCACTGTATATCATTACTCTATCTCATACTTTATGTTTTCCATCAAATCTGACATGCCGGCTTTGTGGTCCACCAGGTTAAGCGTTCACGCGCGAGAATGAAAGCCGTGGGTTTGAAACCCGAGAGCACTTCTGAGGAGTCCTAGTGCTTTCAGGTTTCCAACAGTGGTCTGACATCAATAGGTTCATGATCTCAATCAAAATCATGTGATCAGATCAAGCAATGGATAATGCAAGGAGTGACTACCACTTGAAACTATTGTAGCTAGAATATATATGAAAAGCAAGCCACCTGATAAGTACACAAATTAGGGCACCCCAGGTCATTCCGACTAAACTTTTACTTGACACCTACCACTGTGCGCCACGAAGTCACTGGCTATGAGCTGCACATCCAAGAGCAACCACCTGGGTGAATTCCAACTCTTCCTTATCATTTGTCTGTCCTATCTTGTTTACTCTCTCTGCTAACGTGTCTATCGCCCCATCAGTTAGGGTTTTAAAAGATAGCTCCATCATCAGGTACTCACTCACTATTCACCATCTTACCAGTGAAACAGCTGCTAGTTGAATCCTGTAACATAGAAAAACAATTTGGAACTTGTTCTTAAACTTGCTGCATATCTTATAACTTATCTAGCTTCACCATAGCAATAATATATTATTATTATCCCTGCCACTATTATTATTATCTATCTGTCCTATCCACTTCACCAGTTTCGAATTTTCGTTGTTTCTTCGTCCTTGCCTATTTGTTTACTTATTTTGTTGTCTAATTAAATTACTAACTTTTCTTTGTCATTTAGCCCCCCGAATCTAGCCTACATCTTGAATTTTACAATATTCGTAATGCAATTGAACTATTCCCTACCTGGTAACGTGATTACTGCTGTCCCACAAACAACTGTCGAATTAGTTGAGGATAGTGCACTTCGGTAATATCGAGATCAATGGCTAGAGAAATCATTCGGTCTAAACTATCTCGTCATAAACATATTTAATGTGTGATAGCCTGTTCACATTTTATAAATGCTCCGCTTAAGTTCTTTGATTAACTTTGAAAGAGAATCACTGGATCTATGCAAAGTCTTCCACAACAGGTATCGTATGACATTACTCTTTGCTAATTATGTGAAACTTTGAAGGGAGATACGCAACCAAAAGGGTATACTGGCACTTCAGGAGGATTTGACTCGACTTCAAAGTTGGGCAGACGATAACGAATTTACCTTTAACATTTCAAAGTGTAAAGTAGTCCGAGACATGCTGCAGACTATAGCTACAACCTAGGCGACTTATCTATAGAAGTGATTCAAGTTGAAAAAGATATAGGAGTGCTGGCAGCCTACGCTTTTAAGTCTCATGTGACAAAAATGCCTTTCTAGCAAACCTTGCCCTGGTAAAGTTTAGGCGTATTTTTGGCCAGTTTGACGGACGAACTTTCCACATACCCTTCAACAGTGATTTTCGTCTCCACTTAGAGTACGGAAACATAGTATTTCCTCCCTCACTCCAAAAGGATAATAACACTCTGGAGCGTATCCAACGGCAAGCCACGAAATCAGTTCGGGGACTCGAATTCAAACCTTATGAAGAGCTCCTCCAATCACTTAACCATTACCCATTAAAGTACAGGCGTCTTATAGGTGACCTTCTAATAGCTTACACTATCCTTAACATTTCTGGACATCCCTTTAAAAGCCTACTTATGCTTAGCTCCAACACTAACCCAAGGGGTAACACCCTGAAATTGGAGATACAACACAACAGAACGGACTGTAGATACAGCTTCTTCTCCTTAAGAGTTTTCAAATGCTGGAATTTGATGTCGGCTGAACGAGTCCAAGCGACTTCTCGAGAGATATTTAAGAGGAAACTTGACCTATTTTTAAGGTTTAATGATAATCTATTATTATAATTTACCAATATGTTTTTCCTCTCTTGTCGTGAATATACGTGGGTTCCTGGCTGGAGATATTAGTGACCCACTGTCACTAGACACGGAAGCCCGCATTTGGCGAAAGCTTGTTCTATTCCGTCCACAACCATTTGAGAGATTTGAGTTGCCGTAACAATCCAGATTCTGCGCGACGTTTAAAACCCCGATGACCTTGAGGATGGAACAAGATTCCGTTCAGTAAATAAAATATTTCTCGACTTCATCGAAGCAGCCAATTAGTGTGTAAGTGGACTTCAAATTCTCAAAGAAACTCTTGAAAAACAGGTTTTGGTAAATAGCTACTTTAATTAGTGCTCTGGAAAATATCTCGTTGTATACCAATGTGCACATTAATATTAAGAATCTTATGATTTTCCACAATAAAATGAGAAAAAAGTGTTTATTAACGATACTTCCCGAAAATGACAAAAATGATGGTGTAAAATTGAAAGCCTGTAGCACTGAAACTAGTAAAGAGCGTAGTCAGCATCACATAACTTTTATATTGTCCTATTATTCTCATTTTTCCTTACTATTTACATCTCTCTGATCAGTAAAAATGGTGTCAAAAAGCAGTTTCTCACATACTGTAACCATTAAAGATTGTGTAGACTACTGGAAACTGACGTATATCCGCGTCTACAGCTTTTTGTGTTGCGTTTCTCATGATTATGGTGCAGATCTTTTTCGACGCATGAGATCTTCTTCTGTTTATTTTTCCTAAGTCGTTTTGGGTTCGAAAACTTTGCTTATCTGGGAATATCAAAGGGGCATGCAGATCTTGCTCTGACATTATATGTGCTAATTAGCTAATACTTCAATCTCCACTTGTCAAGATAGGTCAGTCGATCCGTATTAATCTTTTCAGTCTGTAGTACTGTCAAGATCAGGCCTTGCTTTGAGCGTGTCCACAGAGGATGCTGATATTACGTGTTCTGGTAGAGGATTCCGGTCGTTCACTATTTAGTTCGAGAAACGGAACTCTAGGTGTAAACTATTTGACCTCGGTTTTTGAACTTTCTTAGAATATCCTCTCAAATGATCATTCTCAAATGAAAAGGAAAAAAAACATTAATGTCAAGATCATTGCCATATGCGTGTGACAGTTGTATCATCATTACCACAAAACCTTTTCACAGTAGGTTAAGTGGTTCTCATAAGCTTGCTCTCTACTTAGTTAGTGGGCCACAATTGAATAATTGCCTTGTAAAATCGCAAAAATATCTTAACCGTCCGTCCACTTTGGTGACAGTTTTGTTTGATAGACCTATCATCCTAAATTTTCGCGGTTCGGATCAGTGATGGAAGCTATAGTGATATCACTATCTACTTAATCTTTCAAATGGAGGACTGATGATTAGTTTAGTCCTATAAATACTAAGGATAATTACTTCAAGTGTTGCTCCTCAATCACTATTATTAATTGGGTTGTTTTATCCCTCAGAATATAGCAAGAATTATACATTTTTGTAGCCAAGAATGCGCTCGTTACCCAGCGGCAGATCTCAAAAAAACAAATAATTCGCTAGTTCTGCCTAGCGGAGTTTACGTTTTAGATAATGTGCATTGGAACCAATGAACCCATTCGTTCAGATAATGCTTTTCAAAGGAGGTTGTAATGCTTTAAATGTTAAATAGCACATTTATCATATTTGTCAAGATCTGTTTTCATCACACATCTCTACTGATAAAGTTGTGTATAGAATCGGTAGCAAGTTTGACTCTAGTAAGATTGCTTTTTTTACATTAATCAGAGTTTCTGATTACTGAACTATAGAATTAGTAAGGACTTCAGGAACATTCAGATTTATTATTTATTACGGAGAAAATGTTCTTTAGTGATATGCATTGGTTGATACGAAATCATTTTAGGTTTCACTGTTTGGATAGTTTTCCAAAAAGATGAATAAGTGGAAAAAATGAATCCAGTGATGGGATTCTGGGAGAAATTGCGGATGAAATTAGATCGTGTTTCATCAACTCAAACATCAACATCAGAGAATCATAAAACAGAAACCAACACAACTACACCTAACTGTACTACAACTCATTCGACAAATAATCCCGTTCCAACGCCAGTGACCGTGAATGTCTATGATATGGTAAGAGAAATATATCTATTGATTCCCATATTTATTATCCCTTCATTGGTAGTTTTGTGGTTGCATTACTTAAGTGTACAGTCAACTGACAAAGTCATAGTATTATTTTAAGTGTGACATACAAATGTGTAATGTTTATTTAGTCGTAAAGAAAACGATAGATTTATGTTTCCAGAAGTCATAAAAGGAGACCGTTTTTATACAAACATTTTACTCCAATAAGTGAATATACTCATATTTTAGTAAATGATAATCAATAGATTTTAGACATCCGAAAATTGTAATCAATGTATTTCGAGAAACCATTTCGGATCTTTGATTTATGACCAGTTTTTTTCTAGATTAAATGATCTCAGACCTCTTTTTATGGGTTTTGTCCGATATAATCTGCTACATAGTCTATTCCGCTACCTAGTTAATTTTTTGAAATCGCCGTAAGATAAGTATTCTTATCTCTATTTGGACTTAAACCTACACTAATCAAACCACATACTGACCGAGAAATCAACACTGCCTGTATTTGATCTCTTATACCATTGGTTTCTCAAGTTCATCCACCCTTGTTTAAGAAACAGGTTATCTCTTCGAAGATAAATAGTATACAGTAATAGGTTTTGTCGATGTTCCACCATCTTGCTAGAGAAATAAAGCTTCTTTTGATTTTAAAACTAAGTATGCTTCCGTCTCCAGTTTTATTTCCCTAGCTGCAAGTGTTTAATATCATGTCAAAGCAAAAGAAACGTTTCTTACGTCTTATGAGATACAGTTGATGTATCTCTATTCAGAAAATCAGTAGAAAAGCACGTAACTTTATACAAAAAATTTTTTAAAAGTTTAGTGGCATTCGTTAGCCAAATACTGGTTTGCACATTTAACTCTTAAAGACTGTTTTATGAAGGTTCGTTGATTGCTCGGATCAGAAAATGTCGATTCAGTTTCAAATCTGCGGCTTAGTAATCGTAAGTTAAGTACTTTTAAAATTTTGAACCATCTCTTGGTTTTTAGACACATCAAGAGTACACATACGGTTTCAGAATCAAAATGCATTAAAATTAAGTTGATTGTCGCATAATAAAAGTTAGTTATGGAATCATTGTAGTACGTCTGTGCACCGAGCTAACTATTTTCAACTCCAACTTCAGTACGATGGACCAGGTAGCTTCTATCGTCTCCTTGCTGCTAACTAGAGTAAAAATGTCCAGGTTTTTCTAGGAGCTTTATTTAATATTTATTTGTTTGAGCATATAAACATTGGTAAAGAGGGGCACAAAATACATATATGCCACATGCTTTTTCTAATAAGGACTAGAATCGATTTACATTCAACCTAATTCAATTATATTTCTATTATTCAATGATTCAGTTAGTCTTATGCAGTGTAGAACATAGTACGTGTTTATTAATCCAAGTTACCACATAACATTAGCACAGAGAAGTGAAATTATCAGGTCACATTTTGGGATGGTAAAAGTAGTGAAATTCTCAGTAACATTAGAAAAGATTAGGTACAAAAAAGAACAACTTAAAGGGGATTTTCAGGACACAGGATCTAAGATAAAATGCAGAATGAATCTATCTGCGCCACTACAAATGATTGTAATTTACACCGTCTAACATCTGCAACTTTTAGTTGAGTTGAGGATGTTAGACAACTCTCTATGTTCGATCATCGCTGTCTCCGAAGGATTGCTGACATCCAGTGGCAACACCATGTCAGTAATGCAGAGGTTCGGCATCGTGTGTTCGAGCACAGAGATGGTAATGCAATCGATGTCACCATCTTGAAACACCGACTTCGGTGGCTTGGACATGTTCTCCGAATGTCGTCCCAGAGAATTCCACGTCGTGCATTATTTGCTGACTCTGGGACTGGTTGGAAAAAGCGGAGAAGTGGTCAGTGCATGACATGGTGTCGTGGTATGAAAGAAATCTGCAAAGGACTGGCTTCTGTCGGTCCTTCACGACTCCCTGGTTGGGGTTCTAGAGATGGTGCTACACAGTGGCTAGAGACGTTATCAGATATTGCTCAGAATAGAAGCCAGTGGCGATCCTGTTGTGACCTTCTTTTACTTTCTTCATAAAAAGTGGTTGCTTCTTCCTTAACTGAAGGATTTCTTCTGATTGTACCTTTTCGTTTCCCTCGTTATTATTACTACACTACGTTACACCAACCTCTTCGTTATTCTCTTTTTTTACGCTCCTCACCTTTTTTTTCTTTTTCTTCAAATTCTCGTTGTTTTGTGTGGCGCATATATATTGGCGCTCTCTTGTACCAATATTTATGTGTTCAAATAAATAAATAAATAAGTCGTTTGAACTTATCTATGTGGCTCAGACCAACAGGCAACAATTTCACAAAATGATGCTACCCCTCTTTTGGCTATCCCAAATTATTTTTAACCTTTCCCATTAGCTTTGGAATCATCTATGATCTTATTTATTTATTTGAACACCAATACTGGCAAGGAGGGAGCCAGATACATATGCGCCACTCAAATCTCATTTGATTTGTGTGAGGGCTATGATACTGCCTGGGTGCCCAAACCAGAGCGGGTGGCTTTATTAGGGGACCACATCCGGAGCCTTTGACCTAAAGGTCTGATCCACAAGACAATGAAGCAACGTAAGGAGATGCAGTCCCATGGTAACCGATGACCAACGATTGGTTCATATCCAATTTGTTCCCTCGATATATTGAAGTTCATCTGCACCACTGGTTTAGAATCAGGGTTTTTCAACTAACGTAGGTGGACTCTTTGAGTCCATCAACTCGGTTAAAGCGTCCTCTCAATTTCGTAAACAATAGTAATACCGCGAGAAGGTAGTGGGTAGAACTTTCCTGGCAGTGGTTGTATTCACGTGGCCATGTGAGAGCATTTCGAGAGGGAGAGCGGACTGTCTTCACTCTCGCCCGTACCAGGGCATTTGGGGGCACACTAATATCTACTGTTCTTAATATTCGTAGGTTGTTAGTGTTCAATTAATATGAGTTATGAAATTTATCTAAATAAGCAATCATTAATTGAACACGAAATTACAGTGTATTAAAAAATATTCGAATCAAATGACACATCTCATATTAATTAAATCAATATCAATTAAAATTCATTGAAAATTAATCAATGAAATTCAAATAAAATCAATATGCCAATTTATTGATAATCATTCCAAACACAATTATTTAGTAAAAAATATTAGTTTATATAATAGTTGAAAATCAATATAGATTCCCAAGGGAATTGAGACTAGTGACTTTTCTAAATGCAAGCGCAAGTATTTTAGAAATCTAATCGTTGAATTCATGAGTCAATTAAAGCTAAACCACTATGGAAAACCTCGAAGCAGTGGATGGTCGTTTTTGTCCTAGTATGAGACTCCTCAGCAGTGCGCGTTGACGATCCATAGTGGTCTAGCTTCAATTAGCTCATGAATTCAACTATTAAATTATTGTAATATACACAAAATCCCTCTTTGATTATATACAGTAGAGTTGTGTACTAGATCCAAGTTATTCTGTTCTTTATTTTTAAGAGTGCATTTGAGAATTCACTGTTATATTCTGCACACATTTTTAATTGGGCATTCGAATTTTAAAGATTATTTTTTTCAGTTGATGTATAAATTCTTCATCTTATGCTCACAAACTCGCCCTTAGCTTATCTCCTCATAGGTTAATTAAGTGGGTGTGTCTTGATAATTTCCTGGTATAATTAACTTCAGAATCCGCTTAAATGTAAGCGGTTTAATTGTCTCATTTAAAACACATTTAGTTGGAATGACCTGTTTAATTTTAAACAAACAATTATGTCCAATTAATTTAGTCTTACAAGAAATATGATTAGCCTTTGAAGCCTATAGAATCAGTCAGTAATATACAAAATGTTTACAGTTAATACTTAAAAAAGTAGGAAGTTAATTCATCCTAGTCAAGCTTGTAGTTTTTAACTCATGCAGTTTTTGACTGAAAATAATTATGCAAAACTGAATTATCTCTATTTGTCTACGTGTGTTGTTGATGCAAAACTTGGCATCAAGACATTTATAATGGAAAAATTAGAGTTGGAGATTAAATATTAACAAGTCATCCATAAATGTTGTATTGTCATATACGGAAATACGGGAACTTGTTCAAAGAGTTAGCTTGATGGAAATCACTGATGCGAATAATATGGGTACAAACTATCAGTTGAATTTTAAGGATCACTACATAAATAACTCAGCATCGCTCTTTTGTCTAGTAAACTGTTTATTTTGATCATGTTGAGTACCTTGGTTACAAAGCTTTTATTGTCTAATTCTACTGTGTTTTTAAACTTTACTGCATCAAACACATTCAACACGGAATACGTGATGTTTGTAATGCTTGCTCTTGAACACATCCTCATAGTGCGTCCATTCATTGAATTACATCAGTACAGATTTTCGAGTATATATAAAATAACATGTATTGATATCGTTAATAACAGATTATTTCACTTTGATATTGTATATTACACAACTCTTAACTGTACATAAATGTACCTGAAGTTACCTAACGTGTTACTTTCGATATTAAAATAATGATAATAAAAATCAAAGGTTGATCATATTGGTTTATTTTCTTAAATTACCAACACGAATCATATTATGAGTATATATAACAAGCCTTAACAATACTACTGATTTACTTTGGTAATCAGATGTCTATCAGTTTAGTATTGATAATGTAGGACCTAACACTAGTCTATCTGTTTAAGGTTGGCACATCTAATTCAGCAAATCGATCAACTTAACATGATCGGAAACAAGTAAGCTGGAATCATATTAATTATAGTGGGAAGCTAAATATTATAAAAAGTGGATAATACTAAGCTTAAAATTAAGAGAAAGATAAGAAACATTCTGTGCTCAATGTGTCCACATGTTATGATTAATTTTAGCATTGTAACCAGGATGTCTATATCTACACTGAAACAACCTAATCTACCCGTAAGATGTTGTGCATATCTGTCATTAGCTTCATACAGCCTTGTTAAAAATAATTTGAAACTGTAACAAACTGCTTTAATACACTAGATGTGGTTTCATCAATGGTATGTTAGAGAAGATTTAAATCAGTCAATCAAGTAGTCTGAACATTTTATATATGACCTCTTTAGTTCATTAAAATGCCAACATGTAATGTGTACCAATTACCATCATTCAATCCCATTTTTCGCTTGTCAGAAAAATCATATTCGCTTACAGCAAGCGTATATCTTAATCTGAAAATATGAGTGGTGTTACGTATGTAGACACAAACCACTTAACTGTGTAACAGAAGCTATGCTTTTGGTTGACGACTATCGTTTTGTCTTGTTGTTTAGGATCAAACTGCAACCTCAGAGTTTGTGTTTATTGTACTCGGACAAGGTCAAGACATTTCAATACTAGTCAGACTATCAACTAGAAGTCATCTTATTTGATTCGCAGACCTAGTTGGACATTGATAGGTCCGTAATTTGTATACACCTAGTGTAGGGACGGGTTTTTGTCATTGATTATATACATCATTCTATATTGAATGTTTGGTTCAGTTATTACTTGAATAGTATAGTAGAATGATTTTGGTCTGAATATAATAAATAACGAAAGTTTCTACAATATGGTTTTTTTAAGCACGTAACACGTAAAGTTGTCTCATATTATAGTTATTATCACATGAATTTTCTAGTTTCTTTTATTATGTAACTTGAAATATTTAAGTACAGTTTCTGATCTACCAGGCTTAAAGTAACACCGCGTTTATAGGCTCGATTGTATTATTTGGCTGTTCAAGCTGAATTAGATGGAACGGAGTTAGGAACCACAATCCAGTAAGCAAAGATGCATAATGGCTAGTAGCGGAATCCAGGACGCTCGTCTCGTCCTATTTGGAACTCGTCAGCTGGATGTACCTGCATCCCAGAGCTGACGTTCACTCCGGAACTCAAACCCAGTGCCGTTCGCTTCAAACACCATCGCGTTATCCACTTAGCTACTGAGTCCTGATAGCCTCCTGCTTGGGTAATGGGGTGAAGTTGATATTTACTTGGTATTGTGTAATTGAATTTTCCCATGCAGGTACATCCAACTGACGAATTCCAAATAAGACAAGACGCGCGTCCTGGATTCCACTGCTAGCCACTGTCCATCTTTGCTTATAGTACCTGTGATTTAAAGCAATCTGCACAGGATGCACATATTCCAATAAGATACTGATCACTTGCAGTCCTAAATATTGATGGAAAGATTCAATTAAATAATACCGAGTCAACCTACAACCCAGTATTTGTATATAAATTGGTTTTTAAAAACAAAGTAACTGCTTTTGGCTTTTCTTACCATACTCTTTCAACTGTGTGACAATAGTAACGGTGTAAATTAAATGATTCATATTTTGTATCGTTTAATTCTTCTACCATGGGTCAGGCAATAATGATAATAATAATAATAATAATAATAATAATAATAATAATAATAATAAAAACAATGATAACTGTAGGTTTATCTACATAGTAATATTCGTGTAACTTTCAATCATTAAATGTGGAGGTCACACTGTTCATCATCTTAATGACGATATCAGTGTTTTCTTGAAATTAAGCAAAATATTGTGACTGTTTTTTTATATATATTACCATCATGCTTCCGTTTGTTTCCTTCTGTATATCTTAGCCTAGTCATCAATTTTTATAGATAATCTTTGGAAAAGATAGCTTGTACACTTCTATTTCCGTATAATGAACAAAACAACCCCACTTGTATATGAAATTTATGACAGTTAGTTTATATTATTTAGATTATTGAAGCAAATTAAAATCAATCTATTCAGGTTAAGTGAGGGTTTTTTCAATAATTATAAATAGTTTTCAATTAGTTTTGATTATCAACTAGCACCACTTGAAGAGGAGTAATTAAAAAAAAAGAATCAAGCATTTAAATGATAAGTATCTGATGGGGTTTTGTGGAGATTTTAATAATTCCAATAATTGAGATCATGAGTTAATTGAAGCCATGGAAAACCTGGAAGCACTGAATGACCGTTTCGTCCTATTGTGGGAATCCTCAGCAGTGCGCATCCACGATCCTGTCCACGGGATTCGGATCCAGGACCTATCAGTTGAATGATTGTTTTATCTTAGCTTAGAGCTTTTACATAATGCATACTCCACCTACTCTTGGGTTATCATGTTTCATTGAACTTGATATCATATGTTTTGTTTTCCTACATCAGTTAATCTGTAATATTAGCACAATTCCTCATTTAAAATAAACTATCGAATCTCAATTCATTAACTTAACATTAGATAATATTATATTTGCTTCATAAATTCTGAGTTTACTTCGGTAGATCTTCACTATTAAAGATTCTTTAACTTAAAAGAAGCATCTGTTCAATGTGTTTCTCGATTTTTTTTAAAATGAAAAATTGACTATATCATGTCACTTATATCGAATCGATCGTCAACTTGCGAGAAATTAAGGGTGTGTATAATGCCTATTCTTTTCTAGTTTACATTAGAAGCAATGAAGTAAACACAACTAAAATAACTTTATAGTAGACTATTGTTTCATCCTATTTACTTTTATAATCAAACTGAATTGATCTAATTTCTTTATTGTTTATCTTTTTATATGTTTTGTGACATTTTAAACCTTGATATAATTCGATTTATCTACCGTGGGTTGATCATTTAAGTTTACTAATTGAACAATGATGATCAATTTCATTTTGATCATGTATGTTATTTCATATTCAGTAAATGAATTGAATCATTTGTCTTGAAATTTAAAGTTTCAATAAATAAATTGGTTGAATTTATGATTGAATTAAAGTCAGACCAACATGGAAGCACTGGACGACCGTTTTGTCCTAGTATGGGACTCTTCAGCAGTGCGCATTCACGATCCTGTCCGCAGGATTCGAACCCAGGACCTACCGATCTCTCTTGTGAACTCTTAACCTCTAGACCACTGAGCAGGCATCCAACGGTGTTAATGTTCAGCTTCAATCAATCCGCAAGATTGCGCCACCTTCCATCATTGTCTTCAGTTAGTTACTATCTCACAACAGACCTTATTGAACTCAACTGGTCATGACTTACTAGGATTCCGGGACGCGTTGACAACTTCACTTATCTTGGAAGTCTGGTCAGCCCTAATAAGTTGGTGTCTGACGAAATCTCAGCACGGATTCGAAAAGCTCGCTTGGCTTTTGCCAACTTACGTCACCTATGGCGAAGGTGAGATATCCGTCTATGAATAAAAGGATGAGTATACTGTGCGGGAGTTCGTTCTGTTCTACTTTACGGCTGCGAAACGTGGCTATTAAGATTAGAAGATATTCGAAAATTACTAGAATTTGACCACAGATGCTTTAGAAATATTGCTCGCATTTGCCGGGATCATCGGGTAAGTAATAGTGAGGTTAGACGCAGGTTATTAGGGAATGATGGTAAATCAGTTGATGAGGTTGTGAGTCTGAAATGTTGGGTCACGTGTTACGTATGCCTGAATACTAATTACCACGACGCGCAATGCTGACCAGTGTTGGGAGTGGTTGGAAGAAAGCTAGGGGCAGCCAAACCAGAACGTGACATCAGTGCTTGAAGTCACTAACTTCTGGTCTGAGCCATGTTGGTAGATGCAGACTATCGTTACCACTGGTCGGAGACTCTGATTGACATGGCTCAGAATTGATCACAATGGTGTAGGTGTATGCACTCTTTGTGTTCCTTTAAAATATGAGATTAAATTCGCTTCATATTTTTCTTTCTACCAACTACTTTCTTCCTTATATGCAATCTTTCTTTTATATATTACCACTGTTGAATTAACTACTTCCATGGATCCGGTGTTCATCTTCTTGTGCTAATAAGGTTATGGCAACTTGAACCGATGCACATATGTGCCTGGTCCTACGTTGTAGCTGACTGACTGAGAACTCCGAGAAATACCTTTTGAAGTCAGTCACTAGTGATCAGATGATGATTATTATCAGAAGAGGGTATATTGTAGAGATTTTAGTAATTTAATAATTAAATTCATGAGTCAATTGAAGCTAGACCATCATTGAAAACCTAGAATCATAGATGTGCACTGCTGAAAAGTCCCATACTAGAACGAAACGATCATCCAGTGCTTCCAAGTTCTCCATGTTGGTTTAGCTTTAATTAACTCATGAATTCAACTATTGAAATTACTACAATTTCGATAAAACCCTCCTTCCTATAATAAATTGATACTAAATATCTTGATTCGTTCCAATTATTTCTTGATAGACATTAAATTGTTATGTTATTTATTCTTAAAATTTGTTTTCTTGTCTCAGTCATACTACTTAATTGAGTTACATATATATTTTTCATAGTCGAATCTGGACTTTGCATAGTTTATAATGAGTCATTTGCTCGACATTCAGCATATCTCCAGGATGATTTGTAAGGACTATAAGTTTTATGCTCTTCAGTATATACTGTAAGCATGTTATCCTTCAGTGAAATAAACCCTATTCTATTTTCGGGTTATCATTATCACTTATATCAAGGCCTTATCTTCTATCGTTTTTACTGATTGTTTTGTGATTAGGTTACACAACCAATTCTAGACTGTTACATAACTTTTTGCTCTTCTTCCCTAATGGATATTGATTTATTGTTTAATAAATGCTTTATAATCATATTGAATTTATAGTTGTGGATAAATGATTACGTCAGTTCTCTTGGTATTGGAGTTTATCATACAGGAGTTGTAGTTCATGGAATTGGTAAGTGTTAACATCTTTGTTTCCGATTCACTTATAATTTGCAATGTTTATTCAGTTCATATTTGTAGGATTATATAAACTGAAATAAACTAGTAAATACAACTGAGGATGTGATCAAAAAACAAAATAAAACCACTGAAATTACCACATTTCTTAGTCATACAAGCGATAATTAAAGACATTTGTATTTGTGAGAGAAATGATCTAAGAATACTAAATCTGAATTTAAATGACCTGTGAAATTTCAATGCTTTCCCATTGTAAAATTCAACATAGTCAGTATATCTCATTTAGACACTTTAATATTTTTTTCCTAAATGCCATTATGCTCGTTATGGAATCATGTTCTTGCATCTATGTGATTTTAAAATTTAACCCTTTCTAAACCTTTAAAATCGTAAAATAAAGCATTCCATGCGAAAGAGGACTTAGTTCCTGAATTTCTGACTCAGTGCTTGCATAGCAACAGGTGGTTACACATACTTAACACATGTCTTAACCACCTAGTTTTATGAACATTTATAACTTAGTCGACTGGTTTGATATCTTTTCCTAGTACCTTGTACTTAACCTCGACTGAGTGAGCAACATTGAGGTTAGGGATGGAGTATTTTCTGGGTGAGACGCAAAATCGCTTGATGAGCTTGTACATATTCATTGGTACAAGTGGTCATGACATGTGTTATCCATGCATAACCGCTGTCTACTTCGACGAACGACATTTTTTGGTGTAGAGGTAAGTTGAATGAACGTTAGAAGTGGCTAAATTAAAATATGAACTCAGTCCATGAAGTCACTGACTCTTGTCTTGAGCTATGTAAGTGCATGCCGATCACCTGGTTGGGGTTCGCGTGATAATTGTAATCAATCGCTGAAGATTTTGGACGACATGGCTCAGACAATGACGTAGATGCATTCAGACTTTATTTCCTCAATATGGAATCTCAGCGTTCCGTCATACATACCTATAAACCATATCTTTTTAAACCAGATTCCCAGTGCTTATTCCTTCTCAATATCATTTCTGAGACATTATTTTCTATTACTTTTGCTATTCGTATATATATATATGTATATTGGTCGTTTGGATCCCCCTAATGATGTTTAGGAGTATAATCGTTCAGTCTCTTTTGACATATTTGGATTCTGTTTGGATCTCCTCGATATTGCAATTGAGTCACAAGTATTTTAAGCAATATGGATGGTGCTTATTACTGGAATCGAAGACGCGCATTTCGTCCTATTTGGGGCTCTCCAGTTGGATGTACCTGCACCCCAAAGTTGATGTTCACCCCATGACTCTAACACAGTAACGTACGCCTCAAATTCACCCCACTACAGAAGCCAGTGACTATCTGGACTTGGTAGCTAAGTGGATAACATGATAGCTTTGAAGCGAACGGTACAGGTTTCGAGTCCCGGATTGCACATCAGTTGTGGGATGCAGGTACATTCAATAAACCAGTCAAAATGTGAAGAATCGCGTGTCCTGGATTCCACTGCTATCCAATATCTATCTCTTTTTAAACTGCTTTGACCACTCATTTTGTTAATCTCATATCATCCTGCTAATATGACAGATAATCTAGCCAAATTATCATTTCATTATCATAACCAAGGAAAAATAAACCTATTTTTCCTGTCCTGTGAAACGCCCATTTACAGTAGTTCGTTCTACTTCGAGGTTATAATGTATTATAATTGTTTATCACCCATTCAGCTGTAGTTTGTTTAAATTTAATGAAGAATTGTGTTTAGAGAGCCATTGTTTTGTAAATGAGATTTTTTGGGTGCGAAATTGCAAATTAGTTATGTTGGCAATTCTTATAAGTCATACTTTTTTCTAAAATCAGAAGTCGATCTTTCTTATTTTTCTCACCAAAATTCCTCCTCCACAGACATTGAAATGTATTCTTTTTAAATTATCCCCGTATTTCCCCAGTTAGTGAATATAAATTTTTAATATGTCAGTTTATCTGACGGCTGTATACACACTGAAATGTAGACTAGTACTTGCTTTTTTTTCTTAAAACATTCAAAGATTTCGTCGAAAGCCAATATTCCTTGTTCTGTAATAGTTAAAGTGTTGTTGTTACCTTAGATTTTGTTCGATCCTTCTATATTTATATTGTTAGCTTTTATAGATCATCGTACTGCAAGCGTTCAATCTTCAACCTATTTTTTTATACTTTTGGTATATTTATTGGTTGGGCATCAGAGCATATAAGTGATAATCTGAGTGCTACTATTGTTACAATTGTGTCAGATTCACTAGACAGTTCGGTTCCTTTGAAACTTCACATATATCTGAAATATAATGTCAATTTTTCCTGTCTATATTGTATATTTATAAAAGGTATCTGGTACTGAATAATTGTATATATAATTATGTTGTGTTGGATTATGTTAATTTCAGTAGTATTATTAGTTAGAATTACACTATCACTAAATGTACTTTATTATTATTTTGTCGTCATAGAATATTCATATGGTGGACATCCATTAACCAACTCTGGAGTATTCTCTATGTTACCAAGAGATTCTGCTTATTTAGGCGAAAATTATTCGTACAAGTTAGTATCATTTTTCTTTGTCTCTAAATGATTTATTCAGAATATTTGTTTCATTATTTACATTTGATCATATGCACTTTGCATTGTGTACTCACAGTGTCTGTGACAATGATTTTGGTGGAGTTTTGTTCAAAATCATCCATTTGAGTTATAAATCTTTTCCACCATTACAGAGAGTGATTATTTGAAAATTAATCATATTCATGTAAAGTTATCATCTAGGAAGACAACCATTTGAAAATCAAGGAACACTCTGTACATCTAATCCGTCTTCATTAGTATCCAGGCGATCTAATTAATCATCATAGAAGAATATTTACGCTAAGACTGAATTTTGTTTAAATCAAGTTATGAATACATGGCACCCTTGTTCATATATTTTATGATGATAATCATTGAAATCTGTAACGCGTATTTGGTCCTTGTGTTGATATTTGTTAAGTTTGGTACTTGAATCCTTAACCCTGATTTCTAATCACTGTTTAGTACCTCAGAAATCTCTTACACTTGAATCCTTAACAGGAGACAAAAAGCTGGTAATCTGGAAAGTTTTACGAAAATATTTATAGGTTTATTCGTGAACTTGATATTCTAGGATATTTTTGGAAACTAGTATAAATTTAGTAACAAAATTAATTATTCATCTACAATGTGGTACGTAAATTACCGCTTCTCCAGAACTATTTGGGAAGTTCCCGTTGAATCTTAAGTGGATGAAGTATTCTTAAATTTTCCTGAGCCTCTGAAGAAACTTGAGGGCGGCACTCAACAATATTCATGTTAAGGCTGGAAATGACGTCCTAACGCTCAAAGCTTACCGAGGCGTTATTCACTAGACTGCTGATTCGTTTAACAAGCATGATATTAATTATTTATTGTAAAGTTTTTCAAAGTCCATTTACCAATTAGAAACTGATCAAATTCAGTCCCGAATATCAACAAGAGAAAAATACAAATCTGTACAATTAATATTAAATATCATATCCTTTAACCAAGTTATTGGGTGTTCACTGTTCCAGTGAATAACTGATATTTAAGGTAGTAGATACTAGTTTCAAGTCTCAATGTGGAGATTAACACCAGAATAATTACTGGTAAGTCTCAGACACAACTGATTGCGCCTCCTGAATTTTAGTGTTATACAACATCAAAGCATACGTTCAAAGTATATCCATTTTCGAAAGGACATTGCTTAGATTCAAATCTCAGTTTTAACAACACTTCATTAATGAACCTTTGTAACTATAATTACTACCTGTCCTTCTTGCACATTCATGTATTTCTTTCGAAAATCATTTTTATTGTTTGGTCCAGTTTATATTGAATCCTTTACATTTGTCTTCAAACATTTAATGCGTTATCGATTTGTTCTCAATTTTGACGTGACGGCTATATCGCGGTACTTTGCATGTAATGCACATATCCCAACGAACACTGATCAAAGTCCAATCATGAATACCAACAACGGGATAACTTAAACCCTTACTATTCGTGATTTATGAAACTCAGTGTTTACGTACTATTGTGGTATGTGCTTTTGATGTCGACAGAAATAAGTAGCATGTATCACCAATCGGAGGTGGAATGCCTGACGGCAGAACGTTGAAGAAATCGAAGAGAAAAGAACGAGAAGAGAGATTAATTGGTATAAGAACGAAGAAACAACAAGGTCTGAGACAATTGATGGATATTTTGCAAATGAAGTATTAACTGTACGGTTCTCAGATTTTACCAAGACATTCTGTAATGTATTAGGATCCATTTGGTTGTTCCCGTTCACTACACTATGATACAAGTTTTTCAATACGGGTTGACACATCTTATAGTCCCTAAAGATACCACTAGGGATAGAAGTGTGCAAGAAAAGTGAAACCGGTGTGTTAGTCGTTAGGGCGTTGGATGTTTATCTATCAGGTCTCATGTTCGAACCCCGCTTCGTCTACTTTCTCTTGGATATTTGGGTAGTATAATTAGCTCTCACACTTAAAATATGGTTTGTACACAAATACCTGGTGGATGAGTACCATTATGGAGGATTCACCCAGGGCAGTTGGGAAACCCTGATTCCAAACCAGTGGTGCACATGGCGTCCAGGATTCTAAGGGAACAAGTGGCGTATGAACCAAATACTGGTAACCGGCTACCATAGGACTGCATCTCCTTACGTTGCTCCACTGCCTTGTGGATCAGCTCTTTCGGTCAAAGGCTCTGAGTGTGGCCCTCTAAGAAAGCCACATGTTTCAGTTTAGGCACCCGGGGAGTATCACAACCCACACACAAGTGACTTGTGTGGTACATATGTATTCGGTGCCCCTTTGTACCAATATTTATGTGTTCAAATAAATAATAAACTGCCTCGACATAGCCGATGTGATACAACTCACCCGTTAGTACGGATCACGTGTCTAATGCTCTCCGGATTTAGACGCAAATAGATATTTTTCCCTTAGTAATAGTAAGACGTATTTTCAAATATTGCCACTAATCGTATTTATGTATTTTCCTCTGGAGAGTCATTGAAACTATTTAAGAGCACAAAATTAAGTTTATCCTGCGAATATCTCTACATATGTCTGAATTGTTATAACGTCGCTGCCTTGAGGGTGTTGTAAATTACTCCAGAAAATTAATTGTTGTCCATGTGTTGAATTCCACTTAATATTACTCATTTCAAAAGTGTAGATTTCTTTACTCAGCTTTTGGTCACACTTTTCATAAAAACTGATCTTCCCGTTGTTTATATAAAAGTATTTGGGAATGGGTTCTGTTAGCGAGATATAGATTGGATTAAAACATATTCCGTGCAGAATTGTGTTAGGGCACGCCGATTAGCTATTTTTAATCAATCAGCACCAACGGGTGCTTGGAAAAGACTTTAGAATCCTCTTATGTAAAGATGATAAATATACTAACGTTTTTCTTATTGTGATTGCCACTTCCGTCCAAATTTGTTTATTCGGAGGATAATTACGTTCCTGTTCAACCGTTTTCTGATTCGGTGACTTGTCTAGTGAAGTAATGTCCAAGATGACTAAGCATTAAGAATAGCTGGGTCTTAATAAAAGAATTTATAACAGGTTCGAATCCAGATTGAGTTTTACTATGTTAGTTTTATCATGTCTAGTAATGTTTCTGATATGACGAGATAAGATGACATTATTTATGTTAATATTTTCTGCATAAATTCATTATAAATTTCGGCCATGGTGATAAGTGCAAACTTTGTTCACTGACGTCTTAAAGTCCATATTTTCTTGTGTCAATTTGGTATAAACTTTTTTCTATATGACAAGTTTGAACTCTCGTTCCCTGTATTGATTCAGCTGAACTATATTTATTTTTTCTATTGTAACTCTGTATACTTCCCTCCAATGTGATATTATCGTGTATGAAATTCAGTATGTAAATGATTGAATTATGGTCTAAAGATGATGTAATTTTGAGAATTGTGTAGAGACGTGTTTTTGGAGAGTCAATAAAATTACATCGCACCAGTCTTTCATGTTTTTACTTTGCGCCATGGGAATTGTAGGGGTTTCCGTTTCCCAATATAAGCAGTAAGTCTAAAGACTCAACAGAATCGATACGTACATAACAGCTACGACTTTCTATGCACAACAGTTGGCTAGCCAGTTACAATTGTGCCGAGGGAGCCAAATTTTCCTAGTTACAACTGTTTCACTGTTAGAATTAATGTATAAAGATACACTAAATGAAATTACTATAAAAAATCATTGTTAACTTTCATGTTATATCTTTCTTAGAGTGACATTGTCCATGGGATATACAGATTTTACAGCTTCCGACGTTCCTTTATTACTAGAGAGTATAACGACAGATTATCGTGGTGATCAATATCATTTATTGAATAAAAACTGTAATCATTTCTCTGATACATTTGTTCAGGTTGGTTTTACATTGTATTTCTATGTTATTGATTTATTTTGTTCATTAAGAAAACATTTTCTACTTCTTGTTTTCTAATGTCATGTGTTATATGTGTAAACTTCGAGGATATTTAATTCATCAACAAACCAGTATAACAGTGACTATTCAAAGAATCCTGTTTACTAATATAATATCAAATGGAGAAATATTTTGCTTATTTTAGGATACCTAGAACGTATGATTGCTTTGGAGTATTTTTTGGCTCAGTATATACCGCCTTACATTGCACTGGTTTTTAAATACATATTATTAAGTTCATCAGTGATCAGCTTGTGTGAATGTATTGAATTTATATATAAAGAATATAATCTGGTTGTCGAATATTTCTACATTCAATCAGTGGTGGGCCAAAAGTTCAAGTCTTTGAAATTATTACAAAACTTATGAGAAGCATTTATGTAAATGAATATTAACAGTCAATAAACAATGTAGAAAAGAAATGAAGAACTATTACAAAGTTGGTTGCTCACAAGTAATAAATGTCCTCTTGTGCGAGTAAATTCAAGATAATTTGACAATTTTATGTGTGGGGCAATTATTATTCCTAACACAGTTGAAAGAAGGACCTTATGGAACCTTCTTCAACACTATGATGTGCTTGAGACGATTGTCTACATCATACGGAATTCATACGACAGACTACACTGCGAAGTCGTGAATGAAGGACAGAAGACATGCATTCCAAATGAGGAGCGGTGTCAGATAAGTCTGCTTACTCCCCTTTCTCTTTCTTCTGGTGGTTGACTGGATTATGAAGACCTCCACATCTGAGGGAAAGCACAGAATACAATGGACAGCATGGATGCAGCTAGACGACTTGAACTTTATAGATGACCTATCTCTTTTATCCAATACACACCAACAAATGCAGATGGAGACAAGTGTAGCAGCAGTCTCTGCATCGATAGGCCTAAACATACAGGAGGGAAAAAGCAAGATCCTCAAATACAACATAGAGAACACCAACCAAATCACGCTTGATGGAGAAGCTCTGGAACAGGTGGATTCTCTCACGTACCTGTGCATCATCATCGATGAACAAGGAGGACCCGATGCAGACGTAAAGGCAAGGGTTGACAAAGCAAGGACCGCATTCCCACAATTGAAGAACATATAGAACTCAAGACAACTGTCAACCAATATCAAAGTCAAAATCTTCGATACAAACGTCAAGGCAGTCCTACTGTACGAAGCTGAAACTTAGAGAACCACTACAACCATCAAAAATGTACAAGTATTTATAAATAGCTGTCTACGCAAGATACTGGATGTTCGTTGGTCGTGTATTATCAGCAACAACCTACTATGGGATAGAACAAAGCGGCTTCCAGATGAAGAGGAAATTAGGAGAAGACGTTGGAAGTGGATAGGACATACATACAGAAATCATTAAACCGCATCATGATTCAAGTCCTAACTTGAAATGCTGAAGGGAAACAGAAAAAGGAAGGTCGAAGAACACACTACATCGGGAATCGGAAGCAGATATGAGACGGATGAATAGCAACTGAAAAAGATTGCCCAGGACAGGGTTGGATGGAGAGTGTTGGTGGATGGCCTATGCTCCTCCAGATGGGGTAACAGGCGTAAGGGAGTAAGTCGATATAAATATACAGATATTACAATGAAGAGTAGGCCAGAGAAATATTGAGAGCGGCTACGACCAACGAATGTGGGTTGTTTGAATATCAAAGCTTCCTGTGCCTACCATCTAGATATTTCAACAACCTACATTTTCGTTTGTTTTAACACATTACTACGTCTATTAATCGCATAACCCATCCAAGTGCGTATATGAAAAGTTTGCGACTTATCACTGTACAAGGTACAAAAATATACAATCAGAGATATCGTGGTGGTTGATAATATGCATTGAAAAGAATGTACATTAATCATATGTCGATTTCATAAATGCTAACTTCTAACTGCCGATCACTAATTAGCAAGGCGAACTATCTTCATTTCTTGCTAAGTCTAAACATATATCGTAATTGTGGGATAATCACAACCCAAGAATCCTGGTTAGATGACTTACAAGACGATTGTTTAGTATCACTATAAGGTTTCAGTTTTTATCATCATGATCGATCAAGCAATGAAAAAGTGTAGTGGCGGTGTAGCTACATTTGTAAATGTGAACTGGTGTCGATTTGATTTTGCATGTCTTAAGTTTACAAACGAATTTGTCAGTTGTTCAACTTTAAGATGCCTAAAACACATCAGTTATGTTTATGTTAACAACATCTACGTGACTTCAGACTGCATATCATCTGCACTATCTGTTTTCGTCGATTAATTCACTGGATTTGCTATTACTCCCTTCAATGGCTCACTTTCATTTGTATATGGTGATGTTAACTCATGTGACTGTAGCTTTCTTTCCTTGCTAGATCACCAAAATGTAGTAGATTTTCTCACTCGTTTGAATGATCATTTAGACTTCGTGTGGGAATATATGTAACCCTTTAAGTGCCCTGGTACAGCCGAGGGTGGAGAGAGTCTGCTCTCCCTCTTGAAATGCTCTCACATCGGCACGCGTATGCAGTCACTGTCAGAGAAGTCCTACTCACTGCCTTTTAGAGGCGGGGATGTTGTCTACGAAATTGAGAGTACGAAAAGCGAATGTCCAGTGCACATGAGCTCAGTTTGTTTGCTTTTTTTTGTAAAAGTAACTTTTTGAAATACTTCGTGCTACGTATTCCATGTTGTACCCAAAATATAACATTGAATAAAGCCAATAATACTGCTAATAATAAATACGTATGAACATTTTTGTCAGGATCTGGTTTATTAATGACCACTGTGAGACAGAGAACTCTGAGCGCGATGAGTATCACATGTATTATATTGAACAATAATCAGTGTAGCATATGTATTTACAAAAGGAAGTTAGCATGTCCATTTAAACAATAGAATCGTACTAATTAAATGAAATTATGAAACGTATGAATAATATTATTAAACCTATCTGGATTAATAAGTTTTTTTATATACTGAATAAATACCTTGATATTTGCTTTCTTCAGTTACTTTGTGGTCGATCTTTGCCTAAATGGATAAATCGATTGGCTACAATTGGTTCCAAACTTCCATTTATTGAACGTACACTACCAGCTGAATGGTTGAAACCACATCAACAGGTAAAATTTTATTTATTTAATTGTCAATTCATATCATTATTCAACATTGTTTAGCTTACATATAAGTAATAATTCAAGTTGGAAGAAAATTTAATTCAAAATTATTTACAAACAGGTTATCGTACTGATATCCTATCAGCTATTTTATCTGTGTTTCATTACAAACGTTTTGGTATTGAGCTAGATCGTTTCTTTAGAAACAGTTTTATCATTATTTACTTACTTACTTACTTACTTACTCCTGTTACCCCTCATGAAGGAGTACAGGCTGCCCACTAGCTTTCTACATCCAACTCTGTCCTGTGCAATCCTTTCCATTTGTCTCCAGTTGCTATTCATCCTTTTCATATGTCCTAATTCTCGACGCAATGTGTTCTTTTCCGTGCAATCATGCTCTTAGGAAATTTAAATAGAATATTTGTTCAACAATTGCTTGTGGTATGAATAATAACATAAAGCATGCGAAAATCCGATTCATAATCTTCTCTTAATTGTACTTCATAATTAAGTCTTAACATAGTCGAGATTTGAATGTCGAGCGAAATTTTGTATCGTTAATCGTTTCACATTTTATTATAGTAGTATTAATGGTACCATTTTTTCAGTTATTTGATCACATGAAACACGTAAGCCAAATCAAAAGTATACTGTTGGAAAACATGAAAGACAGTTCACCGAAGGCAATTTTCTCTTCGACAATGTTGTTTACTTTTGCTGTATATTTAGCTAAATTTTCTGAAAAAAATAGCAATCTATAATTAAATATAGAGATGGTTTTCATTGAATTTCTGAACCGATCAATGTTGGATCAATACTGAAAACCTGAAAGCGCTAGACGGGCATTTCTTACAAGTATGGGACTATCCAGATGTGGGTATCCACGACTTTGCACACGAGAATCAAACTCACGATTTTCGGTTTCTTGCACACTTCTGAGAAGTTCCATACTAAGATGAAATGGATGTCTAGTGCTTCCAGGTTTTCAGTGTTAGTTTAAAATTGATTAGTTCATAATTTCCATGAATCTCAACAATATCCACAACCTTATACTCATAATAGAGTTATAAAAAGTGGTCAAAAGATTTACATATGAAATATAGTAGTCTGTAAATCAAATAGATGTTACTCAGTTTAAAATTATCCAGAATAAGAGTGGTATTGCAAAAATAACCAAAATCCAGTTTAAAAGCTTAATTTGTCAAATAAAAGATCCTATGTCTATGTTCAACAAGAAATCTGAGCTAATCAAAACAACCGTTGTAAATTATTATCATCAATACACGAATACAATGTCTATCTTTTATTCTGAATAATCGATAGTTTTCTTTTTACTTCTTTCCAAAACTTTTTTTAACAACTATTAGTTAACTGCTATTACAACCTTTATGATCATTCTGTCCGTCATATTCATTTAGTGGATGATGTGGACAGAGAAACAATAAGCTTTGACAAATTACGGAAGTTATTTTTCGGGACGTTATTTCGTTTAATTCAAAGGTTGTAAAACAGTGACATTTATTTTTGTCCCAAGTCTATTCTACATATCATAAGTTTTCGTTCGATGTATGATTCACTGCCTTAGCCCTTTTCTGTTCCAAAGCTATTGTAATCTAAACATAATATTTTGTACTCCATTTTCTAATCTAATTCCCAGCTTTGGACATAATTGTATTTTCCTAATTATTGTACGTTGTGGTCGGGTTAGTCATCTATTTATTTATGTACCTTTTTACAATAATCCGAAATCGGGAACCAGATCAGAATTGAGAATGAATCGAGTAGTGTTCCAGTTGATTTGTCTTCTCTCAGTTGCGTGCTTGTCAGCCATTCAGGTGATCGAATAGTTTTTTCTCTCTACCCCACTTCGAACTCATGCATACTAGCTTCAACGTTAAGCCGGTTAGCCTATCGCGTCAAGGTTTTATTGTAGATTAGACAAGTTATCCTCAGCACCAAAAGTGAGTAGACAGATCAAGGACGTAACAGTGGACAACTATCATTCTCGTCTATAAACTTTCATCCAAACATATTCTTTACATAACTTCCATTTGACATTTTAAACAACTTATGATACTATAATATTTTAATCATGATAACCGTTTTGAATGACTCAATAGACTTCTATTTTATCATAGAGTACTATGTTGATGTTGTTTTCTTTTTAATTAACTATAAATGTGATTGTACAGCTCAAGTAAACAACAACATCAAAACGAAGAGTTTCTTCACTAAATTATTCTTTAAGTCTTCCTTTATAAAACAATGTGTTTCTTACATTGTTGTATTAATAAGTAAGTTGGATTCGAGTTTCTTTGTAATTAGTTTGTATTATTTGTTTGAATCTTCTCATTGATGTTTAGGACTGCAATTGATCAGTCTCTTATTGGAATATGTGCATACTGTGCAGATTGCCTCGATATTGCCTTAAGTCAGAAGCATTATAAGCAAAGATGGACAGTGGCTAGCAGTGGAATCCAGGACGAACGTTTCGTCTTACTTTGTGACTCGTCAATCAGATGCACTTACATTCCAAAGTTGATGTTCATTCCAGAATAATACGATGGCGTGTTTAGCGAACGATACTGGGTTCGAGTCCCGTAGTGAACATCAACTCGAATATAAGTACACTTGGTAGACAAGTCCTAAGATAGGTGAAAACGCGCGTTTTGGATTGCACTGCTAAACCAACATCCATCTTTGCTTATAATGCGTGTGATTTATTTGTAATTATGTTTGTCAAATCGATACATGGTGAATCGAAACCAGGTATATATATATATATATATATATATATATATATATATATATATCTCGAATACATTGATTTTTCTACCGAGCTTTTCTGTATACCTACTACTCATGTGACCATCGATCTACATAGGAATTACTCAAACTTATTAAATTTAATTTATTTGTATTTCACAAGTTGAAATCATGAGCCAATTGAAGCTAGACCACCATGGAAAACCTGGAAGCACTGGACGGCCGTTTCGTCCTAGTATGGGACTCCTCAGCAGTGCGCATTCACGAACCCGCCCCCCGAGGGATTCGAACCCAGAACCTACTGGCTTCGCGCGCGAGCACTTAACCATTAGACCACTGAGCCGGCATCCATCGGTGTTAATGTCTAACTTCAACCAATCCACGGAGTTGTGCCACCGTACACCATTGTTTTCAGTGAGTCGATATCTCACAATAGACCTGGTTGAACTCCACTGGTAACGACTTCTCACTAAAACTCCAGTTGTGTCTCCTGAAGTCAGTCACCAATGAGCAGGTGATTATTATTATCAGAATGGGTTTTGTGGAGATTTTTAGAAATTTCACAAGTTGAAATCATGAGCCAATTTGTATTTCTCTATTGTGTTTTCACTTCGAATAGATTAATAATCATATAAATAAAGTCGAAAAATATGACAATGATATAGAATGTATAGAACAATCAAATCATTTAAATATACAAACTACTTCATTGCCTAATATCCGAAGAATTAGTACTATAGAACGTTTACAAAATTGTGTACATCGTTTACATAAAGGAAATATACATAAACGTGAACAAAATCATCATCATCATCCTCATCATTTAATCAATTCTATAAAATCTGATACATATTCATTAATTGATATTCCATTGAATGAAAAAACACAAATAGATTATCATTTATATTTATATTTAACACAATATAAAACATTTTCTAAATCTAATTCTAATGATGAATACAATAAAAAAATAAATCCTTCTGTTACTATGACAAATAATACATTGAATATGAATACAAATCATTGTATAAATCATCAATTTTCTGATGATTTATTGACAAATAGAATAATATCATCTCATGGTATTTCATTACCATCATTATCATTAAATCATATTGATAACACTTGTCAATCTATAAAACGATCTCAATCTATTGCATTTGATCATATCTATCAAAATAGATAACAAGGAATATTGAAAAAGAAAAGTAAATATATTTTATCTTTCATAGAAACTTATTCTCAGGAAAGTAATACACAGATTCATAATGATTTTTTTCATTGATTCTAATTGGTTTTGTATTAATTGGCACAATTTAGCTCAAAATTTAATTGATATAAATTGATGGTTTATTTTTCACTTTTCTTCTCCCTTTTTTTCTCTCTCTTGTATTTTCTTCTTTACAATATTGATTAATCGTATTGTTGTATTGTGTAGATCTACCATTTCATACATGATGTACATTTTTTTCTACATTTTGACAATAACAACAAAAAGAAATACACGAAGAAAATTATTCAAATATAAAAAAGGAATGAAAGTTTTAATTGTTTGATAATGAAACTATGATTGATGGACAACGTTGGATTAATACTAAAGTGACTTTGAGAGAGTGTTCCCCTAATAACTAGGACCAAATGATGGCTATAATTCAATGTGTAGAATTAGAATTATGATTTACATTTGATGGTTAAGGTTTGGGATCCGATTTACAGTTTTCATGCCAAAATCTAAGATTTTTTATTGTTATACCTTATTAGTTCGTTCATAAATTATAGTCTCGTCAATTGTTTGTTTATTTTTTACCATTTACTATGGTATATTTGTTTAAACAGAAAAACGCATATGCACACATAATACATATACATGACGATTGTTAACCTTCAGTTGTTTTGTTTTGTTTTTCTCTAATAAGAAAACAAATAGAACTATAAATTGTATTTTAGGTATTTTCTAAAAGAAAAGAAGAAGAAGAGCTTTACATATATTCATAACAAGTAAATAAACTTGTTTCCATTGAATTTGTTCAATAAATCTGTTTTACATATTATTGTTTACTCATTTATTACATAATTCATAATAGTTGTATTCTTATTTTTCTCAAAATTTAATTTATATATATAATTGTTGCCATAGTTTCTGTTTTGGTATTTCTTTTTTCTTGTCATTTTCTCTTTTATTCTTTAGTTCATATGACAGGGTTTTCAATTAGTATTAATATAGTATATATAGTTTTTATAGTGAAAATTCCCATTTTGCCATTTGGTAAATAAAGAAGGAACGAATTGAGCGAAGAAATTTCTTTTCAATTAGTTTTTCATCATGGATCTACACTAATATATATACGTTTTACAATAATAATATAATACTCATCGAGTGGATACGTTACGTAATAATTACATAATGACATTTAAATTAACATTGATTAATTGGAAGAAAGAGGATTATTAATAATCAAAGTGATCAAGAAGTTGCGTAATGTAATGTAATGTACGTAGCTACTATCCTATTGAACATCCGTTAAAATTCTGTTCCTTCTTTGTTTCTTACATTACGCAACTTAGCAACTTCTTGATTACTTTGAATATTAATAATCCTCTCTCTTCCAATTACTGAATGTTAATTTAAATGTCATTATGTAATTATTACGTAACGTATCCACTCGATGAGTATTATATTATTATTGTAAAACGTATATATATTACTGTAGAGCCATGATGAAAAACTAATTCAAAAGGAATTTCTTCGCTCAATTCGTTCCTTCTTTATATAGTTTTTGTTCAAATTGTTTTCTTTTTTCTTCTTCTTCTTCAATCATTTATGTTATAATTTATGTAACTATCCGAGCATTATGTCAGAATGTTCAATTTTCAAACAAACCAAAAAGAGCGGTACAATTTAAATTGATCAATATTCTATTGTTTCTTTAATTTGCTTTTTATGTTGTTTTAATAATTAATGATTTAATCTAGTTATATTGATATTGCTGAATTTAAGATCAGTTCATGGTTATTTGACAGTATTGTTCTCTTTTCTTTTCTTCTCTTTTTTTTAATGGATTTTTTTATATATTTGTCTTTCAAAAAGAATAAAAAAATTCATCTTTGAACTCGAGCTCTAATGGTAATGCATTTATTTGTTTATTCATATTCAATTTAAATGGTTTAAACAAAAATTAATGGAAATTTATTTGTTTATTATATCTGTCAATCAGTTTTGTTTGAATGTTGTTGTTGTGTTTTTTTTGTTGGTTTGTTTGTTTGTTTTTTATTTATTTTGGATTATACGTTTGATTAGTTCAATTTAGGTTTTCTTTTCAACAAAACAAACTGTATTATCCATATGCGTAAGTGTATTGTTAATATCGTTATTATTATTATATATGGTTTTCTTGTCTTTTCATCGATGAGAAATAATAAAACAAGAACATGACTATATAGTTGTAATGATCAATAAGTTGAAATCAAGACTATTCTTGAATTCATGAAATAATTGAAGCTAGACTATCATGAAAAACTTGAAAGTACTAGTAGTATAGCTTTAATTGACTCATGATCTCAATTATCTCCACAAAACTTCTCTCTGATGATGATCATCATATGCTCACTAGTGACTGTCTCCAAGAGTTATTTCCTGAAGTTCTAGTAAGAAGCAGTGACCAGTGGATTTCAATTGGGTCTGTTGTAAGTTAGTAACTCACTGAAGACAATAGTGGACGGTGGCACGATTTCGTGGATTGGTTAAAGTTAGACATTAATACCGTTGGATGCCGGCCGGCTCAATGGTCTAGAGGTTAAGCGTTCTCGTGCGAAACTGATAGGTCGTGGGTCTGAATCTCATGAGGCGGGAGCGTGGATGCGCACTGTTGTGGAGTTCCATACTAGGGCATAACGGCCGTCCAGTGCTTCAAACTTTTACATGGTAGTCTAGCTTTAATTAACTCATGAATTCAATTGTTAAATCTCCACAAAATTCTTCTCTGATCAAAATTATTCTTTTGAAAATGTGTTAATTCAAGAAATTGCAGTCTGAATGGTACTGAGCTGCCGAATTCCCTGGTACGGCCGCGAGTGGGCAGAGTCCGCTCTTCCTCTCGAAATGCTCCCACATGGTCACGCGTATACAGCCACTGCCAGAGAAATCCTACTCACTGCCTTCTCGTGGCGGGGGTGTTGTCTACGAAATTGAGAGGACGAAAAGCGAATGTCCGGCGCTTTAACCGGATTTGTGGACACAGAGAGTCCACCTAGGGGAGTTGGGAAACCTTGATTCCAAACCGATGGTGCACATGGGCTACAATACCCTGAAGGAACAAATGGCGTATGAACCAGTCATTGGTGACCGGCTTCATTGGGACTGCATCTCCTTCACTGCCTTGTGGATCAGACCTTCATGTCGAAGGCCTCGGGTGTGGCCTCCTAAGAAAACTACTCTCTTCGGTTTGGGTACCTAGACAGTATCACAGCCCTCACACAAATCAAATGAGACCTGTGTGACACATACGTATTTGGTGCCTCCTTGTACCAATATCTATGTGTTAAAATAAATAAACAAAAATAGAATGGTACTGATCATATGATTTAACACACTTTTAGACTAAAGTTGTCTGTCTGTGCTAATACGAAGAAATTAATTTTGACCTACTTATTAATGCAGAGTAATTTGGAAGTTTATCTGATTACGATTGAATAAATCATCTAACATTTAAAGATTTATATATAATGTCCTAAAATGTACAATCTTAATGTGTATTAGAGTGAACTTATAATAATCAACTGTTTGTTATTAAATTTGATAGAAACTTATATCAATTTGACTTACTCTTTCCTAGATAGTTATGTAATAAAACATCTAAGTTGTTTCAATAAGTGCTTTGAGTAGATTTGTTTGAAAGGAATTTTTGTCACGGATTGACATAGACTGGATAACTATTAGAAACCAGGTAGTACTTGATATTTGCATTGGTTGATCATCGATTCGTAATTAGTTCGTTGTACCGACTAAATTTTATCAACCATTTTGAAGTATGACCAATAGTCTAATCGGCTGGGTATTCCATACATTATGTTTGAATGATATTTAGTTGAATTTAAGCAATAAGAAACTTGAGCTTACGTTTTGTGCTAATCAACTATCGACTGGTTTTATGTAGGTGTAAACTAATTGTATTGACTGATCACTGAGTATTACCAATAGGTTCTGTATATAAAGTCTTATATGTTTGATTCAAATTACTTACTTACGCCTGTTACTTCCAGTGGAGCATAGTCGGCCGATCAGCATTTTCCAACTCACCCTGTCCTTCCTTTCTAGTTCTACTCAATTGTTGTTCATCATTCTCATGTCTGTTTCCATTTCTCGGTGTAACGTGTTCTTTAATCTTCCTCTTTTCCTTTGGCCTCGAGGGTTCCATGTGGGGGCTTGCCTTGTGAGCATAGTTTAAAACTAATTTTTCATAAGCCACCCTCAACTGATTTTACAAAACTAAATACCATTAGAAATAAGCACTTCGAATTTATGGCTACTTTTTGAGGAAAAATATAAGAACTGAATATGTTTAACATACTCGGATGTTTACTAACAATTGTATTCACAAATAAATTAGGCCAACATAAATTTTCTATTTTTTGGATCATTTCTAAACAATTTTTCAAGTTCGAATAAAGATAGAATAAAAGTAGTAACAGAATAACATGGATTCATCTATTTGCTTAGATGTTTACAATATAGAAACAGTAGTATAAATCCACTTGGTATTGTTTGCTTGTATCTTTTCATTGTTATTTAGAACTGTAATTGATTAGTCTCCCATTGGCATACGTGCATCGTGTGCTGATTGACTGGATATTGTCTTAATTCACAAGCATTATGAGGTAGGATGGATAGTGGCTAGCAGTGGAATCCAGTTTGACGCGCGCTTTGTCCTGTTTGGGACTCATCCATCTTTACATATAGTGAATGCATAGATGTAAAAGATTTAAAATCCTATCAAGTAGTATTGTTATAGCTCGTTTCATACTCACCCTAGTGAATTTTATACATACTTATAAATAATTCTGCAATATGGAGCTGAAACTTGGAAAACTGATATAACAACTTATTGGTGCAGAGAACAAACTAACTTACATTTGGAGTAGAAACTAGGTGAAGACACTGGTGGAAGGTAGGACATAATTTGCGAAAGTCATCAAAGTAGATCATGAGGTGGGAATTTTGAAGGTAAAAGGAGAGGATAAAACCCAAAAAACACTTTGTGTCAAGAATTGAAGGCAGACATCAAAAGAATGAATATCAATTGGGAAAAACTAGAAAGGGTTGCTCACGATGTAATTGGAGTATCGTGGTTGTAGAATCCTAATGGGCGGCTTATGCTCCTCCACCAACGTAACAAGAGTAAGCAATTAATGTAAGGAGAAATAATAATGGTCGATCTATCGAAGCTTCCAACTGCATGACTAAGATACGCATGAAACCAAAGTTCAAAAAATAACGATTTGTCTAAAGAACAATTCTATTATTAAGGAATATACATAAATTTGTTACAAATCTTAACTCGTAAGTTATTTGTGACAAACAGGGTGACTGCATGTCTGGAAAGATGAAAGCTTCTTGTAATGTTGATACAAAGAGTAATCATAACATGTTAACGTAGATGACAACTGATAACTATGTCTAATGTTAACAACAACTGATCAACGACCAATATGGATGAGGTCGCATTTAAGTATAGATTTAAAGAATTAAAAAATGGATATAACTGCTACAAAGGTTGAGGGATGTTGATTAAAATGATAAATACAGGAAATGCTATTAGTTCATATAAATACTTCAAAATACTAAGTGGTAATAAAAGAATGTTGTACCATACGTTCAGAAATTATTAGATATAGAACTGGTTACTGAATATTGATAAGTAGTATAAAGCGATACATAAATGAGATGAGAAGAGGATAAACAGAATGAAATGACGTGGCTAAAATGAGGAGGAAACGGCTCAATAAGAAGTTCAATAATCGAAAAACTTATGAACACAGTTCACTCAATCAAGACTGACTCTGCGTTCAAAGTCATCTACAAGGTAAGTAGGTGTCTTTCAAAGACAAATAGCATCATCTTTGCATTGCCCTAGCAATAGCCATACATTTGGAAAAACCAGAATTGTGTGTGCAAAATAGATTGATACAACCTCTTCTTCCATGGTCTTAATTCTAGAATGAAATGAACTTAACGGTTATCATTAATCGCTTTCAGGATGTCACTTTGGGTCTATAGACCGTCAAACAATTCTGTGAATGAAAAGAACTGGTTTGAAAAAACAGCCATTCAATCCTACCGTTAATAAGAAAACAAATATGTCATTCAGTATTGAGTTACACTTCTCAGTTTAGGCGCTTAATTTATTGATATTGATAAGTACACATTACTAAATCATTGATTAATTAATATCACTTACTACTGGTTCGAAGTATTCAAATCTATCTAATGGCTGGATATTTAAAATCATTTATCGCGTTGTAATTTTCTGATGTCATTGTGATTAGTTGTGGATTTATGGTTCGCGTATACTAAAACCTTTAGTTTTTACTACTTGCGTCGAGCAATAACAGTCTTTGTTTTGTTGTGCAGTAGCAATTTAACAGTTATATCTGTAATTACAATAAGTGGCAGTATCATCACTTTGTTAGGTTGTTAGACTTATCGTCGTTTTTTTAATTGTTACACTGTTTGTCAGGCTCTGATTATCACGAGACAACTTTATTCTAAGCTCAGTCGACCGACTTCGGTTCGAATAATTTATTAGTATTTCCATATCTTTGTCACAACGTGCGCGATGCCAAGCATGATATTCAAGTCTGTACTTGGAAAATCACCCGGACTACTTGTAGATTGAAATTCTAGTGGTTTAAACACTCAACTTTATATCACAAAGTTGAAGATTCGAATTACATGAAGTATGTATCGAGGATATAGGTAGGAGCACTAACCCTCAGGTGTAATGATGGGATACAGAGTAAATTACAAATCCCTTTACCCAGTTTTGAACTGACGAAGTGTGCGACACATTGTTATGACGTGAATTTGTGTGTGAAACAGAATTTTATTTTCTATAATTCATAAAGACAAACGATCTTTAGTTTTTACATTCCTTAAGTAAATTAAAGTCAGTCTTTATTGTAAACTAATGTATTAAACACCTTGAGTGAATACGGGATAATTAAAGTTTTTATACATAACATTATTAATACTGACTTTATTCAATATCATATTTTTGGTACAATATAAAATTCTCAGCACAAAGTATTTCATCAAGTTTTCTCTCCTTATTTTTTCATTTATCCTGACGATAAATATGGAGTTATCACCACTTAGATGCTAGCAGTTAAGGAATCGAAATCTGAACAATGGTCATTCTTTTCAATGCATATTGACATCTAACACAATGTCTCTGATTGTACTTTTTGTTATGTTGTACGGTGAAAGACTGTAAACTTCTCATAAACACGACTAAATAGGTTGTGTAAATAAAGATCATAGTGATGTATTAAAACAAACAAAAATAGTTAACTTGTTGATTTATGTTGATGTTAGAAACAGGTAGCCCAGATATTCAAACATGCTGCCAAAGTATAGACATCAGTAAACTATTTGTCTACTTCTTTTCCATATGAGTCTTCTTTGGATAACTTCAATTTTTATCCCTTTTTGAACCAGAGGTGTTTTATCCATAAAAATAATATCCAACACATTATCCTTAAATTAAAGATAATGTGGTGAACGAGAACACAAGTGGGGACAACCGGAAGTATTTCAACACAAAATTACAGAATACATTAGTAAAATCTAAGAAACATACAGTAAATACTTCATTTGCAAAATGTCAATCAATCGTCTCAGACTTCATTGTTCCTTCGTTTCTACACCAAATAATCCTCTGTTCTTATTCTTTTTTCCTTGGTCTTCCTAACTTTCTACCGCCAGGTAATTCACTTCCGAATGATGATACGTACCACTTATATCGATCAACATCGATAGAACACACTACAATAAGCGCTCGCACGTGAGACTGATAGGTCCTGGGTTCGAATCTCACGAGGACGAGTCGTGGATGCGGACTGCTGAGAAGTCCCACAATAGAACGAAACGACCATCCAGTGCTTTTAGGTTTTCCATAGTGGTAATCTGGCTTCAATTGATTCATGATCGTAACTATTGAAATTACAATAATATTTATTTCATTTCATATCAGAGTTACGTAACCTCATATTTCCCAATTTACAATTCTAATTTTTTTTCTCGTTTAGTTGAACTAATCAAAAATTTACTAAATCCGTTAACTTTCAGTACATGAAAACAATCAAAGAATTTGAAATGAAATACTCATTTATTATTATAAATTAAAAGTTTGATTATCACCTAAATATATTCAGTTTATACATAAAACTATTAATCATTAAGATCCATTTAGTTCTTTGGTTTGTATAATAAATGGATTGACCTTAAGTATGATAATGCAAATGATGTTTTTATATAGATGGGGGGGGGAGGTTGATGAAGAAAGATTTCCATCTGAAGACTATCCTCTTATCTTTGAATGAAAGATAATACATTATTGAAAGTAAACAGCCTTTTTTCCACTTTATTCCTATCGTTTTTACAATAAATTTATCGTAATTTCAATGGTTGAAATCATGAGTCAATTGAAGTTAAACCACTATGGAAAACCTGGAAGCACTAGAAGGCCGTTTTGTTGTGATATGAAACTCTTCAACAGTGGGCATCCATGATCCCACCTCGCAAGATTCAAACCCAGGACATATCGGTCTCGCGCGTGAGCGCTTAATCTCTAGACCACTGAGACGTCACCCAACGGTAAGTCAGTTTTTATAGTGCTGAAGAGTTGCACAACAGGACGAAACAGCCGTTCAGTGCTTCCAGGTTTTCCATGGTGGTCTAACTTCAATTGACTCATGATGTCAACCATTGAAGTTACTATAATATCCACAAAAACCCTTCTGACATGAATAAATTTATGAACTAACTATTCATCACATGAACCTTGTCACATTAGTGTAATTTTACTGAAAATACAGTATCCTTAATCCAATGTTTTTTTTTCTTTTTATTATCACTGTCATTATCCTATGTTGTCATTTTTTGTTGTTGGTATTTTACTCCTCAGCTGGGTTTTCAGTTCCTTTATGCGGTGATGCAATCTGTACACAAACACATACACATACACATACACACAATCACACGTTTATATATGCATAATAATGAACTATTCTACAATGTATTTGTTAACAAAGACCAAATTGATTACTTTCAGTATAAGTATGAAACAATTAATATGGGTAACAGATAGAGTAAGTTATTAGCATTGAATAGAATAGAGGAGAGTGATCACCATTTTTGTTTTCTTTATCCAAATCTATTGAATGTTTTAAAGTGCAGTTTGAATAGACAGGGGGTGAATATTATTGAATGGGTTCTTATTCTTGAATATATACATATTCAAAGATTGTTAGAATTTTGAAGAATGACAATCATCTAATGGATAGCATAGTAGAATATTTATTAACGAGTTTTTGGGTTTTATTCGACAGTATAATCATGTAAATAATGGTGAAGAGAAAAAAAAAGATTATAGAGATGGGATGAATGTGAATTGGAACCTGAATAATTAGATACAATGAAAGTGTAGTATTAAACAATTGCATATAAATGCATATATGATCATTTCTACACTGTTGAAAGAAGTGGGGGAACAACAACAACAAAAAAGAAGTATTTGCATATATAAGTTCATATCCCATGATGGTCACTATCAACAAGTCAGTGAGTGAATAAGGGAACCATAGTAACTTGAACTGTTTATATGAAGAGGAGTACATATATATATATATATAAGGAGATGGTGTAACCGGTGGAGAATTTTCAGTTCCATTTATCTTTTCAATATTTACTTGAGACAATGTTATTTCAATCAACGTTTAACACTCAGAATAATAATACTATTCGTGATAATATTGTTAATAGTACACTAAATTATAACTCATATTGTTTCAATTCACAACTAAAAAGTTTTTCAGACCAAAATAGGTAAGTTAATTAGAGATTATTGTGAATTCTTGTACAACTCATTGTATATATATATCTAACATTGTACAGCTATTTATACATTAGTTAGCCTATTGTTCAAATTCAACCATCAGTCAGCAATAACGTAGAACTTGATACGTACGTACGTCAGTTCAAGTTGCCATGCCGCATTAGCACAGATATACAATTTTCCATTCAAATACTATAGTAGTAGAAGTAGTAAAAGTTTATTTCAAATTTGATTTTCAATTAATAATTATATTTCACTTGAGATTGTTTACGTGAATCTTCTCATTCATGTTCAGGACTGCAATCAGTCAGTCTTTTGTTGGTATATGTGGGTCGTGTGCGGATTACCTTGATATTGTCTTAATTCACAAGTATGAACAACGATGGATAGTGGCTAGCTGTGGAATCCAGGACATGTGTCTTGTCTTATTTGAGACTCGTCAGATGGGTGTACCTATATCCCAGAGTTGATGTTCACTTCGGGACTCGAAACCATTACCGTTCAGTCTAAATGCCATCAAGTTATCCACCTGGCTACTGAGTTCAGATAGCCACTAGCTTATGAGGTGAAGTTGAGATTTATTTTGTATCCAGCTGACAAGTCCCAAATAGGATGAAACGCATGTCCTGGATTCCACTGATAGCCACTATCCATCCTTGCTTATAATGATAATAATAATATTTGTAGTCAACAATTTAGTTAAGATTAAAGTTGGTTAAGTATTAACTTTGTTGTATTTTATACATCTTTTCTCCAACACAAAATGCATACAGATAGTTTACAGGATGTTTCTAAATACTCATCAGTATGTAAGTCAGTTGAATGTTTACTAACTGTTGTGAATAAGGTTATCCCCAATGTTTTATTAGAATAAATGTTAGAGTACAATCAGTCTTTAAATAGCGAAATGACGGTTCTAACCCTACTCCAAATGTTTCTAACTAAATAAAGCCAAAACAAATATGAATTCATTATATTTCGTGGTTTCTCATTAGCTACAAACAACTAAATATGTATTGAAAGTTTACATTGAGGTAAGATATAATGTCAAACAATTGACATGATTGAATCAAAGGAATTGAAATGACAAAGGTTATGTATATTCAAGAACAGGTCGGAAATCATTTATTGTTAGAATCAAAACTACATGAGGAATGGGTGATGTAATAATTGAGTGAAATTCAGAGATAGATAATGAAGAGTTTACACAAGATTCCTGAAATTATTCTATTTATTTAACCAAGCAATACAATGAAATTTACTATAAATTCAATTATATGTATTACAATAACGATCAGTTATAATCACTAATTCATTGATTATTGATTATTATTTTAAAGATTTAAGTATTGATTCTGCATATAAACTATTAGATTTATAAGTTGAACCATAAAATAGAAACCTGTAAATGATGCTTGTTAGAAATCCTTGGTAATAATTCCATATTCATTGCTTGCTTTAAACGTTATAGATTCTTCATTCTTACATCTATTGACAATATTTGTGCAAGGAGGTTGATTATGAATACAGTGGTATTGAGTGGTGTTAGAGTAGTGAGGCTGATTATCACTTCCCGGTTGCCCACACTGTGGAAGGCTTCTTCTGGAGGTACCTGAAAAGGAAATTGGGTAAGAGGTGGTCTTAGTAACCTGAGAGTGTGACCGCAGTGCCCAAGGGACAAAAAGGTCATGTGTGAGCGACCTCACACATGACCTTTTTGTCGGTAGTCTTCGTGTTACCTCCGTACTTGTTGAGACCTAACCGCTGGAGATGGATATCAGTGGTATAAAGCGAGGTGTGAATTTTTAGGTCGACCTTTTCTAACCCCACCCCTCCTTGTGGGAAGGTAGTATCGCTGTTATGCTGATTGTCTAACGGAAACACCTTACTTCTGTGACACCTCTGTACAATCAGTGGTGTGACTTCGCCATCAGACCTTGGGTTTGTTGCTTTTAGTTTTACCGCTCTTCGACCAATCTGCCTGGCATGGTAGAACGTTGAGGAATGGTTGCTCTAGTCAGTATAGCTCGATTGATTCATCACAATAGGCAAGCCCGACCACCACGTCAAGGTAGCAACAACGGTCTGGAACCTAAATAATCAATCAGTTAAAGGGAATATTTTAATATGAGTCTTAAAATAACTCAATCTGATTGTAATGGAACCTTTTTACTCTTCACCTTTCTTCAAAAATTTAGTACCCCATTAACTCCTGATATAGCGTTATCATCTGCAAGCCAATATACATCTACACCGATCAATTTTCATTTGAATAGAACAGATGATTTCTCTATTAGACCAACATATTCTTCATCTACCTCTCCTGTTATAAACAAATATGATATTGATGAAATTTTAAATAAACCTTCATTGAATTCATTCCAATCTAGTTCAGATGATTCGATTATTTCTACTACCGCTACTACTACTACTACTATTACTACCCATACTACTACTACTACTAATAATAATAATATTACTGAAAGCGAAACAAATACATCAACAACGCATTTCATTGATAAACTTAGTAACTTCCCTAATGAAAACGTCATCTATCCTCAAATCAATTTACAAGATGAAATCGGCCAAGTTTTGTCATCGTCATCATTATCGTCAAAGACAGAAGTAGCCACAACAACAACATCAACTGTAAACTTAACAAAAACCACTAATCAAAATTCAATAATAGAAGATTATTTTTTTAACAATTTCAATTCATCAGATATTTCATTATTCTGGCTACCATATTTAAATAATATTTTTAATATGTATTCATGTAAGTTATGATAAACAAGAAACAATTTTTGTGATTAACTAATATAGACTTTATTAAGGGTTTTAGTTTGTTTTGTTTTTTTCAAATGAGAAATTCTGTTTATGTTTCATTATGTACGCCTGTTACTCTCAATGGAACATAGGTCGCCGATCAACATTCCCCAACTCACTCTGTTCTGAGCCTTCCTTTCTAGTTCTATCTAATTTTTGTTCATTCTTCTCATGTTTGTCTCCATTTCTCGGTGTAATGTGTTCTTTGGTTTTCATTTTTTCCTTTGGCCTTGAGGATTCCAAATGAGGACTTGCCTTGTGACGCAGTTGGGTACTTTCCTCAATATGTGTCCTATTGACTTCCAGCACTTCTTCCTGATTTTTTCCACCACTAGAATCTGGTTTGTTCTCTCCCAAAGTAGGTTGTTGCAGATAGTGTCTGACCAACGGATCCGAAGTATTTTGCGCTGACAATTGTTAATAAACACTATATTTTCTTGATGATGGCTTTTGTAGTTCTCCACGTTTCCGCCCCATTCCGTAGAACTGTTGAACAGTATTGAGTCTGCATAATAAAGTTAAATTTTGTATGTTTTATTCAGACTGAAATCAAATATATGTAATCCTAAGCAATTTGTACGCAATGTCATCAAGTACCTAATAACTGATCAGTGGACATCAGTTTGAAATGAATGGTAATTCATTGAATTGTATAACATTGTATGGAGTTTGATCAGTATTTTTTTTAACAAGTCTTCATTCGCCATACAAGTCTAATTGATTATGAAACTGATAAAGTGTGATAAGAATCCTAAATGAAAACAACAACCATGTTGTCCCATTTAAATGATTATTGAATGTGAAACATAAATCTATAATGAATAAATTGAGTTCAGTCTGTAAAACATAATGGTTGTCGGTTTGTTTAAGTTCTGGATATACGAGTCGAAGTATATAATTTCAGATGTTGATAATTGAATGAAAAAAGTTGGTAGTCATCTGACAAGTAGTTGGTTCTGAACTTGACAACGTTTTGTTTCGTCCTGAAAAATACGACACTCTGTAAGATAAGAAAATATAAGGATATATTATATCTTCTGAAATATTGGGTATTCTCAAGTTATAATGTATTTATATGAGATCTCAGTATTTGAATAATTTTGTAGATTCATTCCATTTCTTTTAGCTTCAAAAGAAAAATTGGAAGTTTTTATATGCTTTTGTTTGGTTCATCGAAAAGTTTCAATAGGCTCACAGTTCTTCAGAAAAAAGACTAGCTGTTTATGCACAGTGTTTCGATCCGCCCCTTTCCAGCCAAACAAGTTGGTAAAGCCTAGTAGGCCATTCTGAAGAGAAGCAGGCCACATCGAAGCACAGCAAGGGCTGAAATAGCTGTTTTTGCAACCAGTTGGAGTTTGCTTCGTAAGGAGCAACCCCGTACATTACATGCCACACGTTTGTCAATAATCTTTTTGTCGTTTTTCCATCCAAGATTTATTGTGCTGTGATCCTTTGTGGATTTTGTAATCGGTTTGATGGTATCGGTCGAGTGGGTAATTAGCCCGATCTCTACCACCCACCACCATCACTGCTCACGTTAGTTCATGGGTCATCCATCCCACTATCTAGTAGGCACGACGTGGATGTGTGAGTCAGGTTTTGCTTCCCGTTTCGATCCGCACACTCTATCTGTATATGAACATAACTTATAAACTTTCTTAAAATATTAATGTTATAAAGAAGGATAGCTGCTACTCAAGGTGATTTATCGTGGACAAATTATTTATCTGTATTGAATCTAAAATGAGAAATGTGTTAAGAGAGAGAGATCATACAAATATCTTACAATTTTCATACAATCGGTTATGGATTAATCACTGTTATGTGCTGCTCAATTGAATTTATACATTATCTGACCACTCAACAATTTAAATACACCGTATCAATACAAGTATTCTGGATCATTATTTTAATTTGTTTTAAGCGTATGACAGATCTTCATCTGTCTTCTTTGCTTTTCTTGGCATTTAGTCGAATCACTTATCCATCATCACTATAAACATAATTATATAAATTTTAACCAAACAAAACAATTAACAATATATACCATTTTCTGTTTAGTGACTTGGTTCAGTAAATAGTAGTGTAAAGAGTACCCAACTGTTTAGTTCTTATATAATTTGTATGAAGGGCTTGTAGAGATTGCTGAATTGACATAGTCTACATCATGGACTAACCTTAATTAGTTGGGTAATCAGTGTAAACATCGAGAAGCACTGAATTACTGCTTTGTTTTAGTTTAAGACAACTCAGTAATGAGTATTTTCTGGGTACTAGGCCCAGGACCTTCAGGTTTTGTGGTAACAGTTTAACATATGGAAGTCGAATACACTCACTGAATAGATTATAACTTTGATGGAAACTTGATATTATTCAAAACTCTTACTTTTAATCTAAAAAAAATTGATGGTAGATTCACAACTACTTCAAACAGTCACATCGTTTTCATTGCTTTTCAATGATTCTTTTTATTATAAAAGACGTATAGTGGATACTGTTTGAATATCACTTATTGTCTATCTTCAAATAGTTTTTATACTTCCTCTTCAGCTTCATTGATCAATCCATCTCAAATGACAAATTTTAATCAGGCAACTATTAATTGGCGTCTATGGAGAACTCTTTTAAGATATTTAATGTTAAATGAAAATGGTCATAAACAGTTTGATGATGATGCTACATCAATGTTTTCTTTACCTTACTTTTTATCAACTCCTACTCCTATAACAATACCAGTAAATAATGTGAATAATTTCAATTCAGTATATTTATGTAATTGGGATCATTTAATGGATTTCTCATATGTACCCGATCAAAATGTTACATCAGTTCAAACAACACCATTAAATCTTGCTATGAAATTGAATTCATCAGACTATAACACTACTATCTCTACTACAAATGTGACTATTAATACTACTAATACTACTACTACTACTACTACAACTACTACGACTACTACATCTACTATTAATACTCCTATTAATCATTCACCGAATGGACTACATTTTACCAATACTCAAAAAGTGTTAATTACTCAATCACATAGAATAAAAAGTTCAGTTCAAGCATATGAAATGATCAATGAAAACAAAAATATTTTCACAAGGTAAGTAAAAAAAAAGAAAAGAAGGTTGAAACATTTTTCCAGTGGAGTTCAACCGGGTCTGTTGTGAGATAGTAATTCACTGATGACAATCGTGGATGTGTCGCTTAATTTCGTTGATTAGTTGAAGTTAGACATTAACACTGCTGGATCCCAGCTCGCGTGCGAGACCGATATGTCGTGGGTTCGAATCTTGCGAGGCGGGATCGTGGATACGAACCGTCGAGGAGTCCCACAGTAGGACGAAACGGCCATCTTCTAGGTTTTCCATGGTGGTCTAGCTTCAATTGACTCATGATCTCAGCTACTAAAATTGGTAAGTGATTTGTTTTCCAAACTTGCCAGAATGTTTCCATCGTTCAATTATGCTTAGTGATGAAAATGTTAAAAAGGAGTTGGTAAGTGATATGCTTTACAACCATAATAGATCATTGGTATTTGCGACAGATCACTATAAAAAGTAGACACTTACATCCATTATGAAGAAAATTGTTATACCTGGAATATCTGTACGCACGGATGATTAATGTATAGAAAGCTTTTTTCGGCTTTGGATGTAATCATCAAACTGTCATTCTCAAGATACATTTAGTTGACCAATTGACAGGATTATATATAGACAACATGAAGGGAATGTGGGCTTGGTTAAAGCACTTTTAATGTTTCTAACTTTCCGTACTATGTAGTCATTTGGACTAGTTCATATATCGTTTTGTTAGGCTTTAGATGAAGATATCTGTACATAAGCATAACACTTTCATTAACCATACTAAATGTTTATAATCTCTGTAGTATAGTCCCGCTCACGGGACTCGAACCTAGGATCTGTCGGTCTCTCACACGAACGCTTAACCTCTAGACTACTGAGCTGGTATTCAACGGTATTAATGTCTAACTTCTGTTTAAACAAAAATTTTCTGCTTAAAAAAGGAATTACATGTTGTTATTTTAGATCGAAAACTGAACCCATATCAACAACATTATCAATGAATATTAAAAAATCAATTTATAAATGTTCACATTGTGGTCGAGGATTTAGTAAAGCATATAATAGAACAATACATGAACGTACTCATACAGATGAACGTCCATTCGGTTGTGATGTTTGTTCAAGACGATTCAGACGAAAAGATCATTTAAGAGATCACAGGTAATTGAATAATTCATATACTTTTATTCTGGAAATGAAAATTATTAGAGTCATGTTAAAATATTGGTCTGTCAAATCTCTAGCTTGGATAAGAACTTATTTTGAATATGCATGAATTCTTGCATACGTGTTTTTTTAGAACAACTGATTATAGTCACTCGTCAGTTTATGTATATATAACTATCAAGCTTTGACTTAATAGTCTAAAATAACTCAGCGAGTTACAACGTATGACCAGGCATATATATGAATCGGTCCAAGTTGTCACACCTCAACAGCACAACAAGATGAACACCAAATTCATAGAAGTAGTCATTTAAATGGTAGTAATGTATAAAAGAAAGATTGTATATAAGGATATAGTACAGGAAAAAATAATTAGTTCGTAGGAAGAAAGATATGAAGCGATTTTAATCTCATAGTTTAAAGGAAGACAGGTAGTGTATACACCGATGCCATTGTGATCAACGCTGAGCCATGTCAACCAGAGTCTCCAACCAAGTAGTATGCATCTACCAACATGGCTAAGACTAGAAGTTAGTAACTTCAAGCACTGAAATAAACTAAGCATTGAATCAATGGTTGGTAATCTCGAAGATAAAAATACATTTGTTTTGTTCTATTGAGTAGGAAGCTGAACTTCTTCAAAGAATAAATCATAGGATCCACCAGTAAGTCTATATTTTTCATCTACTGAAACACATTAAAAAAAGAGGCATATAGAAATTCAATATAAGTGGTCATATAACTTAATATCATAGTCAAGAACTATATCAATTCTTCCTGTAATAACTAGTACCATAAAGAATAGTAGTAGTTTGACCAAATGTCGGATACTGGATTAAATCATATAACTTGTTCCTAACCACTTAGTAAACATGTATAATTTCTTACTGACATTGTCTTACATTGTTCACTAGACAACTCGTTCATCAACATTATGTACAAAAAGTAAAGATGATAGTCAAGAGACATAAAAAAATAAGTCCAGAGATTCCTCACACTTTTTCTTCAATACCAGTATAGTACAACAGTAAGGCCTAATGACTACATTTTCGACTCGACTGGTAGAATACATCTTTGACATTGAATATTATGCAACAGTGTATACTTTCAACCTGTTGATCACTCCAAATCTTTAAGTTAACTGAAAGTCTTATCATAGTTATGATTGTAGAAATGGTTCACTATGCTAAAATAATTGTTTTGAACAGTGTTAAAGGTATAGTCAGTTATCTTATATGTTTAATAGTTGTGTAGATTGACTACATGTAAGTTTTCTGATTTCTTCCTTTCTATTCTATGAGGATCATTTTACGAAATGAATAGCTGATAGAGCTGTGAAATTGTTAAGAATAAACCATAAATAATAATGACATACTGACCGCCTTATTTTCAAGTGGATCTCTATGATAATACTGTAATCCATATAAAAATAAGTCAATACAAACATGAATATAAAACATAGTGGATAGTTTTTATTTAGTAGATGAATCATTCATGTTTAATTTAGATTTTAAATTATCCGCATGAGGTTGTGGAGATTATTATGTTTTGATTGAGATCATGAACCGATTGATGTCAGACCACCATTGAAAATCTGGAAGCACTGGACGGCCATTTCGTCCTACTGTGGGACTCCTCAGCAGTGAGCATTCATGGTCCCGCTCGCGGGATTCAAACCTAGGGCCTTAGTGTCTTGACAGAAGTCAAGTGACTTTTCTGTAATGTCAAAAGTGGCCAAGTTAATATTCCGTAGTATAAAACTGTCAAAGATATTTACATGATATACTTCTCATAAAATCTGGCAAAATATTTATGGGCATGTTATCTACTAATAGGCCAACAAGTAAACTGTTATCTTATTTATTTCTACTGTTATTATACTACGACCGTATGTGGTACTAGGTTTCCACTGTACAAATCGTAACACTATTTCTTTTCATCATAGAAATAACCATAGACTTATGTGATTCAATGGAAATAGTGAAGAAAAAGACAGCAGGTATAGAGATCTTAACTCCCAACGGTAATCCATCAAAATTGTCGTAATACACAGAATTTTTCAGGTTTAACTGATATAATATTGGTTATTAGTTGATGAATAGGATTTAACTCAATAGTAATTGATACAACTAGGAAGGATTGCCCAGGACAGAGTTGGATGAAGAGCGCTGGTGAGTGGCCTATGATCCTCCACGAGGAGTAACAGGTATAAGTACTCAATACTGGTTATTCAATGGATTGATATTGAATATAATTAGCGAATTTTGAAAAAACGACAATTAACATATAAAAAAGAATGAATGAGCTATATACTTGCTCTATTTTAACAAACATAAATGACAATTTTTGTAAGCGATGATGGATAGTGGCTAGCAGTGGAATCTAGGACGCTCGTTTCGTCCGATTTGGGACTCGTCAGCTGGATGTGCCTGCATCTCAAAGTGAACATCAACTCTAAGATGCAGGCACATCCAGCTGACGAGTCACAGATCGGACGAAACGAGCATCCTAGATTCCACTGCTGGCCACTATCCATAATTGCTTACAAAGAGCTTGTGAATTAAGGCAATATCGAGGCATACGCACAATATGCACATATGCCAATAACAGACTGATCAATTGCGGTCTTTAACCCCAATGGGAAGATACAAGTCAAACTATACCAAGTGAAATAAATGACAATTGTTTTCATGTTTTGACCAGAAAAAATGTACTTTCATTCAAGCTAACATCAAAACATTTGTGGTTTAAAGTTATTGTTCACACCTAGCCCCCTTATCAATGAGGAATTCTCTACACTCTTCCATTTTGAGCCCAAACTATTCTCTTGATTATTATTATCGCTATTATTATCAGTGTTTTAAAGTATATATTAAAGACTATGATATGTTCTTTAATAACAACGAACTTAAGTTACCTTGGTACTATTAGTTTAGAGCCAAGTTCGTACATGATTTTGGCTGGAGATAATTTGGTTTATAGCGAAAGACCGTTTATATCTAGACAAATTGAGAGCACATTCGGATATCACTTAAAATAGTCACTATTCTTTTCAAGTAATTATTATCATACCCTTGAAATTTATCATTTAAGGTAGAGAATAAGAATCATAGTCGTTTTTATGTCAGTTGTTGTTATTCTTTTTTTTAAAAATAATTTTTGATTGAGATCGTGAACCGCTTGATGTGAGACCATCACTGAAAACCTGAACGCATTGGATGACCGTTTCGTCCTCTTATGGGACTTCTCAGAACTGCATATCCAAGATCCAGCTCGCGGGATTCAAACATAGGGCCTCTAGTCTCGAGGCACGAATGCTTAAACCTCAGACCAGTGAGCAGGCATTCAACGGTGTTAATGTCTAACTTCAATCAACCCACGAATTTGTGCGACCATCTTTTATTGAACTGAGGTAGATACCTGCCTCTACCCTACAAGGATTAGCTCCACTGATCACGACTTCTCACTGGAACCCCGAGAATTCCCTCCCGAAGCTAGTCACTAGTTACTAGTCACAATGTGAGATGGTCGCGCAACTTCGCGGATTGGTTAAGGTTAGACATTAGGACTGTTGGATGCCGACTCAATGGTCTAGTAGTTAAGTGCTTGAGTGCAAGGCTGAAGGCCTTGGGTTCGAATTCCACGAGGTGGGATCATGGATGTACACTGGTGAGGAGTCCCACAATGGGACGAAACTGCCGTCTTGTGCTTTCAGGTGTTCAATGGTGATCTAACATCAATCGGTTCATGGTTTCAATTTAAACAAAAACATAATTAATCTCCACAACCTCATAATGAAAAATTATTTTATTTTATTTTACTTTTTGTCATTTTTTTATTATTTTTTATTATTTAGCTACACTCATTTAACATCAAAACCATTTTCATGTTCAATATGTCATCGAGGCTTTTGTCAATCACGTTCATTAGAAAATCATAAACGATCAAACCATCCAATTAAAAAAGATGAAACCGGTACAAAATTCAATGATAATCATTCGACTAGATTGATTTATACAACAGCTAATATTATTCCTACAAATGACATGAATAATACGAATACTACTACTACTACTACTCTTAATAATAATAATAATAATAATAATAATAATAATAATAATAATAGTACTAGTACTAGTATGAATACCTGTACTACAAATTGTGACGTGATCAACATAATAAGAAATAATAAGGCGGTATAAATACAATTTAAATAATGTATTCAACAATTGTTTTCATGGTTAATATTTTGGTTTGTTTTGTTTTAATGAATGAACAAAATGAAAAGAAAAATATTTTATTCACTTTCTAATGAATGATTCATGTGTTATTTAATTCATTTTCATTTTGATTTATTTTTCATTTCGTTTAAAGAAATAAATATATTTTATAAAAAGAAAAAGAAAATTAATTGTGGTTACTAAGCAAAGATGCATGGCAACTAACAGTGGGATCCAGGACGTGTGTTTCGTCCTAATTTGATACTCATCACTTGGTGTGAATAACAAATCTGAGATGTGGGCACATCCAGCTGATGAGTTTCAAATTGGACGAAATGTGTGTTCTGGATTCTATTGTTAACCATTATTTGTCTTTGCTTATAATGCTTGTGATTTAAGGCAATATTGGGGCAATGCGCACAGGATGCATATATGCCAATAAGAGATTGATCAATTACAGTCCTAAACATCAATGGAAAGATTGAAGTAAACGTTACCAACTGAATTTAATATTAGTTCAATTTAATTTATCCTGGTATATTTATTACTTGGAAATAACACAGAATCTACACAAAATCACTGAATTGAAAACTATTAGTAATCACTGTATCCATATATGGTTAGTTTTATAGATTTTAGCGGAAATAGCTGATATTTACTTACTGAATTACTTATGCCTATTATCCTTCATGAAGCAGCATAGACCGTTCACCGAGATTCTTCATCGAACTCTGTTCTGAGTAATCCTTTCCAGCTGTTTCCAAATGCTATTCATCCTTTTTATGTCTGCTTCTAATTCTCGACGCAGTATACTGTTTGGTCTTCCTCTTTGTTGTTTCCGTTCAGGATTTCAAGTTAGCTCTTACATTGTGATGCAGTTTGGTGATTTCCGTCATTTATGTCCGATCCACCTCCACATGTAGCTCTTGTATGGTTACTGCTAGTCCCAAGCCCCTGGTAAAAGAGGAAAATTGGGTATGGGGTCAGCAATCACATCCCGTAAAAAACGACCTTGCTAAAAAACGCTAACTAGAATAAACAATTTAAACCATTTAAACTTTGCCCTGAGGGTTGAAGGATTTTTATTCAGGTGATATTTGATGTTGGTCAATTCGTCGAAATAGTTATATATTGAAAAGATAACATTATATCACAAACTAACTGAAGTTAAGAATCTGTATCACTATAGTGAAACAGTAGGAGAGGACATTTGTTCAGTTATATCTTGTTTGGATCAATTTGCTAAGTGATGGTGAAATTCACTTCAAACTATATAAAATCCTATCTCAGACACTAAATAAAATCAGTTTCATTTGTTATGTATATATTCAAGATTTCAGAGTAATTAGATAACATATCACTTACTATTATGATTTAAGATGGTGGTTGGATGTGGTCGATAGGAAACACTGGATTCGATTTTTGTTACATTTGACATTCTTCAACTAGATACTCTGTTATCTTGAGGGAACAGATGCTTTCTGACGAATTCATCCAGCTTCACATCTCCACACAGTGCACATGATGGTGAGTCACTTTAACAAGTCCTAGCACTGCAACTGAATCCATAGATTTCGATCAGTACAAAGAGGGACTTGATATGCGTCACATTAGTCACTACTCAGTGATCAACCAGTTGTAAGTGCAAGGATAAATATTTTTATTAAATGTCATTATGATGTAGGTAAAAATTACAGGTACTTACGTAAGAATCTTCAAAAGATTGATTGCCAGTAATGTTACTGTCGACACACTCGCATAGAAACATAGTGTTAGTCATCAGAAGTTTTTATTGCCCGTTATAAAACAGTAGATTTAGCTAGTAATTGTTATGGCTCCAAATATCATTTAGTATCAATCACTGTAATGATGTGGTAGTATTTTATGTAGGAAGTTAATTATATTAGGTTTAAATTCATTCAGAGGGACACATAAATTTTTTTCAAGATGTTATATGTCTTTGTTAAGGAATAATTTCTTTATAAACAAAGAAAGATAGTGGCTAGCAATGGAATCCGGGACGCGCGCTTCATCCTATTTGGGACTCGTTAGCTGGATGTACCAGCATCCTAGAGTTGATGTTCACTCCGGAACTCGAACCCAGTATCGTTCGCTAAAAATACCATCGAGTTATTCTCAAGTGAAAACCCACTCTGGGATACAGGTACATCCTGCTGACGAGTCTCAAATAGGACGAAACGCGCGTCCTGGATTCCACTGATAACCATCATGCACCTTTGCTTATAATATTTGTTAATTAAGGCGTTATCAAAGCAATCCGTACAGGATGTACCCATTCCAATAAGAGATTGATCAATTGCAGTCCTAAACATCAATAGGACGATTCACGTAAACAATACCAAGTGAATTTAAATAATTTCTTTTCTTCTGCAATACTATTTGGATATTTTACATAGAATAACAACTACAAAGTAATCTATATGTATTGAACTTGTAGAGTTATCCAGGCAAGTAAACTGAATACAACAGTAAGTATTGACTACACCATACTTTAATATTATTAAGAAGAAATACAAATATTTTCAGATAAACTGTGTAAGGACAAAACATTTGAAGTGACTAGTCATTGAATGTGAATTATTTAAATGATCAGTAATTAATTCATTTGCACCACTAAGTCTTTATATCTGTAAACTATAACTTCATTGATTGAAACGCAGTTTCATCATTACTAATGATCAATGCTTTAATGACTAAATCACTGTAATTAATACAATGTATTTCTTTACTAATGATATCTGACAATCGTAAAGTATCAGGGTGGAGTGTTGCATGGTATATTTACTGTTTATTTAGTCGATCAATGTGTCTTACTGAGTTTCAAGTTGGCAAAAAATAAGCAAGGTTTTGGCCTCATTACAGTAATGTTAATGCAACTTGCTAGTATAGGGTTGATGAGTAACTTAAATTAACAAAGTAGTCTGTAGGCACAATCTCCTCACTTCTTACAGTTAATGGAAGTGATGTTGTAGATCTCTTGAAGATATATATATATATATATATATATATATATATATATATATATATATATATATGAAAGAGATACCAACCATTTTCGGATATTTTATGTTAAAACTATATTCTTTTCTTTTACAGTGACGCATTGAGGCTAACAATAGAAGCAAATATGAGCAGCATATTTAGGAATTTTTGAGTCTACGCATAAAAATAACCTAATCGGTTGATAAATTAGTTGACAAAACTGATACTCATTGATTTAAAGGTCATAAGATCTTACTCAAACTTCGAGTGAATGTATCCTCATCAAATCTAGTGATTCATAAAACATATTTACTAGTTCTGTTTTTTAGTAGTTAAATTCATGAGTCGATTAAAGCTAGACTACCATGAAAAATCTGAAACTACTGGACGGTCGTTTGTCTCATTATAGGACTTCTCAGCAGTGAACATCCACGATCTCGCTCGCAGGATTCGAACCCAGGACCTTCGATCTACGCGCACGAACGGTAAACCTGTAGATCACTGGGCCTATACTCAACGGCGGACCGTCGCTCTATTTCGTGGATTGGTTGAAGTTAGACAATGACACCGTTAGATGCCGGTTTAGTGGTCTAGAGGTTAAGCGTTTGCACACGAGACCGAAATTCCAGGGTTCGAGTCCAGCGAGGAAATCGTGAATGTTCACTGTTGAGGAGTCCTATAATGAGACGAAACGATCGTCCAGTAGTTCCAGGTTTTTCATGGTAGTCTAGCTTCAACTGACTCATGATTTCAACCAGTGACATTCTGTATTTGTTGTAATCACTTACTTAAAAAACATTTTTATACATACTGATGATGACTACTGCTTGTAAACAATCTAAGCCATCTCAATCAACAGTCTTCAAGTAATCTATTTGATTAGATTATTAGGTCTAGCAATTAAACACATTTCATATTTACGATAATTAACAAGTATTGTATCCAACCCTCATTTATCTTCTAATTTATGATATTAAAATTAATAATTTGAAATGAACCAGATTATTCTAAATGAAACATAACGAATGATATTTGTATGCGACATCAGTTGCTTTAGTTACCAAATATTGAAATAACTGATCAACAATAAATATTGTACGAATGACACCTTTAATCCTTATAATTATAAAGTGGTGATTACTAAACGTAGACATTTAGTATATACCTTTTAGTATGTATATGTATGTATGTATGTATGTATGTATGTAGGTATGTAGGCAGGCATGTAACAACGTGTCAGCAAGGTAACAGACAGTGTTATTTCATTTTAATGTGATTATCTTATTTACATTTTATGCGTATATCTATATATCAATTAGCCCCAAAATTATTCGAATAACTCCTTTCTTTGTTTAGTCAAAGCGAGATTATTAACCTAGTCATTTTGTATATGCCTATAATCAGATTCAAAATACACATTCGTATACATATCTAGTTTATAAGGGTTAGTTATCAGTATATCATTGAACTATTGGTATGTTTCCCTTTAATTTGTTTATAGGATAAAGCTGGAATTATATATATATATATATATATGTGCACTGTTGTAATGTCATATTTTTTAATGTTATTTTATGTAAATTAAGTCATTTCGGTTGAATTTATGAAGACTGCGTAATGCTTGTAAAACTCATCAGTATACATATATGAAATCATGAATCTAGAAAAGAGTGAATTACAACTTGATGGATCCAATGGAAACTAACATGTATTAGTATACTGTTTTAATTTATACCAATGTTTGTCAATATATAGAGGAATATCACAAAGGGTTTTTCGTGGATATTATAGTAATTTCAATGGTTGAGATGATGAGTCAATTGAAGCTAGACCATCATGGAAAACATGGAAGCACTGAATGGCTATTTCATCCTATTGTGGGACTACTAGAATTTCCATGGTGGTCTAGCTTCAAATGACTCATGATCTCAATCATTGGAATTAATATAATATCCATAAAAACCCTTCTGATATAAATCAATATATGTTCACTAGTGACTGGCTTCAAGAGGTATTACCTGGAGTTCTAGTGAGAAGCAGTGACCAGTGGAGTTCAACCGGGTCTGTTGTGAGATAGTAACTCATTGACGGCAATGGTGGCTGTCGGTCGGTTCAGTGGTCCAGTGGTTAAGCGCTAGCGCGAGAGAATGATAGGTCCTGAGTTCGAGACTCGTGAAACAGGATCGTGGGTTCGAAAGGCTGAGGAATCCTACAATAGGACGAAATAGACGTTCAGTGCTTCTAAGTTTTACATGGTGGTCTAACTTCAACTGACTCATGATCTCAACCATTGAAATATAGACGAATAGTTTAACAGAAATCGGGCGTCGAGTATAGAGAAGACGTTTTATGTGAAAATTATATTTGAAATAATCTCAGCAATTGAAATTTAAACTAATTCTAACATTTAATCTAACAAACGTTTCTGAAATGTTTCAGGGTAACAATCAAATTCATCAGAGAAGTATGTAGTGACTTTAATAGTCGAGATCATCAGTCAATTGAAGCTAGACCACTATGGAAATCCTTGAGGCACTGGACGGCCGTCTTGTCCTATTGTGGGACTTCTCAACTTTTCGTATCCACGATTCCGCCTCTCGGGATTCGCGCCCAGGACATATCAGTCTCGCATCAGGTGCTTAACCAACTGGACCACCGATCCGACATCCAACGGTGTTAATGTCTAACTTCAATTAATCCACGAAATTGAGCGACACATCCACTATTGTCGTCAGTGAGTTACTACCTCACAACTCACCCGGTTGAGCTCTCTGGTCACAATATATAGTGTTTAACAATCAAATCAAATATATACTCAGTGCTTATTCAATCAGATTCAAGTGTTGACTCTAGTAAATAGGATGATATGAATCAGTTAGATATGAATTATATGATAAGTTCACAATGTGAGGATAAATGAACGAATGAATGATTGTGGTTGTGTGTGTGTGTGTAAGTTTAAGTTATGAATAGATGATATTGGGTGTTAATTTGTTTTTATTAAAAATAAAAATCAAAGTGTGAATTGAAAATGAGAACAATTAAAATTCATAATTCATAGAATGGGGTTTTAAGGGGATTGTAGTAATAAACTAGTTGAATTCATAAATCGATTTAAGCTAGACCAGCAGTGAAAACCTGGAAGCATTGGACAGTTGGTTTATTCTAGTATGGGACTCCTTAAGAGTGATCATTCACGATCCCTCACATGTTCAATGCTTCTATGGTGGTCTAGCTTAAATCGACTACTCATCAATTCAATTATTAAAATACATAAATACAATAATAAACTATTCAAATGAATTTCTGGCAGAATAACGATACATATGAAATAAACAGGGTTGGATAGAGATAGGGTCCAATTACTTGTTAATGAACATTTTCCACGTGGTAGCTAGTTGAATGCCATGATTTTAATTCAGACTGTTCTTATCATATATATATATATACATATATATATATAATGAGTTTCTGTGGCTAATCTTTCTTCATGTGTGCTAGAACCTTTCTCAAGCATTTTGTTCCGTTCGAACTTAATCTTGTGTCCTGTTTCACCAGTGAGTTATGAATAAACTAGTTACTCACTAGTGAGATTAAATGATGGACACGCCATATTACGAAATAAGAATTGACTTCATATATATATAAATAATCTTAGAAAACACCAGTTAATAGTTGCAGCATCAAATGGATTATTACATAAAGCATAAGATTTATTTCAAATCGAAACCACTTTATTGTCTACCTCAAATATGGTTCGTTAAACACAATGAAACGAGTGCATAGTGTTTTTGATCATCACATCCTACAATCAAGTAATGTAACACAGTTTACTTCTAATTTACCTACTATGATGGGTTTATACAAATCTCTAATGGTTTTTGCATCAAACATGAAGTTTACTTATTATCTAGTTTATACTATTCCAAAAGGTTGACGAACTTCAATAGATTCATTTGTTATTAGATGGAGATTGATCATCAAATGAGAGTCCAAAAAATATTGAATGAACATTACAAATTCACTTGGCATTGTTTTACTTGTATCTTTCCAATGTTATTTAGGAGTGGATTTGAATCAGTCTCATGTTGACATATGTGCATCCTGTGTGGATTGCTTCGATATAGCCTTAAGCCACAAGCTTTTTAAGCGAAGATGGATAGTGGCTAGCAATGGAATCTAGGACGCATGTTTCATCCTAATTGGATTATGGAGTTCTTCACATCTGGAAAGAATCACGGAATACAATGCATAACTCAGAATCAATTCGAAGATTTGGACTTCATAGATGACCTAGCTCTTTTATACCGTACACACGAGCAACTGCAGATGAAGACAAATAGTGTAGCAGCAGCTTCTGTATCAATAGGCCTCAACATACACAGAGGAAAGAGCAAGACCCTCAACTACAATGCGGAGAACACCAACTCAATCACACTTGACAGAGAAGCTCTTTCACGTCTCTAAGCAGAATTATGGATGAACAAGGAGGATCTGATGTAGATGTGGAGGCACAGATTCTTAAGATAAGTCTGGTATTCCTACAACTAAACATATGGAACTCAAAACAACTGTCAACCAATATCAAAGTGAGAATCTTCAATACGAACGTCAAGAGATTTCTGTTGTACGGAGCTGAAACTTGGAGAACTACTACAACCATCATCAAGAAATTACAGGTAGTATGAGCAACAACCTACTATGGTGTAGAACAAATCGGCTTCCAAATGAAGAGGAAATTAGGAAAAGATGATGGAAATGGATAGGACATACATAACGCAGATCATCAAACTGCATCACGAGGCAAGGCCAAACTTGGGATCCTTAAGGGAAGCGGAAAAGAGGAACGTCAAATAGCACATTATGTCAGGAAATAGGAGATATGAAAAGGATGAATAACAAATGGAAAGAGCTGGAAAGGACTGCCCAGGACAAGGTTGGAAGGAGAGTGCTAGTAGGCGGCCTATGCTCCTCGACGAAAAGTAACAGGTGTAATTAATTAATTAATTTATTTATTTATTTATTAATTAATTAAGTAAGTAAGTGATGAAGACTGTGTTTTGTAAATTTCATCCCGAATACGTGGACCTTGATAAAATGGTCTGACAGTATACGTTCCAATCATATTCGGTTTGAAGCTAGTAGTCTTTTGGTTAGTTTAGGTGTTGGATTTATTTACGTGAAAATGATCTTAAAACATTGAGCCCAAATGATTTGGATAATTTAGTGAAGAATATATTCACTCTTTATCATAACCAAATATTGTGGCCACTATCAATATAACTTACATAAAATGGGATTGAAATATTTATTAACCAAACGTTTTATTCAGTTGTACAACGGAGAAAAATCTTTTCAGAAATGTCTAACTTCAATCAATCCAGTAGTGAGTTCGAATCTCACGGGGAGGGATCGTGAATGTGCCCTGAAGTGGAGTCCCACATTAGGATGAAACGGCCATCCAGTAGTTCTAGGTTTTCCATGATGGTCTAACTTCAAATGACTCATACATTCAATTATTAAACTACTACAATCTCCAGAAAACCCCTCTCTGATTGTGATTATATATATTAGTTGTTTGCATCTTCCTATGTACGTTTTATGACTGTAGTTGAACAGGTAAGTTCACTTTATGAAATCCGATTAGGGTAAAACATGCATTCTAGATTCCATTGCTAGCCACTATTCATCTTTGGTTAAAATGCTTGAAAATTAATGACAATATCTAGGCAATCCATATAGGATGTATGTATATCAGAAGAGACTTAACAATTGCATTAATTTTTGATTGAGTTTTGTTCTCTGAACTGGATGGTTTGGTCGTGGAGCTTTCATCATTCTTCTGAACGACATTATCAGCACAAACTTCAGGTAGACTTCTTCAGGTGACTTCTACCTGCTTCATCATATTATGGGACTCCTTAGCAGTACGCATCCACGATCCCGCTCGCGGGATTCCAACCCAAGGCCTTTGGTCTCTCTCTCTCTCTCTCTCTCTCTATATATATATATATATATATATATATATATATATATATATATATATATATATATATATAAACTCATTTTCAAGTTGTATTTGTAAAGCTTTTCTCTTTTAATTCTAATGAATCAACCAATGAAAATGAAAGGAAAATATATTTAAACAAAGACATTAATAATGATTGAAATAAAAGAAACATATTCAATGTTGAATAGGTTGCAATGTTAATGAATTCCGTTTGAGAGAAAACTTTTCGATCAAAATGAATTGAATCGATATTACTTATATTAATCATTATGAATAGAAGAAATGAGATGAAAATAATTGTAAAATAAATAAGTAACAAGTAAATAGTATTGAACTGGAATCGAACTACATCATGAGACAAGCGATAACATGGAATCGTGAAGGGAAACATACAAGAAGAAGAAGAAGGAGAAGAAGACGGTCGAAGAATACACTATGTCGGAACTTGGAAACAGACATGAAAAAAAGAATAACAATTGAAAAGAACTGGAAAAGATTCATCAAGACAAGGTTGGATTGAGAATGTTGCTAGGTGACTTATACTCTTCCATAAGGAGTAACGGACATAAGTAAGTTAATAAGTTTTGGTTCAATGAAATAAATTTTTTTCTTCTTGTTGAAAGAGATTGGTAATACTTTTGAATGGTACTTTAATGTTTCGATTCGTTGATTGATTGATGTGCGTGTGTGTGTTTAACACTTCATTATGATTTTTATCAGGATATACTTGTGAATTAGAATTCATCGATTGTCTATTAACCAGTTTACAATGTTTATGCCAAATACTTAAAAGATCTGGTCTACTATGCATTTGTAAATAATAACAAGGTTCACATAAATATGGATAATTTTTATAAAAAGTTGAATAACCACCATGTAATATATAAACAAATGGATATTTTAATGCAGGATATGAAGTGAAATGTAATGCTCTATCATGATTACGCAAGAGATAAAATAATTGTGGTGCACGTTTTGTAGAAAATTCACAATATAATATAAATATAGTATGAGATGGTTTTGGAATAATCAGTTGTTCCGTTGAATATAATGAGTTACTTAAATCCATTTCAGTAGTTTCAATAGATTGTTGTTTTATACCAAAAAAATATTTATAAAGATTTGGCCAATCTGATAAATTAATAGCACTAAAAATATGTCCAGCATTATATTCATATGGATAACGACAATCGATAATCACGAAACGTTTAGGATTCATTTTCGACTTTGATAAAGTGAACATTTTTTGTTGATTTGGAAGTTTATGTTTATATCTCAGGTCAAGTAAACAACATTTTGATTTCTTATTACATTTACCATTCAATTGTTCTTCATTAGGTCCAGTAAATTCTGAAGATGATGAGGAAGGACAAGAAGAACAAAAAGAGCAAGAAGAAGAAGAATACGAAGAACGTGATGATGATGATGATGATGATGATGATGAGTTGGACGAAAAGGAATGTGATAATGTACATATTGACTTTGGAAAAGTAAATGATTTTTTTACAATCATTGATTTCATCTCAATCAACCAATTTGCTAATTGATCTACTTCAATTGATGGCCATGATGAATGCAAACTATTATTCAACGTCCAAAAATCATAATGATGAAGTGAATTCTGTTGGGGAAAAAATTGATAAAATAAACATTTTTTATTGGTTAAACAGTGTGAGATAGAAATCGCTGTTTGAAGTTGTGAAGACGACCCATGGTTGAACTTGAGGAAGCTATAAGAAGCTTAGAAAGAGCTGAAGATATTTCATTCAATCATCTTTTGGAAGAATATCCCAGAATCCCTATGTATAGTTTCCCTATTGGACAAATGCTAATAACCCCCTGTATGCACATTTAAGGGCTATAATGATGATTTCGTTTTTACTAGAAACTGTAAATACCTAACATTTTTGTACCATAATTGATGCTGTTTGAAATAACATTTCTTTTACTTGTCTTTTATGTTCTAACTTGAGACTTAGGAGGGTTTTAGCGTTCGACTGCTCAAATTGTACGTGATATAATAAGAAACTAAGCTCAAGATATAACGGAAGTGATTTTAAGAGTGAACTCAAAGATGATGAATCAACGTTTACTTAAACATGGACTCAGTAGGGATAAACCAACGTTTTGATATTGATATTAAATGCAGTAACTGAGTCTGTGTGTAAAGTTATGAAATATAGATTATCTAGTTACCAAGTTACATGCAAGGTTTAGGTTGGTTAGTGGTAAATGATGATCACTTCTAATTCCTAGCAGAAAGTAATCTATACCATTACTGATTGATGAACTGAGCCCTACAAAAAGAATTTCAACTTATTGGGTAAGACTTTAGATATCTCATTATTCGAACATCACATAGTTCATAACTAAAAGTTATAACGGTAACTGTATTCAAGGCTTATCCAAATTTTTTCTTACTCTTTCTACTTTTTTATTCCTTATACACAGGTATTATTTTTTTTCATATCATTTTGCTCTGAGAGGTTTATGTCAAGAAATCGTTAAAGATCTTGCAACGCTGAATACTTGTTCAAGTTTGAAACATTTTAACAGTGTACATTAATGACTTAATCAGATATCATATTCAAGAATTTCATATTAAAAATCTCGACCGTGCTGCTAACTTGGCACGGTTGTCGGGCTTACCTATCGTGATGACCCAACCGAACTATATTGGCTGAGATATATGTTCCTGTAGGTTCTACCATGTCAGGCAGGTCGATTGGAGAACGGTAGGACTAAAAGCAGCAACTCATGGTCTGAGGGTGAAGTCGTACTGCTGACTGTAGAGGGGTGTGACAGCAGTAAGGTGTTTCCCTCGGACAACCAGCATCTGCAGCGATGCTGCCTTCTCACAAGGAAGGAAGGGGTTAGTAAAGGTCGACCCTGAAAATGTCACACCTCACCTTACCTCACGGATTTCCGTCTCCGGCGGTAAGGCCCTTTGAAGAACGGAGCTAACACGTCAAGAACGTCCTACAAAAAGGCTGTGCGCGACCGGCCTCAAGCAGTTGTCCTCTGGGCTCTGCAGTCACACTCCCGGGGCGTTAAGGCCGACATTAATCTGAATTCTTTTTCAGGTTCCTCAAGAAATGCTCTTCCACGGTGTGGGCAGCTGGGAAGTGACACCAGCCCTCATACCCGTAACGGCATACGAGACCAAGTTGGTCACATTCAAATCCTTCCTACACCTCTTGATACCTCTCTTATCTCCACGACCAACCCTTCTCACGCCCCTTTATCACCTCGCACTGCTAGGGCGAACGGTTCGAGTACGCGGAACGTTATTCCTGGTCTCCTGAAACCACGCTCTAAACTACACGTAGGAGCTTTCAACGTACGAACACTGTGCCAAATAGGACAACAGGCTTCCTTAGCTAGGACTTTAGAATCTCGAACCATCGATGCTTACTGCCTCTCCGAAACACGCATACCGGATCCGAATAGCGTCATTCATTTGAACTCATCATATCAAAATAAAAACCCAACTCGATTCACACTTCGTATATCTGGAAGCCTTGATGCTGCTTCGCGTAGCCTCTCCGGCGTAGGTATAGCATCGAGTCCTAGGGCAGAACTAGCTCTCTTAGAGTGGATCCCAGTAGACAGTCGTTTGTGCGCTGTCAGACTAAACGGAACAATAAGGACTCAGAAAGATAGGGACACTCGTCGTTGCCTCTTCGTCGTCTCTGCCTATTCTCTCACTGACTGCAGCTCAGATGATGTAAAAGATGAGTTTTACAGAAAGCTTTCGGACCTTCTCAGAAAAGCTAGGCACTCTGATGTAGTAATAGTGGCCGGTGACTTTAATGCTCAAGTAGGTAAACTAAGCGATATGGAAAGACACCCAGGTGGATCTTATGGTGTCGTGGCTCAAAGAACAGATAATGGCGACCGTCTGTTGCAGCTATGCTCAGATAACCGCCTGTTCCTTGTAAATACTAACTTTAAGCATAAGGAAAAACATCTTTTAACATGGCGACCCCCTAATTCGTCCCAACGTTGAACCGAATTAAATCACATCGCTATCAGCCACCGATGGAGGGGCTCGATAGAAGACTGTCGCTCATTCTGGAGCACATACTTAGATTCAGATCATGCTCTAGTGCGAGCGCATATTCGCTTGCGTCTTACTGGACGTAGGAAAGACACTGCAAGGAAACCTCTTAGGGTCTTACTTAATGATAGTCAAGCTAAGAATATATTTAAGGAACAACTAGGAAAACAGTTAGGCAGCCATGCATGTGATGCCCACCCCGAGGAAGCATGGAATGATATCCGAAAAGCTGTGGAAACAGCAGTGATATCTGCTAGTACGGTAACCCGTAAGGTTAGGGAGCAACACTGGATCTCAGCAGCATCTATCGCACTGAGAGATGCTCGGAAACTCATTCCACCTGGCTCTGAACATAACGAAGAGCGGAGTCAGCTTAAGCACAAGCTGACAAAAAGTCTACGCAATGATCGTGAACAGTGGTGGGTAGCGAAAGCACGAGAGATGGAAAAGGCAGCGGCAATAGGTAATAGCAGACAATTGTTCAGACATGTTAAGGAAACCGGTATTAGGAAACCGACTGTTAGCAAAACACTCTCAGAGAAAGATAGACATATTATACATTCTCAATGCAGGAGATTGGATCGATGGGAAGAACACTTTAGGGATCAGTTCAACTGGCCTTCAGCCACACTTCGGTTTCCCACGATCTCCAGTCAACCTGAATGGCAAGTTAATGTAGGTCCTCCGTCTCTTTACGAAGTTGAAAAAGCCATAGGAAATCTGACGTGAGGGAGAGCAGCAGGCCCTGACAGGTTTACTCCTGATATTTTTAAGGATGGTGGTTCAATATTAGCAGTGAGATTGACTGAGGTTTTAGGTAGAATTTGGGGACTGGACGCAATCCCATATGACTGGTCTCAGTCACTGATTGTGCCAGTTTTTAAGAAAGGACAAAAGTCCTCTTGTGACAATCACAGAGGAATCAGTTTGATTAATATAGTGTATAAAATATTAGCATCAGTAATGCTTCGACGCCTAACTAAAGCTCGTGAAGAGTAGACAAGAGAAAACCAGGCCGGTTTTCGACCTGGACGTGGTTGTATAGACCAGATATTCACACTACGTCAGGTCCTAGAACATAGACACACATTCAGACGCCCCACAATTGTAGTATTTCTCGACCTTAAAGCGGCATTCGACTCTGTTGATCGTGAGGTTCTATGACAGTGTTTGTCACTGAAAGGAGTACCAAAGAAGTACATTAACCTTATAAAGGCTCTCTACTCGAACACAACTGGTAGAGTGAGAGCTTATGGCGAACTGTCATCAGAATTGATTACCTCAAGTGGTGTTCGTCAGGGCTGCCCATTCTCTCCATTCTTGTTTAACTTTGTCGTCGACGTAATTTTAGAGATAACACTTTCCTCATATAAATTTCCAGGGGTTGAACTTCTACCAGGAGATTCACTTGTTGACTTAGAATATGCCGATGACATAGTTTTATTTGGTGAAGACGCTGACAAAATGCAGAGTCTTCTGACCACTCTAAGCAACAATGCAAGCATGTTCGGGATGCGATTCTCCCCCTCGAAATGCAAAATGTTGCTTCAGGATTGGGTTGCATCGACACCCAAACTAATGATAGGGAGTGAAGTAATTGATCGTGTCGATCGCTTCATTTATCTTGGAAGTCTCATCAGCCCTTGTGGTCTGGTGTGTAACGAAATCTCAGCACGGATACAGAAGGCTCGACTAGCTTTTATCAACTTGCATCGTTTATGGCGTAGGCGAGATATCCGTCTATCAACCGAAGGACGTGTTTACTGCGCAGCAGTTCGTTCCGTCCTACTTTATGGCAGTTAAACGTGACCGGTAAGAGTAGAGGATATTCGTAGGTTCCTAGTATTCGATCATAGGTGTCTTCGAAACATTGCTCGTATATCCTGGGACCATCGAGTAAGTAATGCAGTTGTTAGGAAACGGGTACTAGGTAGAGATGGCAAATCAATTGATGACTTAGTAAAACTTCATCAGTTGAGATGACTGGGACACGTGTTTACGTATGCCCAACGACCGACTGCCTCGACGTGCGATGTTTAGTGGTATATAAGTAGGTTGAAAGAAAGGTAGGGGTGGCCAAACCAAAACATGGCACAAGTCCATGAAGTCACTGACAAGTGGATTGAGTCATGTTGGTAGGTGCAGACTACCTGGTTGGGGACCGCGAGATGATAGCAACCGATGGTTAGAGACCCTGAATGACATGGCTCAAAATCGTTTGCAATGGCGCAGGTGCATACACTCTTTGTGTTCTCCCAAATTCTAATCTTCTGAATTCTTCATGTCCCTTATTTTCTCTCCAAATTTATTTTACTGTATTATACTCTTTAAATAACATCTCCAAACACTAATTTTCCTGATTACTGCTTATACTCTTATTACCTCTACCACTTCGGGATTTGAATCGACAACTGTATCTGTGTGCTAATGTGGTATGGCAACTCGATCTGATGTACGTACGTACGTACGAAGTTCTACGTTGTGACTGACTGACTGACATTAAGAATGGTTCATGAAGTCGAATTTGAATATCCTATATACCTAAATTCAATCATTTCGCACTGTCATTCATATTCTTATTTAGATAATAATTAGTGACTGGCTTCAAGAGATATTTCCTGGAGTTTTAGTGAGAAGCAGTGAACAGTGGAGTTCAACTAGGTCTGTTTTGGGATAATAACTCACTGAAGACGATGATGGATGTGTTGCTCAATATCGTGGATTAGGTGGAATTAGACATTAACACCGTTGGATAGCGACCGGTCCAGTGGTCTAGTGGTTAAGAGTTCGCGTGCGAGACTTATAGGTCCTGAGTTAGAATCTCGTGGGGTGGGATCGTGGATGCGCACTGTTGGGGAGTCCCATACTAGGATGAAACGGTCATCCAGTACTTCCATGTTCTCCATGGTGGTCTGGCTTCAATCGACTCATGATCTCAACTATTGAACTTATTAAATTAGTCTTAATTAATGTATATACTAATAAGTAGTTAAAAAGAATTATCAAAACTAATTCAATCACATTAAATGTACTTACTGGAAAACACTGATCATTTTCATAATGACTTTCTGGTAAACATTCATGATTACTCATAATTTCATAAGGAATCAACATTCTTCTTGATCCAGTAAATTCTTGATTCTCTTTATCATCAGACTCAGTAATACAGGAGATTAAATTCAAATTGTACTCTAGTGTGGAATCCACATATGATTTTCATATCACATTCATGAAACAATTACATAAATATAAAGAATATTTTGTTGAGAAAAAGATATAAATATACAATTAAGTTATATAATCACTCAGTTACATGAAGTAATGGTTGTTAGGACTATCGAAACAAAACGAAAAACTGTCATATTGTAGTCTTGGTTTAAAACTGATCACTGTAATTGGGATGAATGAAGATGTCATTCTCATTCAGAAGACTTTCATCACTCATATTATTCATGTCAGTTTTATTCGATCATTCTTTACAAATTCATTAGGACCCCTAACTTATGTATTATTATGTTATATTTTTCATAAGTAGCACTTTTCCAATCAGGAACAAATAACCTCAGACTAATTAGTAAAACTAGTTTTATAAAGGATACGGAATTTGTATTATAATATAATTTAATGAAATTATTATTCAATACAGAAGAAATGATGTTTTCAAATCCTACATAGTAATTGAAGTACATTTTATTCAATGATTATAAGAAGTCATTATCACCTGAATAGTCTAACAGTAGTGTTTGTTAATATGATGATATCAGTATTGGGGTTGTAAAGATTAATAAGTTTTTGATTGAGATCATGAACCGATTGATGTTAGATCATCCACTTAGACCGTCCAGTACTTCCAGGTTTCCAACGGTGGTCTAACATCAATCGGTTAATGATTTCAATCACAAATATGATGATATGTGACACATGAATTCGATACTCTAAGAGAGTTATTTAATTTTTTCGAGGCTTTTAATACAATTCATTGATATCTACTATTTAATAAACTTTCTATCATATTGATTCATTTTGATCTGTTAGCTGGTTATATATAATTGCTCATACACTAGCTATTTATATGTAAATCAGTCAATCAGGTACAAAGTAAGACCAGGCATATATATGAATCGATCCAAGTTACCATACCTCACTAGCACAAAAAGATGAACACCAAATTCATAGAAGTAGTCACCTAAATGGTAGTAATGTATAAAAGAAAGATTGTATATAAGGATATAATACAGGAAGAAAGAATTAGTTCGTAGAAAGAAAGATGTGAAGCGATTTTAATCTTGTAGATTACAGGAAGACAAAGAGTGTATAAATCTACACCATTATGATATATTCTAAACCATATCACCCAGTCTCCAACCATTGGTTGCGATAGTCATGCGGACCCCAACCAAGTAGTTTGCCCATACTAATACGGCTCAGACTAGAAGTTAGTGGCATTGTGGAGTGATGCCACATTTTGGTTTGTCCGTCCCTAACTTTCTTCCGACCATCCCCTACACTAATCATCTTTGCGTGTCGTGGTAATTGATGTTCAGACATACGTAACACGTGATTCTACCATCTCGGTCGATGAAGATTCACAACCTCATCAACTGATTTACCATCATTCCCCAATACCCTGCGTTTAACCTCACCATTACTTACACGGTGATCTCAGCAGATGCGACCAATATTTCTAATGTATCTGTGGTCAAATACTAGTAGCTTACGAATATCTTATACACTTAATGGCCACGTTTCGCAGCCGTAAATTAAAACAGAACAAACTGCCGCGCAGTATAGAGGGGGAGAAGCACATCTCAAACATTCTGGTATTGTTGCTCAGTGCTACCAAAAGACTCTGAATTTTGTCAGCTGATGATGAATTCTTATTCATAATACTTATGTTTTCCTATCTTCACTTTGACTGTCACTATTAGCTAAAAACTTCTATCAACAAAAATACACTGAGAAGTTGAAAGCAAGTAATTTCACATAGTTTGATAACTAATAAAATAACTTAGAAGATGGAAAGAGATCCAATAAATACACTTTATTAAGAATGAACAAGTATATTTTGTTGTGATGGAGTTGTGTTCTCTAATCGACATCATCAGCACAAAACATCAGGTAGAAGTCACCTGAAAAAGTCTACCTAATGGTTGTGCTGATAATGCCATTCAGAAGAACAATGAAAGCTCCACGACTAAACCATCCAGTTCAGAGAACAAAACTCCACACAAATTCACCACATCAAAATTTTATTGTAGAATAGATAGTTAAGTATCTATCTGATAGCTTAATGATCTATGAACCGAAATGAACATCGCACTTAATCAACTTAATCAACTGGTTGGGAATAGATATCCAACAAACTGGTTTTACTATAAATATGTAATTACTACCATTATTTTACGGTTTTAAAACATACTACCTATGTATAGAAACAGTAAGTAAACAGTAAGCAGAACTTATTGACAAACATCCAAGTTAGACGTTAACACCGGTGGATGCCGTCTAGAGGTTAAGCGTTCACGCGCGAGATTGATAGGTCATGAGTTCGAATCTCGCTGTGCGAGGTCGTGGATATGCACAGTTGAGGAGTCCCATACTGGGACTCCAGGTTTTCCATGAATTCAACTATAAAATATGCAGGTGCTAAAAAAGCCCTGGTTATAAACAGAGTGCTTGATACAGTAGAAGACTATTAGTTCCAGTATTCCAAATACTAATAATTATCACTTAAAGTTTCTGGAGGTCACTACTTCTCAACACTTCTTTTCTCCTAATTAGTAATTACATATTTAAAAGCGTTAATAAATACCAGAAATATCTAAAGAGGAAGAATGTAGTTGTAAAATCTCAGCGAACGTTTCGCCTGGCAATCTGGTTCAAGGTTTTCCAAAGAAATATCAGTTAATGTATATATACTTCAAAGTGCTTAGTTCTGTCAAAATATCTTAAATATAAAGATCCGTTCTTTTATATGTAATTAGACATCTAGTTCTGTACTGCCTGAATAAACAAGTTTCTCAAGTAAATATTCAGCAATAGAACTGGTATGAACCTCAATACAACCTTAAATTACATTTGTGAATCTCCCTTCCTTACAAGAAAATAAAGATTATATTGACAGAATATTAAGGAATATCCTACCTTTATTTTCTGAAGACTGATCTAGTTGGTTCTGTAAAGATAGTGTTGTTGTTTCAGAAAATGTTCGTTGAATATTTTCAACTGAATTGGATGTCTATACAACGTGATGTAAAAGAGGAAATGTAAGATTAATAGAAATAACCATTTCTAAATGTAATAATAAGATGAGGATAAATTCATTCAAAAAGTGACACCTGGAAGTGCATTACTCAGATCCACTTATGGCTTAACGGTGACCTTCAGGTTTCTCGAGAAGTTTGAAAATTTCAAGTGATTCAAGTCATTCGAATCTCGCAAGACGAGGTCGTGGATCTGCACTGCTGAAGAGTCCCACAATAGGGCAAAAAAGCCGTCCAGTACTTCCAGGTTTTTCATGGTTGTCTAGCTTCAAGTGACTCATGGTCTCAATCATTGAAATTACCATGATATCCATAAAAACCCTTCTGATATGAATCAACATATGTTCACTAGTGACTGGCTTCAAGAGGTATTAACTGGAGCTCTAGTGAGAAGCAGTGACCAGTGGAGTTCAACTGGCTCTGTTGTGAGATAGTAACTCACTGAAGACATTGGTGGATGTGTCGCTGAACTCCGTGAATTGATTGAAGTTAGACATCGCGCACAATACTCTAAGGTCCTGAGTTGGAATCTCACGAGGCGAGGTCGTGGATGGGCACTGATAAGGGGTCCCACAATAGGACGAAAAGGCCGTCAAGTGCTTCTAGGGTTTTCCATGGTGGTCTAGTTTCAATTGACCCATGACCTCAACCATTAAAATATAACAATTTATATTATCACGAAATTTTGAATTGGCTAAAAGTCTTATATATGTGTCACTTTACTCTGATTCATCATTTCAGTGATGCCATATTTGTCACGAGACCTGGAACCATTAAGTTCATTACTGTGAAGGTTTTGTTTGCTTACTGTTGATGAAACTTAAACTAGGATAAAAACAATTGTTGAATGTGTTTTGTAGTTCACTTGTACTCAAACTATCAGTCTGTGAAGACAACTTTCTCTAAATAAATACTGTTCAATAAACTACTCAATAAAACATCTTTCAGTTATATACATCATCCATGAAATACTATCCTATAAATGTAACTTGACAACAGACACTCATATTTGTGACCCCCACTTTCTATTCTTAAAGTTTAAACAAATAAGCTGCATTAATCGTGTTCTATTTCCGCTTAAACCAACATTGTTTATTGATTTTTTTAGAAATGTGTAAGTCTGGTTTACGGTTCCGTAAAATTTCAAGGTTGCAAATGTAATTAAAAGTATAACCTTCGGCTTGGAGTTTCGTGTATTGTTAGATTTCATTAAAATCATGAACTATTAGTGATAGACCATCACTATGAACCCCCAAACACTGCATGGTCTTTTCGTCCCAGTACGGGACTCCTCAAAAGTGCTTATTCACGATCCTGCACACAGAATGTGAACCTAGGACTTTCGATCTTGCGCGAACTCTTAACCTTTAGACCACTAAGCTGGTACCAGAGGTGTTGATGTTTAGTTTCAACCATTTCACGATGTCATGCCACTAAGTTCCTTTGTGTTTGGTAAGTAACTGACTCATGACTCACACACTTTTCAGTGGTGGTCTAACACTGACCAGTTCATGATTTCAACGAAAAGTATTATCACCAACTAACATGCTGTTTAGTAAACATGATGGATAATGATAAAATGTAATAATTATCCCGCGACCGCTGCTGCTACCTTGAATTGGTGGTCGGGCTTGTCCATCTTGATGAACCAATCGAGCCATACTGACTGGAACAATCATTCCTCACAATTCTACCATGTCAGACAGGTCGGTCGAAGAGCGGTAAGACTAAAAGCGGCAAACTCAAGGTCTGAGGGCGAAGTAGTACAGATATTGTGACAGCTGTAAGGTGTCGCTTTCAGAGAACCAGCATCTGCAGCGATGCTGCCTTCCCACAAGGAGGGGTGGGGTTAGAAAATGTCGACCCTAAAAATGCACACCTCACGTTTTCCCATGGATTTCCGTCTCTGACGGTAAGGTCCCAACAATATGAAGGTAACACGAAGACTACTGACAAGAAAATAATGTGTGACCGACCTCACACAGTTGTCTCTTGAGCACTGCAGTCGCACTCTCAGATCACTAAGACCACCTCTAATCCAATTCCCTTTTTAGATTCCTCCAGAAGAACCCTTCCATGGTGTGGGCAACCGGGAAGTGATAATCGACCTCATTCCTCTAACAGAATTCAAGATTACCGTATTCACAACAGTACTGAATAATTACCCCATTTCTGCTACAACATTTTGCTTACTTACAAGTAATAGGTCCTGGGATCGTGGATGTGCACTACTGAGGAGTCCCACATTACAAAGAAATGACCGTTCATTACTTCCAGGTTTTCCATGGTGGGATAGTCTAGCTTCAATTGACTCATGATCTCAACTATTAAAATCTTTCTTCGAAAACTAAAAATTCATATTCATTCTTTATATATTCATAAGAAATTTTAATATTCCCACAAATTGAATATAAAACTTACTTCTTCTAAACAACCTTTGTTATTTGTTAACGAGTTCGTAGAAAACATTTTCTCGGTAAATGAATCCATGTATTATGATGAATAAGTTGAATCAATTCAACATTGAATCAATCGGATCGGATAAAAAATATATCTATCAGTAGATAATGGATACTACTTTAATAGTAGTATAAAACGTCTGTCTTCTTGTATTCCCTTTTCAGTAATATAAGTAAATTTCATCACAATAATGAAGATCAATTGATTAGATCATGTATGTCATTTTTAAAAAGAAAATTTAATCGATCTATTAGCTTGATTATTACTTAAGAATAGCTATATATTAAATTAGAGAATAACAGACATATATTTCATTGGTACTTGACTAGTAACTATAATATGTAAAGATGGATGATGGCTAGCAGTGGAATGCATGATGCGTGTTTCGTCCGTCCTAATTGGGACTCGTCAGCTGAATGTATTTGTATTTCATAGTTGATGTTCAATTCATGCATGGAATCCAGTAGTGTTCACTGCACATGTCATCACGATATACATTTAGCTAGTGAGTTCAGATAGCCATTAACTTGTGTAATAGGGTGAAGTTTAAATTCATTTTGTATTGTTTATTTGAAACTTCGTGTGATTGAATGCAATATCGAAGTGATCCGCATAGAATGTACATGTGCTAATAAGAGACTGATTAATTGAAGTCTTAAACACCAATGGGAAGATTCAAACAGACAATATAAAAGGAATTTACTAGTAACTAGTTGAGAAGTGATTTCCTCGCATCTCATCAAATTCTTTATCGAGTACAATTAGGATCTATAGTAAGAAGGCAACTCTTTTAAAAAGGTTGGAACATTAAAATGAATGTAAAAGTGAATGGGATAATTGGTATTCCTTATCGGTTATATAACTCAGTGATTCTGCCTACAGTCGACTTAATTATCTTGATAATTTGCCGTAAAAACACATCAACATCGAAAAAGGTTTTTCTAAATATTATAGTAATTTCAATAGTTGAGATCATGGGTCAATCAAAGCTAGACTATCCCATCATGGAAAACCCGGAAACACTGAACGGTCGTTTCGTCCCATTGTGGGACTCCTCAGCAGTGCGCATTCGATATCCCACCTCACGAGATTCGAACTCAGGATCTATCGGTCTCGCGCGCGAACGCCTATCCACTAGACCATTGAGCCGACCGGTCGGTCGGTTGGCATCCAACAGTGGTAATATCTAACTTCAACTAATCCACTAAAGTGAACGACACATCCACCATATTTAGACCATTGCATTCGGCTACGAAGAATGGGAACTTCAACATCCGTTAATTGGTAATTTTCATTTTCCTATTATCGAGAGTTGACTGAAGTTCAAAATTTGAACCATAGTATGATGAATTATGGAATTACGTCCACTGTTGGAACTTAAAGTAATTAATTTATTCCTAGGTATGATCATCATAGCTCATTGATAAACAAATTGGCAGCGATAACTAACAAATCTAATGGATACCATGTATGTATATATATCTTGTGAATATAAATAAGTAATTAATCTCATTGTAGACATGATTAAATGGCATAATATAGTTATTCGGAAGTGTCTACAGCTAATGAATGAGTTTAGCAAATGTTATCAGATATTTCAGATTTTACACTTCTAGTTGCATTCTATAAATTGTGTTATCATAAATGTATGGTTACAATTCAGAGTTTTAGAGATGGTGAATTAGATTTGTAGCTCAGGTGGATGAATTTATGTGAAGTTTTGTTGTTTGAGCTGGATAGTTTGGTAGTGAAGCTTTCATCTTTCTTCTGAACGGCATCAGCAGCACAAACTTCAGATAGATGATGAAGGCTCCACAACCAAACCATCCAACTCAGAGAACAAAACTCCATCAAAATCATCCACCTGAGCTACAAATCTTCTCCACCATCTCTTTACCTAAGAACATCAAATAAATATTAAACCATATCACAAAATGTATGTCTAATGTTAGATTAGTACACTTTCAGTGAATAGTTCAATGGGCTATCTACAATTGTTTGTGATATAATCCATTCAATTGAGTGGAAAATATCTATGAACTAAACTCTTATTATCAATATTTCAGAATGTTAACAAACATAAAAAGAAAAACAAACTTTAATTTATTCTTGGATTTGATTCGTAAACAACTTATGGATAATAATTAAACTATCATTTTCACTATGGAGATTAATATTATTTAGATAACTATGATAAACCAGAGAAAACTCATTTATTCTGAACAGTAAAGTAAATCTCGCTGACAAGTGTCAAATTGGACGAAACGCGGACCCTAGATTCCATTGATAACCATCATCCATCTTTGCTTAAGACAGTATCGAGTCAGTACACACAGGATTCATATATGATAACAAGGGACTCATCAATTTCAGTCTTAAACAACAATGAGAAGATACAAGAAAATAATAGCAAGTGAAGTAAGATATAAGGGTATTAATTCCGACCTAATTGTGTTGGTTCAAAGTGTGGTATGTGCTACTGATATCGAGAGATATAAATAGTATGTATCATCAATTGAAAGTGGAATAACTTGACGGCAGATGGTTGAGAAAATCGAAGAGTGACTGATATTGGAAATGAAGGAACAACAAAGTCTGAGACAATTCATGGATAACATACAGCATATAATTTGACTTTTAAAAAATATATTGAATTCGAACTGAATATTAGTTATTTAAGATGAACAATTTGTATCTTGCATGGAGGACAATTGACAGACTCGTTCGAAGTAAAGACTGGTGTCAGGAAAGTTTGCTTACTCTTACCCTTTCTCTTTCTCCTAGTGATCGACTGGATCATGAAGACGTCAAAATCTGAAAGGAAGCACGGGATATAGTGGACATCTGGGATGCAGCTGAACGATCTAGACTTCGCAGATGATCTGGCCCTCCTATCGCAATCGCAACAACAAATGCAAGAGAAAACGACCAGTGTAGCAGCAGCCTCAGCAGCAGTAGGTTTCGAAATACAGGAAGGGTAAAGCAAGATTCTCCGATACAACACAGCGTGCACCAATCCAGTCACAATTGACGGAGAAGATTAAGAAGATGTGAAAACCGTTGATGAAGATGGTGGATCGGATGCAGATGTGAAGGTGCGGATAGGAAAAGCAAGAGCAGTATATTTACAACTGAAAGACATCTGGAACTCAAAGCAACTGTCAACCAACACCAAGGTCAGGATTTTCAATACAAATTCTAAGACAGTTCTACTGTATGGAGCGGAAACCTGGAGAACTACAAAAGCCATCATCCAGAAAATACAGGTGTTTATTAACAATTGTCTACGAAAAATACTTCGGATCCGTTGGCCAGACACTATCAGCAACAACCAACTGTGGGAAAGAACAAACTAGATCCCAGTGGAGGAAGAAATTAGGAAGAAGAGCTGGAAGTGGATAGGACACACATTGAGGAAAGCACCCAACTACGTCACAAGACAAGCCCTCACATGGAATCCTGAAGGTCAAAGGAAAAGAGGAAGACCAAAGAACACATCACGCCGATAAATGGAAATAGATATGAGAAAAATGAACAAGAATTGTATAGAACTAGAGAGGTAGGCGGCGGACAGAGTGGGTTGGAGAATGCTGATCGGCGACCTAAGCTCCACTGGGAGTAACAGGCATAAGTAAGTAAGTAAGATGAATGATTTGTATACATTTTTGTACATAATAGTTGTGATTAGTGTAACTTCCCTTAGCAACAACAGTAATAATATTATGAATATCACTTATATAACCTGGATACATCAAGTTGAAAGATAAAAAAAATAGTAAATTGATTATATCGATAAATATTTATTTTATGCTAAAAATTACAAGTATTCAATGTTTCAATTGTGAATTAAACAAACTAAAATTTACATTTGTATAAATGAAACTTTTTTTTAAAATTTTTCCTCTCATGAAATTGGACGGTTATCCACTAACAGTGTTTCCCATTCAGTTATCCAAATAATCATTTTTGATATCATTCACAATAATAACCATGGTAACTAATATATTTCATGTTTTTATTTACATTGACAGTTATTTTTTTTGCTCAGTGATAACAAATATTGACGAGTCTTATTAAATGAGATTTGTTACAAATTTATAATTGTTTATTTTATTTCATATTTTCATAGTTTACATCACGAACTGATCTTAATTAGACAACGATTTCAAACCAGGAAGAGTTAGATAACTGTTTCATCCTATAATGGAACTCTCCTGAAGTGTACATTCATAACCCTAGCAGAGAATGACTCCAGGACTACTATTTCTCTGAGGAGTTCAGGCTTTCCTGTCAGTTATTACCAAACATCTTACTTAATACATGATAGGTTTATTCATCTTATACAACTTTTAGAAGTCACTCAATTTTATTTCATTATCAATTAGAATATATGACTTAACACCTCAATTTATGTTATTATGATGCATTGCAAAGTCACTGTCAACATGTCTTCATAGAATTAGACTCCAAATAATGAATTCGTGAAAAAAAAAGTTAATTTATTGAAATAGATATCGATTAGAGAACTGTTGTTTGCTGAAACCAACTAGGTCAGAGTTACTAAATTCGATTACCATAATCAGTACTTAGATTTAAATAAATATAATGTTACACGGTTGAAGACAGTCATTAAAAAACCGTGGACTTAAGTTTCTTATTAATAGACACTCTTTATCAACAGCTATCTTGAGAGGATTAATAGTGGATGTCGAATTCGAATAGGTATCACCTAGCTTCATAATCTTAGATGTTAGCACAGTGGTATTTATATATTTTAACCAGATTTTGAATCGTAGATGAGCTAAGCTTACACTAGTTACTCAATAGTTCAAGATTCTATGAAAAATATTCATTTTCATTATGAAATATGACGACTTAGGTTTAATTTAGAGTTGAGCAACTGTTCAATCAGGGGCGAAATTAAGCCATGTATTGCTATTCTATGTGTTTCCCTTTTGAAGTAATAACTAGTTTCATAAGGGTCTAGTTAATTCACTAAAATAATGACACATAATAATAACACATAAGTAAAGAAAGGGATATTCATAGACTGGTTGGTATGCAACTAACTCAACTAGTATGATTAGATAACAATCCTATGATAATAGATCTCGATTAGTTTTCTATTACTGAATTGATAAAAGTCTACTGAATAGAAATTTATACTT